AGCAATCTCTTGTATGTTTGACAATTTATGTTGGTTGACAATGAAAAAAAATAAAGGGCGGACGTCCTTCTCGCATTTGTCTCGGGCTCGGTCGAGTGAAGTCGGACGAGTTCGGCTTGGCTGGCGCGAGACAACGCGTCACCATAGATCAGATAGAGATTATGTTTGTCTTATGCGTTCGGTTTTTTTTTTAATGGTGAGGCTGATTCGAATTGATACCAAATACTTTTGTTTCGATACCGAGTAAGTATCTCAAGATTGATTCGATGCTATAAATACTTGGTATAGAATCAAAAGTATCGAGTACCTAGTCGTATTTACTAGTATCGGAATATCCCTACCGTGGCCTGTTGTATCGCCGTATTGTGTCAATACACTTTGCCGGACGTTTGCTTGGTCTTTTGTTAAGGTACGTCTGATATTTTTTGTGCGGCAAATGCCACTTATCGTTTTTTTTAACTTATTGTTTTTTGTTAAGGGATTATCTTCACCCGTTTTCTTCTAAATCAAATAAAGTTTTTCTACTCCCGTCTGTAAAATACCTAATTACACACCGATCTAGCGCGCGGGAAGCGTCGCTTTACAACGTCAGTTTCGTTTCCCACGAATCCCAGCCACTTCGGATATTTCCGGGATTTCACCGCACGGGTTTGGGAGCAATCGGATATTTTCGGAGATATTTCCCATGCTTTGGATTTTTTGAGTATATCAGTGAATGTATTCGTGTTTTGCAAAAATGTACGTAAAAACTAACGGCCGTAGAAAAAATATACTATACAACACCTTCTGCAAACTTTTTAACTCACTCCTTTATTAAACACTCGCTCCGCTCGTGTCAAATTAACTCGTGAGTCAAATGCCGTTTACCGCACTTGTTGCTTAATATACTATTCCCAACACAGATTGCTAGTTTTTGTGCCGGCCAACCCACATACTCCCTCAAAAGTGGATCGACCCCGTTACGCTGCAACCTATACGAAAAAGCCCCCTTAAAGAATGTCACGTTGAGACAATTCCCTGCATTCTATTTCGACGACCAAAAGGGGTTTCCGTAGGAACAGATATTAAAGATTCATCTACTCAAACCATAGGTACGGTCATCGCTCAACACTTAAATTACTATCCGGTGTTACCGAAAAAGAACAATAGTAGTACTAGGATGTTTTGCGGAAGATACGGCCTGGAAAATCTAATAGGAAAAGAACCTATATTAGTTTTTTTGGAAAAAGGCACCGCAAAAATATACAAATAAGAAAACAGCTTTCAAACATCAAAATCACTGTAAACCTGTGTTATATAATGTTTCTTGCTTCAATTACTATTACTGTTTATTTTATTTATTACTATTTATTTATAGTTTTTTTTTAATAATATGACCTTCCGGCTTGCTATGATTGAAGCACATTTTGCGTAAAAATAATCAAAGAAATTTCAGTCTACCCGACTTTAAGAAACTTCAATCAAATCCCATGCATTATTCACCTGGAAAGGGGTGTGTTGTCTTGAATATTGGCACACATCGGCATCTTTCATATCGATGATTATAGGGAAGGCAGTGGAAAATACAGGCCACAATGCTTTCCGCATGGGCGGAGCTCCCTTTCTATTTAAATTTTCTCTCACGCGGTAGAGGCATTCGTGGCTTCAAGTTCGAGTACGTTCGAGATTAGTTTTGCCAGGCAATTATTGTTGATCAGTTGGTGGATACAGGTAAATATATGGATATTAAACCACTCAATATATACTGGCCGAAAACGCCAAAATAATAAAATATTTGATTTAGACTCTTTCCATTAGTGGAACTTTTGATTTATTAAGGCACATAGCCGAGTATTTTTACTGATTGTACAGAAAAACGTTCCATATTAAAGAAAAACTTCCTATATATTTTTAAATTTTTACAACGTTACGTCAGTTTATTATTATTAAGTTCGAGCCGTCCTGTACAATATATTTTTTTCGATTTTTTATATTCTGTGCAATCCTGTAAAAAATTGCTCTATCTATCTATCCCTACCAATTTGTGTTTCTTCTCAATGTGTGTTAAAATGTGCTTATGATATTTCTTCACGCCGCAGGTGCAATTAGAATGGGTCTAGTGTACAAGTCGCCTGAAAAAACGATTCTGAGAATACCCAAGTACTGTATATGGAAACTAGAATTAAACATAAACAATGACGTTGCCCGCAGAGTTTACGACATTTACTCCGCATTCGTGAGGATTTACTTTCCACTATTCGTCTCGTCGTTGTGCATCCAATTGATCACGTCGATAAGCGCAGATAAAAACCTGGAGGACATATTCCAGGAATTGTCTTACATTATAATTTTTTCGATAGCTGAAGTTGGCGCTATACTCTGTCAGAAAGGCGACTTTAAAGAGATTATCTTCTCTATAATTGAGGAGGAGAGAAAAATACTCGATACTAGAGACGGTGAGGTCCTTAGCTATCACACAACGCAGATTAAATTTTGGAACGCAATCAACTTGACGATTGTCGTCTCCGTGATAGGCACCGGGACTTCCATAGCCGCGGAGAACCTCTGGAAGAGATTGGAAGTAGGAAAATACAACAACGAATGCAACCAGTCCACGGAAAAACCTTTTCCTTTCGAACTGTACCTTTACAAATTTGATCCCTACAAGCATCCCAATGTAATGTTAGGTGTGAGCTATTTCGCGATTTTTATCAACATTTTTTTGATAATTTCGACCAAAATTGTTTTCATTTCGTGCATGGTTTTCACTTCGTCCAGCTTGAGGAAGCTCCAGATAGGGTTTAGGAAAACCACCCCTACCTCAACCCGCCTGGTGGACCTCATTCGCCAACACCAGCGTGTCATAAGGTACCCAATTATAGTTGGCACTTTCGTACGGAAATGGCTATAAAAGCTTGTCATTCTTTAGATTCGTGGGAAAACTCAACGCTTCAATAAAATACATGATCCTGATGGAATACCTCCTGAATTCCCTCAACATTGCAGCAGTCTCCGTGCAATTTATCGCGGTGAGTGCTGGAGGGTTTCAGTTGAGATTTTCATTGAATTCTCTTTTGGTTTCAGTTTGAGCAGGGTGTCCAAATTTCACCACTTCTTTACTTAGTTTATCTGTTGGTGCAGATTTTCGCACTGGGTTGGAGTGCCAATGAAATACAAATTCAGGTATATACGGGTTAAATTTTCAATATATATTACATAGATATTATATATTCAAAAACAACCCTAGGTTGCTTAATAAACATTTCTCCTATAGAAGATAAAATCCTGTAAATGGGACCTCAAATTTTTTTTTATTGTGTCTTAAAAGATTTAAGATATCTAAAAGAAATGTAGACTGCAAATTGGTGATAAAAATCGTCCCTGACAAAATTAATTTCTGTTTGTACAGGAGCGTTGCTAAAGGCGCCACTTTTTATAGAGCTTAAATTTTTTTCTCAAAAATTTTACTTTTTAAGCTTTCAGTAAATTTAATTTGTGTCCTTTACTGTCACACTCAGCGTAAAATACATAAGCAGCGTAAATATATAGTTGAAATCAATCTTTTCATTAATAAATCAATTATGATATTCTATTAATTAATAAAAACATCTTCCTGTTTTAAGAAATCATTTAAAGGAAATTGATATACCGTTTTTGAATTTATTTCTTGGACTTTTATCGTTTTTAATCAATTTTCAAAATTATTAGTTTTATAATCTAATTTTCGATTAAGTTTACTTTAAAAAAAAAATCCACTGGAGTTTCCGAAATGTATTAAAATATTGTATTTAGAGGGAGTTTCTTTAATTATTGGAAATATAATGTATTAGCCATTATGGTTTAGCTATAATTTACCCCTCTTTTAGAAATTACTTAAACTTAACAATGTTAGATTTTGTCAAAATTGGAGATTAATGTGAAAAAGTGAGAGTTAACGAAGTATATCACTCTGCTTTTAGTATTTTTGGTATAGAAAAATACTAATTTTGAAGGTATTTCAGATTTTAGCAAGTAATGCTGCAGCAATTAATAAATTAAATTAATTATTAACCCTAACAATTTTTTGAATCATCGAGTATTGAGTGTGTGAATTAATTCCGTGTCATCCATCTAAAAGTTGCTTATTTTAGGCGACAGACTCTGTATGCTTCTGTTTTCTTTTAAAGCAGCCCTTCAAAATTGTGCCCTATAAATTTCACGATTTTTGGAGGTCTTTTGTGTTATGATGTTTGGTTAATTATTAACATAGAGAAGTATAAATAAATGAAATCAAATTTAATTACTATTTCGAAATTTAAAGATGCTACATATATTTAATATGTTAATAGTATATATAATAATTAATTATAAGTACATTATCAATTAATGATTTCTTTTGCTTGGCATTTTACTTAGTATTTCCAATTATTTTGCTATAATTTTGAGTGCTGCTCTCTATATATACAAACTTGAGAATATTCAACCAAAGTCTTCATACATTATTCATGGAAAAATGGCTCCGTTGCTTTGAAAATCGGCAAAGTCGGAGTCTTTCATTTCGATGATTATAGGGAGGGCGTGAGCAAAATACATGTGGGAAAAGCAAACTTTGCCCGATTTATATTGTCGTTCTCAGTATGGCGATATTGGTCGCGTCACAAGAGTGGTTTCGAAACTACTTAAAAGTGGATTCTTGTGGAGTACTCTTGGCGAATACAGGTACGTAGGAAAAAAGTAAGAGAGGTTAGATATGAATAAAGTCAAATTGTCACATTGTTCAGAAAATAATATGAATTTACATTCGATTTAAAATTCAGGGTAGATTTCTACCCTGATTTACAGCCTCTATACAATTTATTAATTAATTAATTAATTGAAATAAACATGCCTAGTAAAATTTTTCCCAATAAGAAAATGCACGTTGTTAAAGTTTAGTTCTCAACGTCCCTATATGTATGAAGTGTTCTTTGCTCTTAAAAACTTTTTTAATGTCTTATGTTATATGTTTTTATTCTTTCTTGAAAATTTCAGAAAATTGCAATTTAGACTAAGACTGGGACATCAAGACATCACGGCATATATTTAGTTAGTTCCATCATTTACCGAGGAGAAAACTCCAACATAGCAAAATTTTTGCACACCGCAAGTTCAAAAGGGATGTGTAAAGTACACAACTGTGTCGAAATTCCCATTCTGACGCTAGCCAAATACTGTATGATATTCGTGGGGATATGGAAATTAGAGTTTCCCACCAAAAATTACATGTCCCGCAGAGTCTACGACATCTACTCCGGATTCGTGATGATTTACTTTCCGCTATTCGTTTCGTCCTTGTGCGTCCAATTCGCCGTATCGCTGCGCTCAGAGAAAAGCATGGTGGACGTATTTCAGGAGTTATCGTTCATTATATTTGTGGCTATAGTCGAAGTTGGTGTTATACTCTGCCAGAGTGACGACTTCAAACATATTATCTGCTCTATAATTGAGGAGGAGAGGCGAATACACGAAACTCGAGATGATGAGCTATTAAGCTACCACGCTTCAAAGATAAAATTTTGCAACGCTATCAACTTGACGATTATCGTTTTTGCCCTCGGTACGGGTTCTTCTGTAGTCTTGGAAAACTTCTGGAAAAGGCTGGAGGTGGAGCGGTACAACCACGGTCGCAACGAGACTGTCGAAAAACATTTTCTCTTTGAAATGTATCTATACAAATTGGATCCTTATAAGTATCCCCGGGTTATGCTAGCCGTAAACTATTTCATGCTTTTAATCAACGTTTTTCTGATAATTTCGACGAAAATTGTTTTCGTTTCATGCATTATTTTCATGTCGTCCAGCTTGACGAGGCTCCAGGTGGCGTTTAGGAAAACGGCCACCACTTCAACCCCTCTGGTAGACCTCATTCGGCAACACCAGCATGTCATAAGGTGCCCAGTTAGAGTACGCCTGCTCGGAAAATGCCTTAAAAGTTTGTAATTTTTTAGATTCGTGAAGAAACTCAATGAGTCGATAAGGTACATGATCCTGATGGAATACCTTCTGAATTCCGTCAACGTTGCGGCAGTCTCCATACAGTTTATCGCGGTGAGTGCCGGGGGTTTAAATTGAGTTATTTCTTAGAATTTGTTTTTGATTTCAGTTTGAGCAGGGCGTTACGATTTCGCCTCTCCTCTACTTAGTTTACCTGTTAGTGCAGATTTTCGCCTTTGGTTGGAACGCGCACGAAATACAAATTCAGGTATGTAACATAGCAAGTGTTAGTTGTGTTATCATTTTCTTTAATTCCCTGAAAAACTCTAGGTACAATTTATGTACGAACCTATGAATATGCTTATCTTGCAAATCTGTACATTTTCTCTGTAAGCAACTATTTCATATGAAGTTTATCCGTTGAACAAACTCACCCCCCTTTAAATGAATTTGTATGAGCTTTTGTTATTTTTTGTATCCCGCCTAATATTAATAGTTGCACAGGGTAACGAAAGTTCAAAAAATAGTCCCAGAAATCCAGATTTCAAAAATGCCACCAGATTTTTTTCTACCAGCTCTAGTCTTTGAGATAGAGTTAATCGGTTCTGATCAAGAACAAAAAATAAAAAGATAAGTATAAACTCAATCGGAAAAAGAGCTATTACCTATCTCAAATTAGACTATAATTAGGCAAATATATACCTGGAATTGTGCGTGACGCAATGTGCCTATACTAAAATTAGCCCTACTAAAGTTCTTAATTATATAACTAACTTTTAATCCCCGAATAGCCTTTCACAGCCGCTAAAATTAATATTAAACACAGAGTATCTTAGCTGTACTCAAATTAGTATAGTATAGAGTTCTGTAAAGAAGAGTTGTGTTATAATTTTGTGTAAACTTTGATCGTTTCAGAGTTAACTGAAAAAATAGCAGCGACAAGCAGACGTACCTGTGTAAATCATCCTGATAGTTTTTGTTGTGTGTGCGGTGAATATACTTTGAAAGAGAGCAGAAAAACTAAAAGAAGTTACTTGCTGAATTACTTGCGCACAATAGATAAGGATCTGCTTCCTTTTTTCGTTCTGGAAAATAACATTGCGTAATAATAGAAGGACAGAGGATTGTTTCGTTTTTATTGACAGCACAAAACGTAGTTTCCAATGTGTTCTTTTATATAACGGTTACAAACTTATTTCCTTCTGGTCATTAACATAAAAAAGGAATATGAAACAATTGCACTATTTTTTAAAAATATACATATGAAGAGCATCGGTGGGAAAATTGGGTTGGTTTCCCCTTGGACAGCAGAGTTGCTACGTAAAACATCCCTGTTTTATGTGTCTTTGGGAGAGTGGATCTAGAACACTGGGTTAACAAAAGTTATGATGAATGAATCTTTGTTTTCGTGAAAAAACACCTTACTTCCGTATATGGAAATTATTTTTTTATACTTGCCACGTAGATTTCCTAAAATAAGCACGAAAAACCTAAACGCTGCTATATTTTGTACCTGACAACAGTAATAAAAAGCTGAAAATATAAAATGTCAAATTTATCTCGAGAACTAGATCTAATAGACGAAAGCTGAGATCCCTTTTGGATTCTGCACCCAAAAATCACCCAGGTTTCAATTTGAAATCATGCCAGAGGATTGAGTTTTTATGTTCGAAGTTTGATTGAAATATGAGAACACGTTAAATAGCTGTAGCGACACTTAGACTTTAAAAGCCAACATCAACGTCCCGCTAAGCAAATTTATGCAGTCCACTTTAAATAGATTAAATCTAATAACAATGTGCTACTGCTACTACTTATTATTAAGTTTTTATTAAATAATTGTTATTGTTTTTCGTGGCATTTTAATTGTTTTTAAAAATAGTTAATAAACACTTTACTTTGCGCGATTTGAGAAGATTGAATCAAATTCTTCATACATTATTCACCGATCATTCGGTGTATTGCTTTGGTAAACCGCACACTCGGGCTCTTTCATTTCGGTGATTATAGAGAAAGCGGTTGGAAATATATAGAGAGAAACTAAACATTCCAGATGGGCGGAGTTCAGCTTTCCTTTGCTACATTTTAGTCGCAGTTGTGACTGGGTCGACATTCCTTGCGTCAAGTTCTTAACAATGTTTTCGAAACTCTAGTTGAAAGTGTGTGCAGTAAATTTAACGGAGGCAGGTAAATGAGAGAAAAAATATGATTTGATGAATTACGAATTCCGTGATCCTCCAATCTGGGTTTTAGATTTCATAGGTTAGATTAGATAGATAGCAATGACACGAGTCAACTACATATCTGTAATATTAATGTGAGGAGGCACACTGTTATGAAGATAATAATGATTACTCTCTCAGTGTGTCTATTTTTCGCTGTTGTTGCGGGAAATTTCAGATACTATAGATACAGATAGAGCGATGCCATTTTCAAAACTGGCTAACTGGCTTCGTTTTTGAGATATATAGAGAAACAAAAAAATGTTCATTTTAGTTACACTTTGTATTTCAAAATATGAAATTTTATGCCTAGAATCCGGTGGCGTTCTTAGTTTTTTGTAAAATATATAATTTTTCAGATACGATCTAAAATTATGATTTTTTTAAATGTAGCACCCCATGTAGTGGTGATTGCACTTTTTATACATATTTCATAAACCTATAATTGTTTAAATACGTTATTTTATATAAACACATATTTTGACATTTTAGAAAAAATATAAACTAACAGAATGTAACAAGCAGTAAATATTTTTCCACAATTACTTAAAATAAATAGAGTGGGCTATGAACATATTGAGTGTGTCTTTGATCAAAAAGCAATATGGGCATTAATTGCGCTAATATTGTGCAAGTATAAATATTAATATTTATTTTTTAAAATATTCTCGAACTATTATACATTTTTAGAAAACGTATAGAACTCTCAATCGAAGTTTTGAAGAATGTTCTTGGTGTTTTATTCACTTTCACTTGTACCTCAAAACTTACACATTATAAAAAAAATATGACTAAACCACTAGATTCTACGTTCTAGACAATTACCCTCGTAAATGCCCCAGGAATAATTATTCCAAAAAAGGCTGCCAGCTGATGAAAATTAGCTAGAGCATTTTTTAAAGTTTAAAAAAAATAAATATATATTTATTTAAAAATATATAAATTTAGATAATTATTCATTTTCGTAAAGCGAAAAGAAAATCTCAAAAATTACATTTTAGAGATTTACTATGCCACTGGATTTTACATCATAAGGTATTTAAAATACGAAAAGTAAGTGAAAAGACCAAATTTTCTGTTTCTGCTTATATCTCAAACATGAATAATACGTGATAACCCACAATAACAACGAAAAATGACTCTATACAGGCAACTCAAATTTATTGTAATATAACTAGTTTAAAAAACGAGCTAGTTAAAATGAGGGCAATGTACAATAAAGAACCACAAAAATTTAGCAATACTCGTACAATTCTTTTACACCGCAGGTTCGAAACGATGTACAAAACGGTCGAAATTCCAATTCTAACACTATCTAAATACTGTATGATATTCGTTGGCATCTGGAAATTGGATTTGCCCCCGAAAAATGTCATGTCCCGCAGAGTCTACGACATCTACTCGGCATTCGTAAGGATTTACTTTCCTCTATTCATTTCGTCCTCATGCATACAATTCGTTATAACTCTCGGAGCGGAGAAAAGCCTGGAGGATTTATTCCAAGAATTGTCATTTATCATAATTGCGGCGATAGCCGAAGTTGGGACTATACTCTGTCAGAGCGAAGACTTCAAACAAATTATCGTTTCTATAATTGAGCAGGAAAGGCGAATACTCGAATCGAGCGATGATCAGGTGATAAGCTACCACGCTGCCCAGATCAAATTTTGCAATGCGATCAACTTGATGACTATCTTCTTTGTGATTATCACTGGAGTTTTTATAATCCTGGAAAATGCTTGGAAAAGGCAGCAAGTGGAGAAGTACATCAACAAATTCAATGGGTCCGCCGAAAAACCCTTCATCTACGAACTGTACTTTTACAAGTTCGATCCACACAAGTACTCCAACGTTATGATGGGTGTGAACTATCTGATGCTTTTAACCAACATCCTACTAATAATTTCGACCAAGATTGTTTTCGTTTCGTGCATAATTTTCGCGTCGTCTAGCTTGAGGAAACTCCAGGTTGGGTTTAAGAAAACAGTCTCTATCTCAACTCGACTGGTAGACCTCATTCGGCAACACCAGCGTGTCATAAGGTGCCCAGTTAGAGTACGCCTGTTCGGAAAATGCTTTAAAAGTTTGTAATTTTTTAGATTCGTTAAGAAACTCAATGAGTCGATAAGGTACATGATCCTGATGGAATACCTTCTGAATTCCGCCAACGTTGCGGCAGTCTCCATACAGTTTATCGCGGTGAGTGCCGGGGATTTAAATCGAGTTATTTCTTGGAATTTACTTTTGATTTCAGTTTGAGCAGGGTATTCCGATTTCGCCTCTCCTCTATTTAGTTTACCTGCTGGTGCAGATTTTCACCCTTGGATGGAGCGCTAACGAAATACAAATTCAGGTATGTGCACAATTTATGTACGAATCTATGAGTACAGTATGCACAACTTGCAAATCTGTACTATTTATATTATTTCATATGAAGTTTATACGTCGAACAAACTCACCCCCCTGTGTGAATTTGTATGAGATTTTGTTAATTTTTTTATAACGTCTAATATTAATAGTTACACAGGGTAACAAGATTTAAAAAATAGTGCCAGAATCTCAGATTTCCAAAAAATGACACCAGCTTTTTTCTATCAGCTCTGGTCTTTGAGATACAGGTTAATTGATATTAGTTCTGATCAAGAACAAAAAATAAAAAAATAAGTATAACCTTAATCGGAAAAATAGCACCTACCTCAAATTAGACACTAATTAGGTAAATATATATCTGGAATAAAAACAACCCATACAGGCAACCAATACAGGCAACTCACATAGTTACTATATACAATACAGGGACCACAAAAATTTAGAAACACAATTCTTCTACGCCGCAGGTTCGAACTGTACAAAACATTCTGAACTATCCAAATACTCTATGATATTCGTGGGTGTCTGGAAATTGAAACTGCTCCCGAAAAATGTCATGTGCCGTAGTGTCTACGACATCTACTCAGCATTCGTGAGGATTTACTATCCCCTGTTCATTTCGTCTTTGTGCATATAATTCGTCATAACTCTCGGAACAGAGAAAACCTGGAGGATATATTCCAAAAATTATCCGAACCGAAGTTGGCACTTGCCAGAGCAAAGATTTCAAACAGATTATCTCTTCTATAATTGAGGAGGAAAGGCGAATACTCGCATCGAGAGGCGATGAGATATTAAGCTACCACGCGGCCCAAGTAAAATTTTTTAACGCAGTCAACTTGATGAAGATGTTCTCTGTGACCACCAAGGGGGTTTTTATAATCTTGGAAAATGCTTGAAAGAGGCAACAAGTACACCAACAAATTCAACCAGTCCGTTGAAAAACCTTTCATCTACGAACTGTACCTTTACAAGTTCGATCCATACAAGTACCCCGACCTTATGATGGGTGTGAACTATCTGATGCTTTTAATGAGCATCTTGCTAATAATTTCGACCAAGATTGTGTTTGTTTCGTGCATTGAGGAATCTCCAGGTTGGGTTTAAGAAAACCCTCCTGATAGACCTCATTTGACAACATCAGCGTGTCATAAGGTGCCCAGTTGTAGTACATTTGGGCGAAACAGGCTTTTAAAGTGTGTCATTTTTTATGTTCGTGCAGAAACTGAATGGGTCAATGAAATACATGATCCTTATGGAATCCCTCTTGATTTCCCTTAACGTTGTCGCAGTCTCCATGCAATTGATGAGTAGTTTGGTGTGAGATGTTCGTCGAATTTGTTTTTGGTTGCAGTTTGAACAAGATATTCCCATTTCGCCGCTCCTCTACTTAGTTTACCTGTTGGTGTTGGTGGCCAATTGAATATTTTTTCATCTCAGATAACATGCGATGATACAGTTTTTATATTGAATTTGAGAATTAAAATTAAAATGATTGTCCATAGTTAATGCGGTACTCTTATGTTATACGTATGAAATATATTTTTTCTACTCCCATCTATAAAATACCTAATTACACACCGATCTAGCGTGCGGGAAACGTCACTTTACCACGTCAGTTTCGTTTCCCACGGATCCGAGACACTTCGGACATTTCCGGGATTTTACGGCACGGGTCTGGGAGCAACCGGATGATTTTGACGTTTGACAATTCTGACGTTCATGTATTCGTGTTATTTTGCGAAAATATACCCAAAAACTAAGGGTCGTAGAAAAAGCATAGTATGTAACACATTCGGTAAACATTTTAAATCACTCGTTTATTAAACACTCGCTCTGCTCGTGTCAAATAAACTTGTGAGTTAAATGCCGTTTACTGTACTTGTTGCATAATATGCTATTAAATGTTTAAAATATACAAAGACTGTTTTATCAAACCAACATAAATATCGGTAAAAAAGTAAAAACAGACGGCAGAAAAAGATTTGAAAATAATTTGGGCTCCATCAAAGTTTAACGTATTTGTCGTCTTATATTTGGTTAGTTTTGGTTAGTCAGAAGTCAAAAACGAACTCATGAAGACAAAATTTATACAAAACTGGGTTGGGTTAGGGAAATATCGCGCTACAAAAATGGCGGAAAAATAATGTTTTTATTTTATATCTTATAAACGAAAATATATAGAACAATAAACCATTACAGAAGTATTAATATTTTAAAAACATTAAGTAAATTTAATGAAAAACTGCCCAATTACTTGATATATACATTTTGATAGAAGTGTTTATTAAAAGCGTTTTGAACTTCTGCAATTTTTTCATAAACTTACAGTTTCCACATAGCACTATTTTCTAAACAATTACATTTTAAAAATAATTTATTAATATAGATTTCCGGTACTACTTGATCAATTCTTCGTAAGACAGTAAACTTCAGAGGAATTTCCGTTTGCACACCCGCACATAAAATGCATATCTGCTACTTTCGCATTATAGGTACTTCGCCGTTTTAGAACAATTAAATGATGAGATGATAAATTTTAGAATGAAGCAATATTGACAGCAGCGCACTAGACTTTTTGATCTCGTTATGCATTGCTTTAGATTTATTTTTTTTTTTTGGAAACGGTAAGTGTTATAAAAAATTTACTGGAGATAAAAGTTTAGAAATAAAGCATAAAAAATAGTGAGATTGGTAGGCGTAGTCTAATTGAATCCTATCTACTCTTAAAAAAATTTAAAAATATGCAGAAAGTGTGTTTTTATAATAGTAATACTTCTTGCCATTTAATTTTAATTTAATTTAAGCACGTTTTCAGTAAAAATACTCCGCTCCACCCGATGTCTATCTTTAAGAAGATTGAATGAAATTCTTTATCAATTATTCACCGCGATAGGGGTGTGTTTTATTGAAAAACGGACTCTTTCATTTCGATGATTATAGAGAAGAGGACGATAAATATACGCTTGGAAGGGAAAACTTTCCAGGTGGGATGATTTGAGCTTTTCCTTAGCCAGATTTTTATGTGATCGTTCGGGTAGTCGCGACAAATGTGCGCCACAAGTCTGTAAGTGTTGTTTCGAGAGAATTCGATAGTGGTTACGAGTACAGGTAAATATGAGGAAGAATGCATATTGAAAAGTTTGGTTTGGTTTTGTTAAAATACTAATTTATGGATAATTTAAAAATTAAAATCCATAGACTTTTTAATCTTCTTTTTAATAGTTTCTTGGAAACTGCAATTACATAACCTCGAAGATGGTGAAATTATTGGTAAATTTCATTAAAACTGTGCAAAACTTCTGAAATTATAACCCTATCAAACTAAATAAGAACTAAAAGTTCAGATTTTCAGGAAATTATATATTATGACATGACAATTGTTTCGACAACACCGACAATCAAATGTGATAAAGACACTTAACTTAAGCTTTTAACTGATTTAACAATTTAAAAAGTACCAAAATTATGAAAAGTATGATATGACAAAGTGTTACATTTTGTCAAACGAAAACCACTTAAATGAAAAAAAAAAAATTAATTGGAAAAGTATTGGAAAATAGAATATGCTCGCTAAGGTTTTGATTGCCTAAAAAAAAATTCAAGCCCTATCTAACAAAAAAGACTACTAATTACATAAAGGGGATGGCAGAAGAAGAATACAATTTTGAACTAGTTTATCGCAAAATGCAATTAAAAAATTAATTTTATATTGTCTATTGTTTGGAGTTATCAAAATCGACAATGTTGCTTTGGACTCAATGGATGGATAGGAATTTTCGAAGGTAGGTTTGTAGGACCTTATTTTTTTTAAATGAAAACTTGACAGAGGATGATTGCCATTAATTCTTAGAAGCAGTATTTATTATTAGCAATATGGTTCTAAGTACATTTTTAAATTAGAGAGGTTTGAGAAACCCATTCTGTGGCTTCCAAGATCGTGTGATTTAATGCCTAAATTAGTTTGATGTTTTTTAAAGTTATAGTGTTTATGTTATGGTGTGTCTACTAATACATAAACAAAAATGCTCTATATTTCCGCCTTTTCACATCACATAGGGCTCGCCACGGGCATTTTTTTAAACTAACCAAATATGATTGCTATGTAAAATAAGAGAGTTGTATTCATTTATCAGAAAACGGAACACCGTAGAAAAAATATGAGTACGCCACTGCATTTGCCTTAGTAATCCAATCCGAATCCAAATTGCAAATTGCTAATAAAGATAACGCCATGCAGTTTTAACCATTGCTGCGTGTACAACGTCAGTATCAATAATTTGTAATATATATTTATTCAAACTAATTTAATGTATGGAATAAATAATATACAATACAGTGGTCAATACACATATCGTGGAAAAAATATAACCAGATTTTCTTACTCCGTAGGTTCAACTATAATGAATCGAGTATCCAACTCGGTCGAAAAAAGCATTCTTACACTACCCAAATACTGCATGATGCTGGTAGGAATATGGAAATTGGAATTCCCGACGAAAGATTACGTTTCTCCCAGAGTTTACGGCATCTACTCCGCATTTGTAAGGATGTACTTTCCACTATTCGTTTCTTCCATGTGTATCCAATTCATCATATCGATAGGCGCGCATAAAAGCCTCGAGGACATATTTAAAGAGTTGTCTTACATTATAATTCTGACGATAGCAGAGGTAGGAGCTATACTCTGCCAAAGAGAGGACTTCAAACAGATTATCTCTTCTATAATTGAGGAGGAGAGGCAAATATTTGACACGGGAGATGGTGAAGTCTTAAGCTATCACGCGGACCAAATAAAATTTTGCAATGCTATTAACTTGACGATTCTAATTTTCGTGGTCGGCACTGGGACTTCCATAGCGTTAGAGAACTTCTGGAAGAGGCTGGAAGTGGGACGGTATAACAACGAACGCAACGGATCCATAGAAAAACCTTTTCCTTTTCAACTCTACCTTTACAAGTTCGATCCCAACAAGCATCCCAAATTTACGCTAAGCGTGAGCTATTTAACGCTGTTTATCAACGTTTTTCTCATAATTTCGACGAAAGTTATTTTCATTGCGTGCATTATTTTCGTGTCGTCGATCTTGAGGAGGCTGCAGGTCGGGTTTAGGCAATCCGTCGTGACCTCGACCAGTTTTGTAGACCTCATTCGGCAACACCGGCGTGTGATAAGGTGCCATATCATTAGATGTTTGCGAGATAAAGGCTTTTCAAAGCGTATCATCCTTATAGGTTCGTCGGGAAACTAAACGAGTCGATAAGGTACATGATCCTGATGGAATACCTCCTAAATTCTCTCAACGTTGCCGCCGTCTCCATACAGTTTATCGCGGTGAGTGCTGGAGGGCTTACGTTGATTAGTTCATCGAATTGGTTTTCGGTTTTAGTATGAACAAGGTGTTCCTATTTCACCACTAACTTACTTGGTTTATCTGTTCGTGCAGACTTTCGCACTGGGCTGGAGCTCCAACGAAATACAAATTCAGGTATATGAAACCATAAAACGATGGACGAAAATGAATTCAAACTACTGACTAATTTCAAAGGTAGTTTGCAAAATAAAAATGGAATTTGCTCAATTGATTACCATCTGATGCGCACCGACGAACTAATTTTATTAAAAGAAGTCCATATAAAGTTGGGAAGGTTTTTATTTGTAAAATATTTATTTTTAGCAGAATATGCATACTAATGGAAATCTGAAAGATGTCAATTCGCTGGATGGGGACGATATTTTTCCAAATGCGTCGTTTTCAATTGGATACGAGCTTGCTTATTTTAAAAATAATATATTATATGATATTGCTTTTTTTTTTAAAGAACTAATATATAGTTACGTTTTTAAATCGGGCAATTATTGTTCGGATTCATAGAACGATTTATTTTTTCGAGATTAGAACAACGAACTCTTATTCAGGACAACCTAAAACCTAGTTATACTTATACTATACTTTCAATGAGCACCCTGTAGCTCAAAATATCGCTAGCGCCTCGTTTAAGTACTACTCCTTTAGAATGTTTGTTTATAGCTCAATTTTGACAATTTCTTTTTCGTTGAATAGACACTGAAACACATATAGCATACGTTGAAAAATATATGAATTATTTTTGAAATTTGCAAAAATTAAAATTTGTTTGTTGTTAAAATTCACAAGAAATAATTGTTATTTACAAGGTAACTGTTTATTTTTTTAAAACATTAAAAATTTTCGTTATGGGTATAGTTGCTTTTAGATAGTCCTGAACACCAATATGTTATTCAATTTGAAAAAAATCAATAAAAATACTTTTTTCGTTTCAAGAAGTTGGCCATGACACTTCGGTAGATGATACATGAAAAAAACCGTATTAGTGTCTTTTAGTAAGTATTTATGGACATTTCTATTTGGATCAAAATGTCTATTGATATTCCTAACTCTGCAACAGCTTCAATACAAGTTCGCCCACCACCACCACGTTCTTAAAAAGGTAACAGTATGCCGACGTTAATCAATTCTGATAGTTTTGTTATTTTCATTATTAGATCAGAATTAAAAAAATACCGCTTTGAAAAGTTTGTTTAAGTCATGCGGAATCACCATACCTAATTTTAAGAAAATCTAACCGCGATATTGGTATACCTCGTGTCCGAGCTTCGTCGAAATTATTATAGTTGTATTTTAGGCAGTTCTGAATAAGAATTCGTTAACACTTCATTATTAAAGAAATCGTCAATAGCTTTTCCCAATATTTAATAGTCCCAGTTGGCTCTGACTTCGGGTTGATACAACAAGCGACATAATTAGTGCGTTTTGGGGGAACTATCCAACAAATAAAAAATTCAAAATCAAACCGTAAACAAGAATGTACAGCCTTAAGCCGAGTGCAAACGTACTTCTCACTTCTCCCATCTCTCTATTTTGTTAAATAGTTTTAATTGACCAAAAAGAAATAAGCAGATATCTATATATATATATATATATATATATATATATATATATATATATATATATATATATATATATATATATATATATATATATATATATATATATATATATATATATATATATATCCATGTGCTAAAGTATACTACTACTAAAAGTATACTTCTTGTATACTAAAGTATTTTCACTTTTTTAATTATTTCTAAAACAATTTTTTTTGTGTTTTTTATTTGGATTGTAATGAATCCTAATAAAGCCACAATTAGCAGCAAATACTAACGAATAATGAATTGTGAACTGACATTGCTAATAATATAAAAGCAATTCTAGACACAAGTCAACTGAGACAACCTTTGCTAATGGTGGCTAACCTTCCGCAAATCACCCTGTAGAGGAGAAAATTCTAGAATTCGAAGACGGATGTTTCATATCAGCTTCCCATAAATTTAAAATTTATAATTCCGATTAACCTTCCTTTCTCTCTCTCTCTCTCACACACACACACAGACGCACTCTCTCGCTCTTTCTCTCTCTCTGCTTTTCTCTCTCTCTCTCTCTCTCTGGAAGGATTTTTTTCGTTTGTCATACACTACTACAAATAAATAAATAAATACATACGGCTTCCGATCACTTATTTTTATTTTCTTTAGAGTGGTGAAATGGTAAAGAAAATTCTTTTTCTTCAAAAATTCCCAAAAGATATTTGGATCAAATTATTGACACCAATAGTAATCCTATAACTTAAATGATTTATTTGCTGCTTACAAAATGACATCAAAAAAATGTTTCTGCACCAGCCTTGTGGTATCCGGCCTCCCACTTACTTCCTATGCACCACTTTAAAATGCCTCAATCAAATTCTTCATAGAATATTCACCGCGAAGGGGTGTGACGTATTGAAAATCAGTACAACGGGACCCTTTAATTTCGATGATTACAGGGAAGGAATACAGGAGGAAAATTTTCCGCATGGGCGGAGTTAAAGATTTCCTCGTAAAAGTTTATTTGTTAGATTAAAGTTTTCGTCCTGGCAGTCAGTGCTTGGTCTGAAGTTATCAAACGAGGTAAGTGAGTGTTTGTTTTAAGACATTTACAAAACTAAGTATATTCTTTCTTATTTAAACACTCGAAGCGAGTGCACTAAGATAACGGATAAGTCGTAAACCATTTAAGTTTATGGTAGATGTTTGGTTGAAGGCAAAAACCTCTTAAGGTGTTTTTACAGATTTGAATTGTACCCTTTGTTATTTATTTAATATAGGTGTACGTAGTTCCTCAATAGTTGAACTTAGTACTTATTGTAGATATTATTTTAAATATATATTTCAGATTTTCAGTCGTAAAGTAAGTTTTTGTATTTATGCGATAAATGGCAACCCCACTTTAAAAGTCAGGAAAGTAACATGCAATAATATAATACGAAAACGAAGCATAAGAAAAAAAAAAGGTATTCAATTCTCAATAACTCGTTTGAAGAATCGAGAGAGAGGGAGTTTTCAAACTTTGGCAGCAGTCATATTATACAAATATTATATTGTGTGCTATATATACTACATTACATTATATATATAATAAAATCTGACATCTTTGGAATTTCAAGTGAAACAGCGTGCAGATTTTTCTGCTTTTGTATTATGCTCAAAATTCTAAATTTATTGATACTTCAACTACAACAGTTTTTAAGTTATAAAAATAAGTTTTAAGATAACAAAAGAAGCTAAGCCAACGCGAAGAATTAATAAGACTGCTTGTTTAATGAATAGCTTTAGTTCGACACCATCAATTTTCGCCCTAATTCAATTTGTTAAATTTTTACAGTAAAGTATAGTATAGTATTTAATTTTCAAAGCTATTAGCTAATAAACAGGTTACTATACCAGAATATCCCAGCAGTTGTGCAAATATTATAAAAATTACTAAACACGCAAATAATAAATCATATGACAACATTAACGAACATTTAAATTAATCGTATTACTTTATTTCATGATATTTTGCAACAATTAGTTTTTTTGCAATACGTACAAAAGTACTGCATCGATATTTGGGAATATGTACCTAATATCATAAAATACAGTGCTATCCATTAATAACTTTTTAATTATTGTAAAATTTTTATGATGATGTGTGTAATTAAGGAATTTTAGCATTAAACTCAACAACTCTGATATACTCGGATATATTTAACAAAATTTGTTTGTTAAGACAAAACTAATTTATTTGAAACCCATGTTTACTGAAAATATATTTTAGAAATTAATTTGTAACTTAAAAACAGTTGAACTTAGAAGTAGGTTTCGTATATGCAATAAATAATTTTATAATGTGAAGACATAATCATCTATACGATGTGACAGAGAAATTATGCTTACAATTCTCGTAACAACTCCCTATGGGCGCAACCAAACTTGGGTAACAATATCTCTCTCAGTCCTCGATATAGTTTTGACAAGCCATTTTTGAAAATGAAAAAAAACTGAAAAGTTAAAAATCTACTTCTTTTTGGAAAACTTTGAAAGTAGCAAGGTTATTTAAAAATTGTCTACTGTTTTCAAACACAAAACTTAAAAAGATTTTTGGACCAGGATTTGGACATTCGAGATTGGTGCAATTATACAAAAAGTTTTCTAATAATTTTTGGTACGAAATATCAGATTAACTGAAAATTCCCCTTCTGATGACAACGATTAATAAGTTCAATGTTAAAGCAACTTAGTGCCTACCCACAATAAAAAAATATACATCTCAAATTTTAAAAAACCTTTTGCATATAACAACCTTTAAAAATGTAGCATAACGCAAAAAAACTATATGTCGTTATATAATGATTTTCATAATTAAAAGAAAAAGACCTTTGACGAAATGTGATTTGAGACCATCAATTCTTCAGTGCCCGTTTCGAGTGCTGAGCAGTAATACTTACTAAAACCATAAAAGTTTTAACAGCTACGCGTGGCAGAAAGGATGTGTAAAATACAGGACGTATTGGAACCATCCATTCTCACACTCCCCAAATACTTCATGATGTCCGCCGGTATATGGAAACTGGACCTGCCTACGAGCAATTACGTATATCGCAGAATTTATGAGATCTACTCCGCATTCGTGAGGATTTACTTTCCGCTGTTGGTGTCGTCTTTATCCATCCAATTCGTGATATCGATAGGCAATGACAAAAGCTTGGACGACATATTCAAAGAGTTGTCCTTCATTATAATACTGGCGATAGCGGAAGTCGGCGCCATACTATGCCAGGGGAACGCATTCAAGCACATCATGTCTTCTATAATCGACGAAGAAAGGCGAATACACGAATCAGGGGACGATGACGTATTACGCTACCATTCGGCCCAGATTAAATTTTGCAACGCTGTGGGCTTAACGATAATCGTTTTTGTGATGGGCACCGCGACCTCTATAGGTTTGGAGAACATTTGGAAAAGACTAGAAGTGGAGAAGTTCAACAAAGAACACAACGAGTCTGCTGCAAAACCTTTCATCTATGAACTATACCTGTACAAGTTAGATCCGTACAAGTATCCTAACTTTATGCTGTTTGTGAACTATTTTGTGCTCTATGTCAACGCGTTTCCAATCATTTCCACCAAGATCATTTTTATTTCGTGCATCGTTTTCACATCTTCCAGTTTGAGGAGGCTTCAGGTCGGATTTCGGAAAACCGCAACCACCTCAACCCGTCTTGTAGACCTCATTCGACAACACCAGCGAGTTATAAGGTCGTAGTACGCTTGTGCGAAAAAGGCTCTAAACTTTTCGTCTTATTTTAGATTCGTGGAGAAACTGAATGATTCGATAAGGTACATGATCCTGATGGAATACCTTCTGAATTCCCTCGACGTTGCAGCAGTTTCCATACAATTTATCGCGGTGAGTACTAAAGAGGTTATTTGGAAAGTTCTTTGAATTTCCCTTCGGTTTCAGTATGAACAGGGAATTCCGATTTCGCCGCTGACCTACTTCCTTTACCTTTTCGTGCAAACTTTCGCACTGGGTTGGAGCGCTAACGAAATACAAATTCAGGTAACAAGAAATCAGATCTGAAATCATGCTGAAAAAATACTTTCCCCGTATTCTTCAAACTACGTTAGTACTCCGCGCTTTGTGTGTGTGAAATTGGAAACCTAATAAAATGTAAAAATATCACAAAATTCTAAAATATGTGTTTTTTTCTACGGCCTCCGAGCAACATTTTATTATACGCACCAATTCAAGGAATTGAGAAAAACCAACAACCTCGTAGCTCAAACATAACAGGCGTCATTCAACATCAGATTGCACCATTTTTCGAGCCTCAAAAAAGAGGACCTTAATGTGTAAACTTCTTCCTTGTATCTTCGATAATATATCTATATCATTTGAAATAAGCAAGTTGATGCGGTTGTAATTGTCAAAATAATTTAGTGGGATGGTATATCTGGTTGTATAAAAAAGAAAAAAACAAGCTATACACCTCTAATACTTTTCTAAAACCTTTAACTTAATCTATCGCAAGGTTTGTATTTAATCCTAAAATTGGGATAAAGTAAAATTTAAAGCGACAATCACATTAATTAAATAATGTGGGGCACCCTAGGAACGAAATTTCATTGAAACAAGACCAAACAATGTGATCAATCAAAAATTAAAAATTTTCTCTTTGCCTTCCTAAAGTAGACTTAAAGAAGTTTCAATCAAAATCTTGATACATTATTCACTTCGAAAGGGGTGTATTGTAAATTGTAAAATCGGCACAATTTCACGCACCCTTACATTTCGATGATTATAGGGAGAGCGGTGAAAAATATATGCCTGGAAACTTTTATAGTACGTGGGGCGGAGTTTAGCTTTTATGGTATACATTTGTTAGATTTAAGTTTCCTTTCTCACGGTGACGACACTAGTCGCTTTCATGTTTGCAATTTATTGTAGACGTTTCGTAACTTGTGAGTCCAAGTAAGTAAAAAAATAAATAAGGCAAAAATTAATAACAATAATAATTAATACTTTTTGTAATTTAGACAGTGGTACATTCAGATTGAGTAGCACGCATTAGTTTACTAGTAGTTTCAGCATAAATACAGACTACTTTTTTTATTTTGAATATTTTCTATATGTTTTGTTTGCTTTTAATTGAATTTTTATTATATTATATATTATTTTTATTTTTTTATATTATAAAAAATACAAAATAATTAACAAAAATTTAAAAAAGAAATTTAAAGAAGAAAGAAATTTTTGCTAGTAGCTAGCTCAACAACAGGTCTGGTTCAAAATCTTCTTGCACCATTTTTCGAGTCTCGAAAAGAAAGACCGTAATGTACAAGCCTTTTCTTTATATCTGATAACACCTTGTACAAAATGAAAAAAATACCCTCTGTCATTTTAATTCTTGTTGTTTTTATTGTGGCTATGTGAAAAATGATGTCGAAAAAGCATTTCCATAATATAATATAATATTAATATTATTATTATAATAATACTCTTTAAAGTATTTTTTTAAAAATAGAATAAATACATGATTCTTTACTTCTTAGATAGTTCAAGTTCAATAATGTAAAAGCAATAGTAATCAAAATAAATAAGAACTAAAAGTTCAGATTTTCACGAAATTATATATTATGACATGACAATTGTTTCGACAACACCGTGTCTTTATCAAAAAACAATTGTCATGTCATAATATATAATTTCGTGAAAATCTGAACTTTTAGTTTGTTTTGATAAATGGATTTTCATCAAGTAAAAGCCACCTCAGTTCAACCAATAGTAATACGTAATCAAAATGTTTTGTGTGAAATCTTAAGTAAAGTTAACGTATTTACATATTTACGCACAATGTAAAATATAAAACAAAGTATCCGACTTACCCTCACCGTATAATATTTATTATTATATTCAGAATTCAGATTTCTTCACGTCGCAGATATAAAAATGGTGCCTGAAAAACACCAAGCGCTGGAAAACCCGATTCTAACGCTACCCAAATACTGTATGATGTCAGTGGGGATATGGAAATTAGATTTGCCCACAAAAAATGACGCATCCCGCATAGTTTACGGCATATACTCCGCATTCGTGAGGATTTACTTCCCGCTATTCGTCTCCTCCATGTGCATCCAATTCGCCATGTCTTTGGGAGCAGATAAGAGCCTGGAAGACCTATTTAAAGAACTGTCTTTCATAATAACCCTAGGTATAGCGGAAGTTGACGCTATACTCTGCCAGAGAGAAGACTTTAAACAGATTATCTCCTCGGTAATTGCCGAGGAGAGGGAAATACTCGCTTCGAGGGATGAAGAGGTATTACAGCACCATGCGGCCCAGATAAAATTTTGCAACGCAATCAGCTTAACCATTATTGTTTCTGTTATCGGTACTGGGACTTCAATAGCCATGGAGAACTTTTGGAAAAGGCTGGAGGTGGAACGATACAACAAGGAACGCAACGAAACATCCAGAAAACCTTTTCCCTTCGAACTTTATCTTTACAAGTTCGATGCTTCCAAGCATCCCGACGTGATGCTGGGCGTAAATTACTTCACAATTTTCATTAACATTTTTCTCATAATTTCTACCAAGATCGTGTTCATTTCGTGCATCGTGTTCACGTCGTCCATTTTGAGGAAACTCCAGGTGGGGTTTAAAACAACAACCGCTATATCATTCCGGTTGGTAGATCTCATCAGGCAACACCAGCGCGTCATAAGGTGCTCGATCATTGAGCGCATGCGCCAAAAAAGCCTTTTAAATTTTGGGATTGTTTCAGTTTTGTGCGCAAGCTTAATAAATCGGTAAGGTACATGATCCTAATAGAATACCTATTGAATTCGCTGAGCGTCGCGGCAGTTTCCATCCAATTTATCGCGGTGAGTTCCTTTGAGTTGTATTTGAATTTAGCGATGATTTTTTTTTTGGTTTCAGTTCGAAAAAGGGTTTCCGATTTCGCCATTCTTGTGTCTCGTCTATCTGTTCGTACAGACGTTCGTCTTAGGCTGGAGCGCCAACGAAATCCAAGTTCAGGTGCCATAACTCGCTATCCCTTACTCCGATATTAATTTTGTTGGTCCGTTTGGAATAAAAATGTCAATGGAGAGGAAACAGAAGATGAAAATACATTGAATATTTTCTAATATGTAAAATGTCATTTTTTCCCTTCCTTTTTAACTGTACATAATGAGTTAGGCAATATAAGGTAGGGTTTCTTTGAAATTGGATTATATATTTGGCAAAAAATTATTTTGTCAAGAACTGTTCATTTTGAAACTCAGAGCGGATGGAAAATAAAAGTTCTAAAAGTTGTAGTAGCGTTTTCATAACAAAACTGATTGAAAGTTTTGAGTTTCTAAAATTCGACTTAAAAACTTGTTATAAATTAGTGAAAATTCAAATTAATTGTCTTAAGTATCTTCCTTTGCCCGATGTATGAAAAACTATCACTTTTGAAAGCTTGCGTGGCATATATTAGTTTTTGCAATTTGTCCATTTCCTTTCAGAGTCTGGCCTTGGGGGACGCCTTGTACGATTCTCCGTGGTACGAGCAAAATGATCAAGCCAAGCGGTTAATACTGAGCATGATCGTGCGATCGCAGCGACCACTGGCCTTGACCATAGGACCATTTGACACGATGACCACAGCATCTGCACTGAGGGTGAGCTTTCATGTGCGGCACCGGAAACGATGTTTGACCACTTTTATTTCAGATAATGAAAGCTTCTTACTCATACGTTTCGCTTATGATAAACTAATTTGGTGAGGCAGTGGTCTTGTTGAATTGCTTAAATAAATGATTATTAGAGAAATTTGGTAACTTGTTTCGGTATTTCTTACACTACCAATAGTTCATTATCTTCTCACAACTTCAGTTCATTCAAAACAAAACATCATTGACCAAATATCAAAAGTTCTAAAGAAGTATAACGTCAAAACCAGATTTACCACTTGTCCAAAAATCTCTCAAAATCTCGTTAAAGACAAAATTCCATTTGAGATGCCAGGAGTTTACAACATTCCATGCATATGCGGCAAAGAATACATTGGAGAGACCGGACGAAAAATATCAACTAGTCTCGAAGAACACGAAAGAGCCTTACGACTAAGACAAATGAACTCATCATCTGTTGCCGAACACACTCACGAAACCGGACATAAACTTTTATTCGATAAAACTAAAATTCTCGCATGTAATCAGCTCTTCTACCAACCAAAAATCCGAGAGTCTATAGAAATCTATAAACAACCTAACAATTTTAACCGCTACTCAGGCCTCACCTGTCACCAATTTTGGAATCAGTCATCCGATAGGGTGTTTATGCCCCTCATTAGCGCTCCTCCTCAAACAATATGTAAGCAGGTACAGAGTAAAATCCGAGCCAGTTTCAGTCAAAATCTGAAGAAGAACATCCGCAATTTCGAACCAGCAAAAACCGACTCAGGAGGAATCCATAAGTTTTGTAAAAAGGAGAAATTAATTTGAAAACTATTTAAATTTTCAAATATTTTTTTTTTTCAAATGTCATAAACCTCTTCGTTTACGCCGCTGGAGCTAGCAATTTTGTTTTCAGTTATTCGTTGATGCAGTTTAGATGATATCTGTTATTGGTTAGTTTAGTTAGGTTGTTTCGGTTAGGAATCTGCATCTTATTTAAATTCTTCACCTTACATTCGCACCCTACACAAGGAAAATGGGCTAAAACAAACAAATCTGATACCACTGGCGCATAGACCAAAACCACACGAAAACCATAAGTTCTTATTTTATTCTTTCATTAATCATTAAAACGAAATCTCGGTTACTATCCAATTTCAATGAAAATTTCGGAAAACTCCGGATCAATCACGCGTGCTTTCGCGGAACAATCGCAGCGCAAATCACAGGGCGCCGCGACGCCGTTCCCCGCACGAGGCGCCTAATTACAGGGCCGGAGAAAGAAAAGTACACGTTACGAGGAAATAAATAATGCAAGTCGGAAAATCAGTGCCACGCAATCGGCAAGACCCGTATAAATGTTACACGACCTTGCAACTCGTTACAACTTTGCGTAGCGTCTTCAGCTGCCACTATGAACGCATCTCGAACCCATAGACCCTCCATACTCAACTTCTCGAAGTGTTTCATGATCGTCGCTGGTATCTGGAGGTTTCCCTTACACGATCCCCTCAAAATTTACCCCTACTATTCCGCCATCGTCCAATCGTACTTTGTCATCATCTGTATATCCCTGGCCGCTCGTTTCGCTCTAACTTTGGCCTCCGGAGTGTCGAACAAGAGTTCCGAGGAGATGTTCAAGCAAGCATCGTACATCATCACCGTGATAATCGTCGAATATGCAGCCATATTGTATCAAAGCGGCCCCTTGAAACGGATCTTGTCGTATATCATGGAAGAAGAACGCCAAATGCTGCAATGCACGGATCCTGAAGTGTCGCGAAACCATTTTGAGCAGCTCGGCTTCTGTCGCAAGTCCAACTTCATCATGTTCATATTCACGTGCGGTAGCGGCGCCTCCATAGCACTCGAGAACGTCTGGCGACAGCTTCAAGTGCACAAGTACAACGCTCGATTCAACACCACGCTACCTAGACCTCTGCCTTTGGAGTTGAGCTACGGAGGATGGGACGAGGAGAAACATTTCGCGTTACTTCTCATCGCCCATGACGTCTGGGTGGTTATTAGCATGTTCCTCATAGTGTCGACTAAAACCATAGTCTTTTCCTGCGTCATTTTCGTGCCATCGATATTGAAGAGGCTGAGGGTCAAACTGGGCAAGCTAGCAGAGTCGGGTCTGCGAGACCTAGTTCGCGAACACCAGGACGTTATCGGGTGAGCCTCTATTTCATGAATTCACCAACCCTCACCCAACTGATTTCAGTTTCGTAGAAAGACTAAACAACTCCCTGAAATATCTGGTGCTGCTTGAATATATTCTAAATTCTTTGAACGTGGCTACCGTGTCAGTGCAGTTCATAACGGTAAGCGATATGTGTTCAAGTTAGAAGCGAAGATTTAATTTTTGATTTGCAGTACGATCCGAAGATGCTGCCGGCACCTGCTTTTTATTTCAGCTTCCTAATAGCTCAGATCTTCATTTTGGGATGGAGCGCTAATGAAATAAGGGAGCAGGTAAATCCATCGAGCTGTGTAGAATACGTAATCAACGGATATCTTGCAGAGCCTAGCACTGTCGGATGCCTTGTACGACAGTCTTTGGTACGAGCAAAGCGAGACAGTGCGAAAGGTGTTGTTGGCTATGATGGTCCGCGCCCAAAAGCCGCTTGCGTTGACAATCGGTCCGTTTGAACCCATGACGACTCAATCTGCAGTTACCGTAACCACGAAGTGAAGCAAATCATCTTCCTCTAGTTGCATTTTGTCTTTTAGGTTATTAAAGCGTCGTATTCGTATGTCACTGTGATGATGAACAGTTACGAGTGATCTTTACATATTGGATGACGCTGTTCAAAAGTTTGTTGTACATATTTTGAATCAAGAGTCAGCGCTAATGACAGAAATAAAACTTGTTTGTTTGAATGATTGTGTTCTTAACGCCCTCAAAGGAATTACCACGAAGACCGTTTTCTTTCTCGATGGTTGAACTATCTCGTTTATTTTTGAAACCTTCAGAAATTATCACGAGTGCTCGTGGCTGATCGTCCAAGCCACCAAAACACTCCGATGTATTTGTCGAATAACAAACACCGCGGGTAAACAAAACACTCGTTATTATATCGACCATCCACTTGAACGCTCGCACCTAGAGCAATCTAATCCGAAACTAATTTAGTATCAATCAACATGCTGCGTGGAATCTTTTCCATTCTGACGGTTCTGTTGGCTGCATTCTGCCCTTGCAGCTTCCAAGCTGACATTGCCGACAAGTACTTTCCTCAATCCTTCAGATTCGGAGCTTCGACAGCCGCATACCAGATTGAAGGTGCTTGGAATGAGGATGGTAAAGGCGAAAATATGTGGGACCATTGGTTGCATGAAAACGCCGGCCATACAGACGACGGTCTCAACGGCGACGTCGCCTGCGACTCGTACCACAAGTGGCAGGAGGACGTACAACACTTGAAAGAGCTGGGAGTCCAAACCTACAGGTAATCTGCGATCTTGTGCTCGCACAGCTTAGCACTGGTTTCTTTGTAGGTTTTCATTATCATGGAGCAGAATATTACCAACCGGATATCCCGATACTATTAACCAGCTAGGTGTTGACTACTACCTCACCCTTATCAAGGTGAAGCGAAGGTCGATGCTGCCATCCTTTGTAGTCTGACACCATTATTGTTACAGACTTTGAAAGAGAACGGTATCGAGCCGATTGTCACCATATACCATTGGGACCTCCCGGAAGTCTTCAACGAACAGGGAGGGTGGTTGGTACCCGAAGTCTCCGACCATTATGAGAGTTACGCGAGGGTGTGCTTCCAACTCTTTGGAGAGCAGGTCAAATATTGGGTGACGGTAAACGAACCCAAGTCTACTTGCATGTGGGGCTACGGTACCGGCATCCAAGCACCGGGACTGACCTTGATCGGGGATGGAGTGTACACTTGCGCTCACAATATTTTACTCGCTCATGCCAAAGCATGGCATGTCTACGACACAGAGTTCAGAAGTCAACAAGGAGGTATCTATATTCCCAGAATAGCCATGGTATTAAGGGGTCTACATGTGAATTTGTCGCTATGGGGCTTATAAGTTTCATGATATGACGCAACCTAAAAATTCATTCTTTATAGTATTTTGCTTTTACGTCAGGAAAAGTCGGTATAGTTCTCGACCACACGTGGAGTGAACCGGCTAGCAATAGCCAACAGGACGCCGAAGCGGTGGAAAGGGAAAACGAATTCGGTGTAAGCGACTAAAACACGATGTAGACTGATTAAGTTTTAATTTATTCCTTTCAGCTTGGTTGGTATGCCAATCCCGTCTACTTAGGCAACTACCCCCAGGTGATGATCGACAGGATCGGAAATAGGAGCGTCCAGGAAGGTCTCTCCCAATCCCGATTGCCTCAATTCACTGACACACAAGTTGAGTTTATTAAAGGCACCTCTGACTTTTTCGGCCTCAACATGTAAGCACTCTCCTGACGATCGCGACCATTCTTGAAACCGGTATTCTAGGTACACCGGCTATATGGTGCAGTATACCGATGATTACCAGGCGAATCCCCCCACGTATTGGGGTGATAAAGGTGGTAACACATATAGCGACCCCTCGTGGCCGAAATCATCTCTGGACTGGCTGACCTCCTATCCGGAGGGCTTGAGAAAACTTCTCAATTACGTCAATGACAAATACAAACCACCAGAGATCATTGTTACGGAGAACGGGTGGACTGACGTCACAGGCACCTTGGACGACGACGACAGAGTATCGTACTACCAAGGCTACTTGAGTAACCTATTGCTAGCACTGGTCGAGGATGGCGTCAACGTCACGGGTTACACGTTGTGGAGTTTGCTGGATAACTTCGAATGGGGTTCGGGATACACGTAAGTGTAACTTATGATGAGGAAATCGTTACTGAGGTTACGTGTGGTTCTCAGGCAAAAGTTCGGCATAATCCATGTGGACTTCAATAGCCCGAACAGGACGAGGACGTGGAAAAAATCGGCCAAGTGGTATCAAAACGTTATCGCAACCAGATGTTTGGTCGATCAGTGTCAATAAAAACTTATTATTATTAAAAACGTTTCCAATATCTTTCATATGTTTTCTTTTCTTTTTACCACGGCACCTGGCATCTGTTTTGGTTTCCTATGCTCCAGCTTGTTATATATGATATTGAAGGGTCGCCAGATATTGTCATGTAACTAGTCCTATTTCCATAACCTTAATAACGTCAAAATTAGTGGATTTTCTTATATTTGTTAGTGCCACACGTTGTTATTTGGATCCTCTCCCAAAACCCTAGACACTTATACACCACCCTACAGTTTATGGTATCAAAGGTCTCCGCACCTTGCCAAATAATTGTTTGGTTTCAAGGTTTCGATGTGAGTTCTGGTTTCTCAGAGCATTAACACGTTTGTATTATGCATAAGTCACTATTTAGTAAATGTCAAAATTTCTATTCATCAATAACTTTTGAACAGGTGGCGCTACTGCGAATTATGCTTTTTTACTCACTAACTGCGAATTATGCTTTTTTACTCACTAACTGGGTAGTAGGGGTATTTGCCAGAGTTTATCTGATGGAATGTCAGTTATAATTTTTTGAGTATTCAACATTCTATTAGTCATCACGCTGAATATGATAAAGTGAGTCATAATACGATTAGATCAACACAATAAGCTGGACATTTTCAATAAACACATAAAATCCTTAGCCAGCAGCAGAGGCGTAACTATAAAAATGTAGACGGTCCCATAGAAACAAAACTACTACTTTAAAGCACACTGAACCTTTCACAATCAAAGGAGATTTTGCATAATGTCAATTTCGTTAAGTTTTATTGCCATTTTGAAAATGATATAAATTTGAGGACAAGGAAATGCCACAAAACTATCCGTGCCTTCGAAACTGTTTTCCCCGTTCACGCTACGTCTAGGTTTACCTAGAATGAAAAAACGTGCCGCTCAGCACTCGATGGAGATTCTATATCTAACGCTTACCAAGTACTAGAACAAACAACGTATAAGTTTCAATGGATTTCACAAAATCGTATATATACGCAGGTTATCATTTGGGCTTATTACCAACTAGACTGAACATTAATAATGCAACCCTACTTAGTGGTGGTCCTCTGCATAATATCGAGGTAAGCTTTTTTCGTATACTTTGAAGCACACTTAACGATGGTACTTTTAGCTCCAAAGCCGATATAAACAACAAATACTTCCCGGAATCTTTCCAATTCGGTGCTGCCGGAGCCGCGTACCAGATCGAGGGCGGCTGGAACGAAGATGGCAAAGGGGAGAGCATATGGGACCATTTTTTGCACTACAATAACCCTACAAGTACGTAAAAATTTGTCGCGCACACCACGAGTTATTTTTCTTATTACTCGAACAGGCAAAGTCATCGACGGCACCAATGGCGACGTAGCATGCGATTCGTACCACAATTGGCAAGAGGACGTGGATAATCTAAAGAAGCTCGGAGTCAAGCTCTACAGACTTTCCATTTCCTGGACAAGAATTCTACCGGACGGTACTCCATACCAAGTGAATCAGGAAGGAATCGATTACTATGTTAATCTGTTCAAGGTAGGTAGTAAAGTCTATATTAAATCGGTCTGTTGAATCACATTTCAGGCGCTCAAACAAAACGGAATCGAACCAGTGGTAACCCTCTATCATTGGGATTTGCCTCAGCACCTTAGCGACTTTGGAGGTTTTTTAAACCCCCAACTAGCTGATTATTTCGCTGCTTATGCCCGCATCTGTTTCGAGAACTTTGGCCCTTACGTCAAGTACTGGATGACCATCAACGAACCGACATCTACGTGTGGAATGGGCTACAGCATGGGGCTGTATGCACCGGGGTACACGTTAATCGACGGTGGTATGTACCAGTGCGCTTACGTTACATTGTTGGCTCATGCTAAAGCGTGGCACGTCTACAACGACGAGTTCAGAGCTCAGCAGGGAGGTAAGCACATGAATTTCGAGTGGAGTCAGACCCAGATGTTGATGGATTTTAGGGAAAGTTGCCCTAGGCCTGGTATGCAGCGCCCAGATGCCGTTGGATCCCAATAATCCCAAAGATCAGGAGGCGGCCGAAAGGAGCCATCTAATGGGTGTAGGTATCTACTAACACTCTATACTAGGATCCCGTTCTAAGTAATGCCCTTTTGTTTAAGTGTGCCTCTTTCGGTAATCCGGTATTCGTCGGAAACTGGCCCCAAGTGATGATCGATAGAATCGCTGCCAAAAGCAAAGAAGCCAATTACCCTTTCACGCGGCTCCCGGTGTTCACGCAGGAGGAGATCGATTTGATTAAGGGAACCAGCGACTTCTTACCACTTAACTAGTAAATCTCGCAAACCGTTGCTTTCAATTTTTACGTGCCCTTGTCCGTAGCTACTCTTCTTCGCTGGTTGAATACATAGACGAATTGGTAGGATTTCCGCCCAACGCGTGGTTCGATATCAGCGTCGTGACTTCCGCTAACAAATCCTGGCCTCAAGCTGCTTCCCCCTGGCTTACCTCCTACCCGGAGGGACTCAGAATCATTTTAAACCGGCTAAACAAGGATTACAATCCCAGTGAGTTCATAATCACTGAGAACGGCTGGTCCGACACAGGCGAGCTGGATGATCAGGGTCGCATCACCTACATTCAGGTAAGATTCAGCAGGAAATTTTTCGAACCGGAAGGAAGACTCGGTGGTGCAATTGCTTTTATTAGGCTCACATGAGCGCCATCTTGGACAGTATCTTAGAAGATGGCGTCAATGTTACTGGCTATACCGTCTGGAGTCTGATGGACAGCTTCGAATGGACGGCAGGGTACACGTAAGTCGGAGCTCTAGACGTTGTTTGATGAGTCTGAGTTTCATCGTTGTTTAGGGAAAAATTTGGGCTCATCAAGGTCGATTTCGACGACCCACAGAGGACCAGAACCTGGAAGAGTTCGGCAAAGTACTACCAAAACGTTATCGCCACCAGGTGCTTGTTGAATCAGTGCGAATGAGGATATTATTGAACACTTACTGGGGAAATATTTAACAAATTGTACTGTTCATATACATCATGTAAATAAATCCAACTATATACCTAGAACACATCTAGATAAAAGATCTTTTAATGTTATCTGAAAACGCAATAAAAAATAACTTCAAGGAATAATAAATATTCAAATATTAAATAAATAAAACTGAATCAAAAAAGATTTTCCAGTATGTTTTATCGAAATAAATCTCGTAAACCTGTTTAACTTAAAACTCATCACTCTATGATAATCTTCAAAAGATGGGAAAGGAACAAGAATGTTATGGCATGAAATAGGGAGATTATAGAATACCACAAGCACTCTCTATATTACTACAAAGACAAACCATCCGAGATTCAAATACAAACATCAGGAATTCAATTTTTGTTGATTATGAGTTGAATGAAATGCGAAATTAAATCATTCTCTTCTGGTCCCGCTAATAACTTATAACTATTAGTTTTGGTTAGTTGATGAATAATGGTGACTCACCGTGCTGATGTTTACTGTTGGAATTATATCTATATATTCTTTGCAAGATATAGCCCATTGGTAACTAAATGATAGGTCGAGCTGTAGACGATCACCAGTAACGCATTACTACCAGAGTCTCTTGCTTGATAGCACTGTCGGCAAATGAAAACTCCTTTGCTTATTGGGCTGATTTTTCATCTGATGGAATATCATTCATAGTTTATCGAGTGATCAAAATTAATCATGCTGTTAATAATCTTGCTGAATACAATAGATTGAATCACAATGCGATTAGATTTAGGCGATAAGCAATAAATTTGAAAATAATAAATGAATAAAAAAAATCATAACCGGCAGCATAGGCGTAACAATATAAAAACGTAGCTAGTAATAAGGAAGCAAAATTGATTATGGGCTAATGACATCTGAGCTGCTAATAGTAATTACCATTACCACAATTACATTTTCCAAAACTTTGTACAATCTGGGGACTTTCTTCCAGGTTAAATAGATATTGTACCCTTCAGCATGAACGAAGATGCTCGCATAATCCGAATGGCGTTACGTTTCATAAGCACATAATAAATGCGAAGGCAAGGCTAGTCAAAAAATGCGGTAATATCTTAAAGGGACATATTGACGATGTTTCCTAAAACTAGGGTACATTTGGATCGCTTTGATAAGTACTTCAAAAATATTTTCCTGGCAACGTCTAGGTTTACCTAAAATAAAAAACGACGAGACGCCAATCTCTCGATCGAGATTTCAGTTTCCAAGTGCTATAACAAGCAAACAACGTAGAATTTTCAATGAATCTGGCGAAATCATATATATATATGCTGATCATAATTGGAGTTTATTAGCGACTTGATTAAACCAGCCCACTGAATATTAATGATGAGGCGATACTGCTTAGTGGTGGTCCTCTGTTTAGTATCAAGGTAAACGCTTCTCATATATTTTTAACCATGCATCACGGTGATACTTTTAGCACCCAGGCCGACATAAACAACAAATACTTTCCCGAATCTTTTCAATTCGGTGCTGCCGGAGCGGCATATCAGATCGAGGGCGCCTGGAATGAAGATGGCAAAGGGGAAAGTATATGGGACCATTTCTTGCACTACAACAACCCTACGAGTAAGTCAAAACTTGTTACGCAAACCCCGAGTTATTTTTCTTATTACTCGAACAGGTAAAGTCGCCGACGGCACCAATGGTGATGTAGCTTGCGACTCATACCATAAGTGGCAAGAGGACGTGGATAATTTAAAAAAGCTTGGCGTCAGGATCTACAGGCTTTCCATTTCTTGGACAAGAATTCTACCGGACGGTACCCCGTACCGAGTGAATCAGGAAGGAGTCGATTACTATCTCAATCTGTTTAAGGTAAGCACAAAAGTCGGTGTTAATTCGTTCTGATGAATCACATTATAGGCGCTCAAACAAAACGGAATCGAACCATTGGTAACCCTCTATCATTGGGATTTGCCTCAGCACCTTAGCGACTTTGGAGGTTTTTTGAACCCCCAACTAGCTGATTATTTCGCCGCTTATGCCCGCATCTGTTTCGAGAACTTTGGCCCTTACGTCAAATACTGGATGACCATCAACGAACCCCAAACTACATGCGGGTCGGGCTACAGCTTGGGGGCGCACGCCCCAGGATACACACTGATCGACGGTGGCATGTACCAGTGCGCTTACGTTTCGTTGTTGGCTCATGCCAGAGCGTGGCACGTCTACAACGATGAGTTCAGGGCTCAGCAAGGAGGTGAGCACTTTATAGCCGCGTGGAGTCCAATCCCGACATTGAGGTTTTCAGGGAAAGTTGCCCTAGGCCTAGTATGCGGCCTTTCGATCCCGTTAGACCCCAATAACCCGAAGGACCAGGAGGCCGCAGAAAGGAACCATCTAATGGGTGTAGGTGTCAAATAATTTCTGTACTAGGCTTCATCCTAAGTAATGCCCTTTAATATAAGTGCGCCTCATATGGGAATCCGGTATACGTCGGAAACTGGCCCCAAGTGATGATCGATCGAATCGCCGCCAAAAGCAAAGAGGGCAACTATCCTTTCTCCCGACTTCCGCAGTTCACCCAGGAGGAGATCGACTTGATCAATGGAACCAGCGACTTCTTAGCCGTTAACTAGTAAATCTCGTTAATCGGGGTTTTAAGTTTTTAATCGGCCTTGTTCGTAGCTACTCCTCCGCGCTGGTTCAATACCTAGATGATTTTGTGGGATTCCCGCCCAACAATTTATTTGATCTCAACGTCCTGGCTTTCGCTAACCAATCATGGCCGCAAGCTGCTTCCATTTGGCTTACCTCCTATCCGGAGGGACTCAGAATCATTCTAAACCGGTTAAACAAAGATTACAATCCCGGCGAGATCATAATCACTGAGAACGGCTGGTCCGACACTGGAGAGCTGGACGATCAGGGTCGTATTACCTACATCCAGGTGAGATTCAGGTGGAAATTTCTCAAACCGGATTTGATGATGCAGCTGTGTTTATTAGGCACACTTGAGCGCCATACTGGATAGTATCTTGGAAGATGGCATCAACGTTACCGGCTACACGGTCTGGAGTCTGATGGACAGCTTTGAATGGTCGACAGGGTACACGTAAGTGACTGAACTTTGATGGTCGCCGATTAGGCACAACTTCTTTCTCAGGGAACCGTTTGGACTCATCAAAGTCGATTTCAACGACCCACAGAGGACCAGAACGTGGAAGAGTTCGGCAAAATACTACCAGAACGTTATCGCCACTAGATGTTTGTTAGATCAGTGCCAATGAGAATATTGTTTATCTATTACTGCGTAAATGTGTAGTAAATTAGAAAATGTAGTGCATAAAATTATAAATATAGTGTTACTGATATTATAAATTCATTCATTACTTCTTTAGAAACAAAAGAACCACTCATAATGAAACAGTTTAATCAAAATATTATTGCACACACGCAGCCAAAGACAAAGTGTGGCCCTAGAGGTTGGTATGGGATACACACATCAAGATGCTCCTGCATACTTTTCACTTGTGCATTCCCATCCGGGCTTTGATAGTCCTTGGTACAGGCACAGCTGCACAAGGGGGCTTTATCAGCAACTTTAACAGAACTTTTTCAGGCAAAACAGTAAATCGATGCTATTAACCATTTATTAGCTTTTTATGTCATTTATGCCAACTTGTTTTGTGACATTTTCACACCAACCGGTATGAACTTGTCGCCATGGTTAAAAAAAGTTTTGTTCAGATAACGCCAACCCTCTCCAAATAATCTACTGGACTAGATAATGAAAAAAAAAAACACTTTCTAAATGTGTTTTTAATTTGTTGTCGCTGTTTGAACGTATCCCGACGATGCTCACCTTACGAGTTTTTCTGCTATGTCTCACGTTTAACTGGTAAGTGAAAAACTTCCAATACACTTGGTTCCGAGTTTAGATTTTCATCTACATTTTAAAGGTGCCACGGCGCCGACTTATCCAACAAGTTCTTTCCTAAGAACTTCCAGTTCGGCCTTAGCACTTCTGCTTATCAAATCGAAGGAGGATGGAACGAAGGTGGCAAAGGGGAAAGCATGTGGGACCGTTACTTCCACGAAAACACATGTGAGCTTAGATAAATCGGATATTTCTTCTGATTCATAACCGCGTTTATCGTATTTCCAGCTAGGAGTCTGGATGGATACAACGGCGACGTCACTTGCGACTCCTACCATAGGTGGGAGGAAGACGTGCAGATACTCAAAGACATCGGCGTAGACGTCTACAGGTTGACCGCTCAACTCTACGTCACAGAGCGACTGCTAAACACTTTGGCTTTTCAGATTCTCAATCGCGTGGACCAGGATATTACCTGATGGTACCACCAAACACATTAACCAGGAAGGAGTGAATTATTACCTAAATTTAATAAAGGTGCTAGTATTTCCAAGATCTGATAGAAACCCAATTGCTTCCTTTCCAGGCCCTAAGAGACAACAACATAGAGCCACTGCCTACCTTGTACCATTGGGACCTTCCCCAGCACTTAAGCGAACTGGGCGGCTGGCTGAATCCCCAGATAGCCACCTACTTTGGCGATTACGCGAGGATTTGCTACCAAATGTTCGGCGAACACGTTAAAAGATGGCTCACCATCAACGAGCCCAAATCCACCTGTCTTATAGGCTACGGGAGTATTAACAACGCCCCCGGATTGGAACTGATAGGTGATGGCATATACCAGTGCGCATACGTGCAACTTCTCGCGCACGCCAAAGCTTACCGCATCTATGACGAAGAATTTAGGAATTCGCAAGGAGGTAACGAAAGCTCCCAACTCAATCCTCGCCGTCTGGCACGTTTAATTTCAGGAGTGGTCAGTATCGCTCTGGATCATCCGTGGAGTGAACCTTACAGTGACTCGCCATTGGATGTAGAAGCGGCCAATATCGAGAATCAGTTCGGCGTAAGTAATCTGCCATAGTACACACAACAACAGAAAATATTGAAAGAATTGACAATTTAGCTTGGTTGGTACGCCCACCCGATATATCATGGCAATTGGCCCCAGCCTATGATAGAGCGCATAGGAAATCGAAGTCTTCTCGAGGGTTACACCTTCTCCCGCTTACCAGTTCTGAGTAATGAAGATGTGGAGTACATCAAAGGCACTCACGACTATTTCGCCATAAACATGTAAGTAACGTCTACATATTAAGGCTCGACGTCTTTATGATAACAATTAGCTATACTGGTTACTATACGCAACACATTGACGACTATGGCGTGGGCGAGCCCAGTTACTGGCTGGATAAGGGCAACAACGTCTTCAGCGACCCCTCGTGGCCGAAATCGTCTTCTGACTGGCTTACTTCTTACCCGGAAGCTATGAGGAAACTTCTCAACTGGATCAAGGTGGAGTACAATCCCGCAGAGGTGATGGTTACTGAAAATGGGTGGCCGGACAGCACCGGAACCTTAGAGGATCAAGAGAGGATCACCTACATGCAGGTTTGATGCTTATCATCGTTTATACAAATTGGTGATGTTTCCTTTGCAGGGTTACTTAAGCAATCTACTGGATGCTATCGACGATGGAGTCAACGTAATCGGTTACTTGCACTGGAGTCTGCTCGATGTCCTTGAATGGAATGCGGGTCATACGTAAGTTCAAATATGGTGCGAGCTGCGGGGTAGTTTTTTGTTTTTCTTAAAGGCAAAGGTTGGGGTTAGTCCATGTGGATTTTGAGAGCGCGAACCTGACAAGAACTTGGAAAAATTCGGCGTACTGGTATCAGAATCTGTTGACTACCAGGTGTTTGGTGGATAATTGCCAGTAGTACCCTTGCCCAATAAACGAATCGTTGGTGATTTTGTTGTTTTATTTTTGTGTGCGTCAGAGTGTCGAAAGCGTTGCGTAAGACGCCATTGTCTTTTCGAGTGGTTGATAAAGGTGTTGTTTTTCCTAAAAACACTTGAAGGTACGATTTGAACTATTTTTATCATACCGCAACAAGCAAAACAAACAAAACTAACCAGGTCTCATTTGTGAGAGAAACTGTAGTCACAAACAAATGTACGCCCGGAGATCCCAGAGACGGAGTAGCGAACGATCATTTTAAAATCATAAAGGGCATAAACAGCTTCATCGGTGATCTGCTCTTGGGCTGCTTTTACATCTTTCTAGACGTTCCCTTAAAAGTATAAAGAAAGGCACGCAAGAAGAAAAGATCAGGTGATTTTGTTTATCAGCTGCTCTCTTATGATGTCATGAGGTGGATTGTAGTGTTGGAACTAGAGTGGAACATATAATAAAATCGTTCTCAAAAAATTTTTGTAATTCTAAATTTGTATATAAATTTCACATAACAACCAGTTATCTTAAATAAACACTCAAATACTAACCACTCGAGATATCATATCCAACATTCCCCAAGTGCTTATACCACAGTAAACAACTTGTTATTTTTAATAAACCTCACGTAATCTTACTTATACCTTCTTCATCATCTTCAAAGGTTTTATTTCCAAGCAGCCCCCAGCACGTAGACCATGAAGAGGTACTGCTTGATTCTGGTACTCTACTTAATATCGAGGTAAAAGGTACCTAAATACTTTCGACCACACGTGACAAAGATACTTTTAGTTCCCGGGCCGATATAAGTAACAAATACTTCCCGGAATCTTTCCAATTCGGTGCTGCCGGAGCCGCGTACCAGATCGAGGGCGGCTGGAACGAAGATGGCAAGGGAGAGAACATATGGGACCACTTCTTGCACTACAACGTTTCAGGTACGCCACATGTTCTCCCAAACTACCAGCGACATTTTTCTTTTCTCTTACGCAGGAAAAGTTGTGGACGACTCCAATGGCGACGTAGCTTGCGACTCGTACCACAAATGGCAAGAGGACGTGGATAATCTGAAGCAACTAGGGGTCAAACTCTACAGGCAAGTATACTACCATAGGTATGTCTAGGAGCAAGCGTTGAAGCCTATTATTTCAGGTTTTCGATCTCATGGTCGAGGATTCTTCCTGACGGTACACCGTACCAGGTCAATCAAAAAGGAATCGATTATTACCTAAATCTGATCAAGGTAAGTACTAAAAAAAAAGTCAACTTTGCATGTCCCATTTTACGTTTTAGGCGCTAAAACAAAACGGTATTGAACCGGTAATCACCCTGTATCACTGGGACCTGCCTCAGCATCTGAGCGAGTTCGGAGGATGGTTGAACCCCCAGATATCTGATTATTTCGCCGCTTACGCACGCATATGCTTCGAAAACTTTGGGCCTTATGTCAAGTACTGGACCACCATCAATGAACCCCTGTCCACCTGCGTTATTGGCTACGCTCAAGGGCTGCATGCTCCTGGGTATTACCTGATCGACGGCGGTATGTACCAGTGCGCCTACGTGTCGTTACTGGCTCACGCCAAAGCGTGGCACATTTACGACGAGGAATTTAGGGCCCAGCAGGGAGGTAAGAATTTTAAAATCGGATGAAATGAGATCCTGAATATGGCGATTTTCAGGAAAAGTTGGTATAAGTCTGGCATGCGGCGCCCAGTTGCCTTTTGATCCCAACAGCGCCCAAGACCAAGAAGCAGCGGAAAGGAATTATCAAATGGGAGTAAGTACCAACTATAGCGCTTACCTATGTGCTGATAAAATTATTTCCTGAAGTGCGGCTGGGTCGGTAACCCCATCTACTTCGGCAACTGGCCCCAAGTGATGATCGACAGGATCGCAGCTAAAAGTAAACAAGACAACTACCCATTCTCGCGACTTCCAGAATTCACCCAGGAGGAGATCGAGTTCATAAAAGGAACCAACGACTTCTTACCCCTTAATTAGTAAGTCGATTCCCACGCTGCTTTCCTAACTACAAGAGGTGCGTTTTCTTGTAGCTATACTTCAGCGCTGGTACAATACGCTGATGAATGGACCGGTGCGCCTAGCTACTGGCTCGACATTAACGTCCAAACTTTCGCTAACGAATCCTGGCCCAAATCAGCTTCCGACTGGCTGACTTCCTATCCGGAGGGACTGAGGATCCTGCTTAATAGGATAAACAAAGATTACAATCCTGGAGAGATCATCATCGCTGAGAATGGCTGGTCTGACAACGGAGAGCTCGACGATCAAGGTCGCTTAACATATATCCAGGTAAACTAAAAGCTTTTTTAAAATATCACATTCATGTTCAAATGGGCTAAAAACATGCGCATTATGTGTCGAGATGGAAAGTGCCCCAAGATGCTGTACTTGGGCAACACATTGTCAACATTTGTGAAAACAGTGCGTTGTAAATGAGACTTAAAAATGGTCTGGTTGTTAGGCACACTTAAGCGCCATCTTGGAGAGTATCTTAGAAGATGGCGTGAACGTGAGTGGCTACACCGTGTGGAGTTTGATGGACAACTTCGAATGGGCCGAAGGCTACACGTAAGTGTCTTACGTTTCTTCGGCTGTTCACCATACTGATATTTGTCATGTCCAGGCAACGTTTTGGTATCATCAAAGTTGACTTCGATGACCCGCAAAGGACTAGAACGTGGAAAAGTTCTGCTAAGTACTACCAGAACGTGGTGGCCACCAGGTGTTTGTTGGATCAATGCCAATGATGATATTCATTCAATCCGAATAAATCTGGTTGCCTGATACTCAGTGTTCAGTGTTTCATTTCCAACCTTGATACCCCACTTCACTTGTTCTCCCTTGTTCTTCACCTGGCTTGAATATAATTGCAATTTTATTAGTCCTATTTTGACAGGCCCATTTGAGCGTGATCTTGGACAGTATCTTGGAAGACGGCGTCAACGTCTCCGGCTACACCGTTTGGAGTTTGATGGACAACTTTGAATGGCAAGAAGGATACACGTAAGTTTTCCAGCTTTTGGCTATTGTTGCTATGTTTATTATAAGAGATAATTTACTGTAGGCAAAGGTTTGGCATTATTAAGGTCGATTTTGATGATCCGCAAAGGACCAGGACCTGGAAGAGCTCAGCCAAGTACTACCAAAACGTTGTGTCGACGAGGTGTTTGTTGGACCAGTGTCAATAAAGATGTCGTGGAAGTAATACAATAAAATGTGAAATGTGCGTGCTGTATAATTTCTACCGTTCCTTCCTCTGTCAATTACCGACACTTATTGTCTTCTAATTTATTTTAAAAATTTTAATTGAGTACATAATTATTGTGTAGGCTATACATTGTAGGCTAGATTCTCAGTTCAGACCATAATAATTGCAAATGAAAACACATTAAATAATATCTATTATCTTAATTTATTTAGTGCTCGTTATAACATCAATTAACGTCGCCGTCAGTCTGTTGCCGCCTTTAGTAGGCCATGCCCATATAAGGCTGGTAACCGGTTCGTCCAAAACCAATTGCGCTGTACCAAGACTGGTCATAGCCTGGTGTACCGTATCCGCGTCCGGAACCGCCTTGGCCGAACCACTGCTGAGAGAGCTGTTGGTGAAGTTGCACGATCTCTCGTTGGTACGCTAACTGTTGTCGCACCATTCGCGTTTGTTGGTTAACCAGAACCTCAGTCTCCTCCCTCTGGGATTCACCGGACTGCATCTGTTCCAACATTTGCTCCAGTTCATTGGCTACGCGTTGCTGTTGCTGCATAAGTTGGTAACTTTGTTGATGCAACTGATGCAGTTGCCATCTCATCGTCTGCATGCTAGGGTACATTTGTTGATAGTTGTTGCCGTAGTACTGAGAGCCATAGCTCTGTCTACCTCTGTTAAGCCACCAGACGGGGCTTTGCCAGAAAGCCTTGGAGTACCCGTAGTTTCCGGTGAATGGCCAGGCAGCGTAAGGTCCCGGGAATTGGTTGTTCAAATAGCCGTAGGTCTGGTAAGAACTATGTTGGAACTTTTGGTTTTGGGTCAACTGCTGAAGGACTTGTTGCGCCGCCTGGACCAGCGCCTCGGCTTCCTGAATCTGTCGTTGGAACTGCTGACCCATCCATACGGAATGGAACCAGCCGCGGCTCTGATAGAATCGCTGCAACTGCCTCACGGTTTGGCGGGCGACTTGCTCGACCTGCTGAGCCTGCTGGATCAGCTCAGGGACGCTATCGAATTGTTGCTGGGCGTGGAACTGGTCGTCGATGTTCGCCAAAGCTTCGTAGATTACGTCAGGGATTTCACCACGTTGGACCGCTATCCTGACTTGATTCAAGACGTGACCATAAGTTTGAGCATCGTTCACCCCTTGGTAATCTTTGAAGATATGGTACATCTGCCCCAAAACTCCAAAAGGTTCGGTAGTCATTCCGGTGGAGAGACCATATTCCAGTTCTCGTTGGTAGGCCGACTTATGGTAGGGTTGAAGGTAGTCCCTAACGATTTGGTTATGGTTGTCGATTTGGATGGTCCTAGTAGGGCCGTGGACGGGACTCACGACCACTTCGACGTATTTGTCGAACTGCTGGGGAGTAGTGAAGACTACCCTCTTACCTCCCGGTACGCTTACCACTATGGTGCCGTCGTGACCGATGCGGATGTCTTTTGGTTGGCCGTAAAAAGGAGCAGCGAAGGCAAAAGCCAAACACGCTAGGAAAACGACGGATTTCATCTTGGTAGATGTGGCGGTACTGGACGAATCTGCCTTTTGAGGATCCCGTCAGTCGTTTTATACGGAACCGTATCGGAAATATGTGGCGTAATGTCTTGTTGCCAAGGTGGGTGTGCGCGTTTTTTATCGCCGAAGTCGATTTGTTTTTTCTTTCGCATTGTCGCGAGAAAAATATGTTTGTCGTGCGATTTTGGTGGAATTTTTCAAAAAGGAATAGTAATTTTGACCATAAAATACTTAACAACAACTTAAACAGTTTTATGGGATAATGTGGTACGACCAAATAACAAATATAGATTACCCTTTTACCCCCTTAAAAATAAAAAAATATAGGTTTCTTCCATTTTTTCTAACGCTGTTATATATGCAGCTTACAACGTTATCTTATTAAATTTGCATCTTATAAATTTAGAAGATATAATAAAAATATAAAATATTAATAAAAAGATGTGTTTTTTTTTTGCTTTTATTATGAGAATAACTTTTGTGCAAGGTAGTTGTAGTTAAATATTAGAAAACTTTGTAAGAAAAAAAACTTTCACAAAAAATTCTATTCTTCTGTTTTACGAGAATTTAATAGAATTGTGTACTTCAATGACCATAAAAACGGAATCCAGAAGATTTTTAAATAGTATTGCAGTAACCTGTGTAAGTTTCTTTGAAAGATTAACTAGTGTTTTGATTTTTGCTTCGAAATTTATAAACACTACCATTTTTTAAATTTAAGTATAGCAAGGATTATCAAAGCATGTCCTTAAATATATCGATAATAATTATATGACCTCCATATTATAATTATTAAAATAGTCTTGCTCTTAATGTTATATATATCACATTTTTTTTGTTCAGCAAGTTTTCCTGTTTAATAACATATTTTCCCTAAGAATTTAAAACTATTTCTAAAAATGCCTATGCAGAAAGGCAATTTAACATTTATTTGTGGGTCACATTATTTATACGAAATACTACTATGATATGGTTTTTATTGGGTTTAGCGTTTCATTCATCCTGAAACAGATAACTGGTAGTAAAATCTTGAATTTTAATTTTTGTATATCTACTTAGTATTAATAATATTAATTAACCACTTAAATAAGTATACCTAATTATGGAAAATTTCTACTTTATTTAATGTAAGATTCCATATTTTTATTTATGGAGGCCCATTTTCTCATTTTTTGTGTCGTATTATGGTAGTAATATATATATATATATATATATATATATATATATATATATATATATATATATATATATATATATATATATATATATATATATATATATATATATATGGCAATAAAATAAGCATCACCACAAAAAAGTCACCTTTAAACATACAATAAGTATATGAATATTATTCCTCAATCTAATTTTAAAAGAGTCAAAGTCTCTAATGCGAAAAGTCAATTTGATGTTTTTTTTAGCAAGTTTGATTTGGTTAAATAGCCTGGGTTTAATTTGTTTCTATCATTTGTGCGTATTTAACTCTCAAAAGTTTAAGAATAAACCGAAATATTTAAATCTTTATTTGTAGTACAACAAAAAAAAGCAATCGATTAAGTTGAATATAATTTAAAAAACCATTGCAAATTTTTATTTTCCACTGCTAATAAACAAGTTATTTCGAAATTGGTTGCCGTTGCCAACTGCCCTATCTGTTTGTGCACAACAACGCATCAATTTGCAACGCGATCGAACGACACCTTTTATCGGGCCAGAGTTCAAAAGTTGACAAAGGGAATAATAAATGAAAACTATCTAGTTATTCGTCTTAATAGGTTTCGTTTTTGAACTGCATATGCTAATCAACTCCAATCGTTTCCAGATAATGAAGGGATTTAAGACGTCCGAGAAAATATCGACCTTTGTGAAAAGTAAAAAAGAAGAAGAGACTTGAGTCTCTGAACTTTAGATAACCTAAGCCTTATATGGTTTCTAATAGTTTGGATTAATATTTTGGGGTATGTAATTACAATTTTCAATGTATTAAAGGATTTAAGATAAAAAAGAGTGAAAATGGCATCGGCAAGCAGCACTTCAGCGCGGTCGCTATTTGCTGATTCAAAAATGCGGCTCGCCGACCGTGTCCAAGTTAACGTCAACAATATCGGCTCCTTGGCGCGTCAAATCGTCCGTGGATCAAAAAGCAACGACGTGAGTCGCAAAATTATTTTTTTTGTTAGATCGCGCCTTGGCGTTTGTCAACAGATTATCATGCACTCAGCTCGTAACTTTGCTGCCCAGGAAAACTTGATTGAAAATTCAGAAAAGAATCTCAAGAGACTAGAGCTGTTGTGCACGCATCTAGGTTACCAGCAGGACGCGATATTGAAGAGGGCGCAGCAGCTAGAAGAAGTCAAAGAGCAGGTGCAGGCCATGCAGCGATAGGTGTTTATCTTACGAATATTCTTAAGAACATCCTTTGATATAGGGCCCTGCCTTAATGGTTAAAAGGTCAAAACCAATGAAACATGTTTTGAAAACAGGTTTATTTAAATAAACATAAGAAATCACGGAGTATACATAACCACCATGCAACTTGTAATCACTTTCATATATTTCTCCCAACAAGTTCTTAAATTGGGCTCACTCCTGAAATTAAAAATAAGCAAATTTAAGATAACACACACGGTCAAGTTACCTGAAAATGTCCAAGTCGACTGCGCAATAATTATAGGCGTTTAAAAACTGCTGCAAATCGTGAGATGTCCAATTGCCCGTCTTAAAGAGGTCCAATATCTGGGACAGTTCAAGAAACAAATTTCTCATATCCCTAGAGCGGTGTAGAGTGGACGCCAGAGTCAATATGGCACGCGTATAGATCTTAAAGTTTCCATCTAGCTCTATGTAACTCTTTTGCAACAATTTTGGCTTGAGTGTCACACACACTAACCTTAAATTATATTTCTGGTATCCTATGGGGGTAGGTACCTTGTATGCCATGCCTTACTGCTTGTGTTCCTTCTCGCGATCCAGTATAATTTTCAGCTCCCTAAGTTCCAAAAGAAATTCTTTATCCATTTCCGTATCATAGTACTCTGGCCCGGTCAGTTTGTAAGTCCACTGATCCATTATAACCTCGCAACACCTTTTCCAAGTATTGAAGCTCATGTAATTTAGTTTCTTCTTAGATGTCTCAAAACGGATCGCCGCGAGGAACACTATGCTCGCGTATTTTTTAGCCAGTTCTTCCGGCAAGTAAAAGCAATTTTTTATATTTTCAACAATTGAACCCGGCATCTCATCTACTGTCTTGTAAATCCGCTTGATGTTGTCAAATTGCCGGCGACAAGACTTTAGCGGTTTACCCGTTTTGTCCGATACCTCATCTAAATCCTTGCGGTTTTTCGACGACAATTTCTTCCCCAACAGCTCCTTGACGACGACATCGTCGAATTCGTAATATTTCTCGATCAACAATTGTCTAGTTTGCGGGTCTATTTGGAATGCCAACTGCTCATGCAGTTTGTTAGGGTTGCTCAGCAACTTTTCGAGCAGCGAATACGTGCGGTAATGATCCAAGACATCGCTTGCGATTAGCTCTAAGGTGGCGCCAGTTTGTTTGCCAAGTCCTTTTTTGTCTAGAATTACCACAGCTTCGCTTGCTGCAAAGGAGGTATTTTTGAAGCTGACTGTTACTATCTGATCAATTTCCAGTGATACCTGTATGTCCTTCTATCCATAGTTGGTATATTTCCGGATCTACTAACGTATAATTGCTAATAAAAACGTCCACTTCTGCCATTGCTTTTTACCAGGGTTAATGAGCCAAGAAATCACCATTGTTGACATTTGGTTAGACTCGACGCCCCAAAACAAAACAACGAATGAAATCGTTCAAATTGCAGAAATACAAACTATTACAACCACAGAAGAGATATTTACTTCACTCCTGTATTCAAAAATGTAATATTTACAAATACGTATTGGAAATGGCCCATAACTTTTTGGGAAGAAGAAGCAGTGCGGCTTGGTGTTTGACGTTTTATTTGATTTTTGTAGGTCGAACATATTTTTCAACATTTTTTTGCCCGTTTTTGGGAGTTTGTCAAAAATGAATGTAAGCGAAGCTAGTGTGGAACCACCCGCACACACGGTATGTCCGAAGAAGCACAAAAAACACAAAAAAGACCGCGACGACAAACCCGGTCTTAAACTCATTCTAAAAGTGGGCTCCAATAACACACCGGAGCACGAGGAAGAATATCTACAGCTCGAAGGCGGCGAAGGGGCCGAGCAGATGGTCCTGGACCCGAACGATCCGGCTTATCCGCTTTACAAATCCCACCACAAAAAGTCAAAAAAGAAAAAGAAGAAAAAGGACAAAAGCAAAGACAGGGAGAAAAAGCACAAGCATCACCACAAAGATAAAAAGAGAAAACGAGAAGACGTGGACGAGGAAAACGAAATATCAGTGACTTATGTTGATATAAAACCTACCCCTGTGTACTCCGAGGAGGTGCCTCCATACTCTCAAATCGGTTCGCCGGGGTCCCATAGGGAGCAAAGGACCTGCGTGGTGAAGAAAATGCAGGAGCGGACGCCGCTGTCCAAAGTGTTGGATCACCTCTTGGGCATGTTAGAGAAAAAAGATCCGCAGAACTTCTTTGCTTGGCCTGTTACCGATAATATAGCGCCTGGCTATTCACGGATTATCAGTCAGCCAATGGATTTCAGTACAATGCGGCAGAAAATCGAGGACAACGAATATGGCACCCTCAAGGTAAACTCTTTGTGTACCATAAGTAAATCAGTTATCTCCATTTATGCAAGTACCACCTTTTCATTTTAACAGGCATTTTTCAAAATATTTTCACCAGATGCCATTACATTTTGAGACAAAGGAACAAATTTAGTGTTATGGCCCGTGTATTCAATTTAGCCAGTACATTATGGATATTACCAGAAGCGGTTGCACACCAACCATTTTCATAGGACCTATAGTTTGAAGAAAAAGTGAATAACCAAAAATAATTTTCAGCCTTATTGTATCTTGTATTGGTTGGTTAGTTAGGTTGGGGAATATGTGATATGGATATCGCGACGGAGTAGCTTTTAAAGTCAAATGGTTTCTCAGGAATTCACCGACGACTTCCAACTGATGTGCAACAACGCGATGAAATATAACCACGTCGACACGGTGTATTACAAAGCAAGCAGGAAACTGCTGCAGGCGGGTATGAAAATTCTACAACCGGAAAAACTGGGCTGGCTTGTACAGCTCGCCCCCGAACTCACGGACCAGGAGGTCGGGTTCGAGATTACTCCCGAGATGAGGGCGGCCGCGCCCCACCATCGGATGCCTCACGATGGCGACGACGAAGACGCGTTCGAGTGCAAGGTCAAGAAAATGCCTACCGGCAAGTGAGTGTCCCCTCTCTCCGTTACTTTTATGTCTTCTCAAACTTGTTTTTCTAAATATTAATAAAAAAGAAAAATTAACCTCAAAAAATTAGCCACACCCCTTTCGCGTGACCTCGACAGGTTCGAGGCAATTCCTGATGACCTCACGCCAGAGGAGATCCTCGCCCAAGCGAAATCGGCTGCCCGCATAGCCCGAGCCCGGCTACGCGGTCCCGCCACACCGATGGGTTTTCTGCGTCAGCGTCGAGACGGAACCACCCATCTGAACATACTGGTGGGCGGCGCGGGCGGCAAGAAGAAGCCTATCGTTCCCCTGGGACAGCTGGTGGGCCGACTTACTGAGGGCACGGCTCAGTTGCAGGGGTTCCGCGAGGACCGGAGGAACGCCGCCAGGCCTGTAAAGCCCTTGTACTACGGCGCATTTGGTTCGTACGCGCCTAGTCACGACTCCGCCTTCTCGAACCTGACCAAGGACGAGTCGGCGTTGGTGTTGCGCACGTATGGTTCCGATCAGGCCGTACAGTACGCTGAGAGCGTGCAGGTGAGCCTCGCAAGCCCGTTGAATATGTACTATGCTCGTCGCTGCGGTTCGTTTGAATTATTTTACTATTCACGTGGATGTTATGCAGACATATCCAGCCCAACAGGACGACTATGCCTACAACTAGGACTATGCAACTAACAATAGGGACTATTAAATAACCCAAATAGTTAAAACATGTTGGAGGCAAATATTTCCTCTCAATTTCGATAAATACTCTGCAAAAGCTATTTGTGCTATTTATCTGGTGCATGGTACATGGTTATGGTAGAGAACTAACCAATAATACCATTTATGCGTGTTGTTATGACCCAAGTTATGTTCTGATTTCAAACTGAGTCAAGTTTAAATATTAATAAATTAAAAAAATAAATAAAAAATTAAATAAATAGTTAATAAGTACTTAGATGATTACTGTGTGCATTGGTTATCAAGATATGCTGCAAATTTTCCTTTAAAGTTGTCCGTAATTTGCGGACATTGACACACACTCGAGCTAACTCTAACAGTAAGTTTTGGTTGGTTTAAATTTGTCTAACGAATAAAATTAAACAATCTTTGGTTACATATTTAGACGAGCATTAATAAAATTGCTATTAACATGGCAGTAAAGAAACATTAATTTTATTAGTTTTGGGAGTGATAGTTGCAGCGCCATCTATGCTTCAGAGGACGACTCATCATCAAGTAAGGTTAAAACAGAAAGGAGCCCTAAAATAACTCCATTTAAAGAACATATATAGCCGGTGCCCAGGTTTGGACGCTTATTGTTTAAGTTGTTTTTTTGGTTGCAAATAAAAGTTTGTGCGAGAATTTGTTTATTGAAGAAACAAAACATTAAACAAGTGAAGCGCGGCAATGGTGGTGCTTAAGAAATAAGTAACTCAAGAAGATATCAATGAGTGATATACTATACCTTTCCTATTTCCATTAGTTTGCGAGTAAATTTTTGCACAACATGAATATATTTACTAAGTAACCCTCAGGAACGTCAGTTTATTTTGAACTATCAAGGAGTGCAGGTCTAATCTAGAAGAATTGGAGGATGTTTTTGTCTTTGAAGTGGTAAAAAAACATTGAGCAGGAGATGTTATTCAATGACTGCAGAATAAAACTGCGACTTGTAGAATAATTTGTGTAGAACTTGTTAAAGAAAATATTGAATTTTCTAGTTGTTTCTGATTTTATTAAAAGCAAGAATCTTTTGCGGTGCTGAAAGAAAAAGTTAAAATAATAATTTAAATTTATTGTTTTAGCAGGTTGAATTTAATATTTATCGATGCTCGTACTTCGTTTTGTACCAAAAATTTATCGGGAATTGTTTGAAACAGTTTTTTTATATTCGAGCTTATCAACTGCTTGATTTAGCAAACCCTTACCATGCACAAGGCTTATTGCCTGACTTACCGCTGTCATTTCATCCCGTCGAAATTATGTTGTCATTTTAATAACACCCAGTATATCTGCGCTTCATTTGGACTAATTTACAGGTCTTAGTGGGTAGTAATTTAAAATACTACTTATTATATACTCCCACCTCACACTCTTGCTCTCACGTAACTCTTCAGACTATCAATCAAGTCAGTTCATTTAAACTAGTTTGCTGAGTTTAGTATGCCTAGTAGTAATCACTTTTTTTCTTGTAATCAATTAATTAATCAGGATTTCGTGCGCGGTTCTGATTATGCGGAACGCCTGGTGGACTCGTTGCTCGACCTGCTCACGGGAGGTGATCACTCGCGTACCAAGGGAGCTCTGGAAGACGGGCGCCGCCTAAAAGACGAAGAGGAGGCGGTCCGCACGGTGCTCGAGACTGCGCCGGTCGACAGTGTGAAAGTCAGCATGGAGGACCTGCGTTCGTTGCAGGGTGAGTCTCTTTTTCTGCCTTTTTCCCTTTCTCAGCCGCCGTTTGCAGACGTAGGCATCGACGTCAACTTCCTGGAGAGTATGGAGGAGGACATCAGGATTGACGAGGAGCGGCACGAGATGCAGCAGAAGCTTAACGACATGTGCCAGCTGCTGGAGAAGCTGCAGAAGACGCAGTATGAAAGGTTGTCGCAGCCGATGTCGCTCCACCAAGTGGCGCAGCCGACGGCCGAGGAAGCGCAACTCGCCGACCAAACGGTTGACGGACTCGCGGAACTCGCGAAGCGCGCCGCCCCCGGGGCCGTCGTTTCGGTGCCGGGCATCAGGCGTGCGCTAGGGGTGGACGTCCCGCCGCCAGAGCCCTTACCCGACCTCGAAACCGAATTGCGGCAGTTTCTCGAACGGGAACCCGCTCCCTTGGTGCCCGACAAGACCATCGAAGAGATACTCATGGATTGAGACCGCTTGCGATACATTTTGAATAAAAAAAAAATGACAAATGGAAATAGAATTTTTTTATCGACATCGAACGTACGCTAGACTAAAACAAAAGAATCAACAAACAGGATAAAATCACATGACGCAACATTCCGGGTTCGCGGTGGGGCCGAGACCGGGCACGCCCAACGGCGTCCCCGTGGGGTCGAAGTTAAACGGGGCCTCCAAGTCACCGACGAGCTCGGCAGGCGGCTGCCCATAGTCTTGAAGCTGAAAAACCGATGGGGTCACAATTTGGTCCTTCGAGTCGGATTTCTTTTTTCAACGGTCCGATTTACCTGTTGCATGAGCGCGAGCACTTTGGCGAAGCGTTCTTTTTTTGCGTCAGCGCTGTCGCCGTCGGTCTCGCGGTCGAGCTCCTCGAGCACCTCCTCCATCAGGCGCTTCTGTGCCGCGTAACGCGTGGCGTCCTCGGACGACAGCGTGTCCTTGTGCGCCTCGAGGTAGGCGGGCAGTTTATCGACGAAGTCGCGCAAACTCGGCCCAAGCACCTCCTTCGACAGCAGGCCCTGCATCATGACTTCGCGAGGACGCAGATGAATTAAAATATATTTTCAAAGATGGTAAAAAAAAGAGAGCGTTGACCTAACTTTTTTTTCTTATGCGGTAAAAAAAATCGTGCACATATAGTTTTCTCCAGGAGTAAACACCGTATTAAAAATCCACTTATTATTATTATAAAGACCACATCCAGTGGTCTTTATAATAACTTTGAATAATATTCGCCAGATAATCCATAAAAAGCACATGTTTCCAAAACAAATCATGTTTACCAAAACAGTGTTGTGTAAATGCCTCTATATCAAACATCTAAATCAGATTGGACTGATTACACTAGACATTTGCATAAACATATCAAGTCTGGTGCCAGACGAACCAATAACAGTGCCTATAAGTTCACATATAATAATTTTTATTGCTCTCTAAAATGGATCTGGTTTAGTGTAAATGAACTGACATGGAATGTACATAAAACTAAAAATATTTGCTCTCCTAGGGGCAAAAAGAACTGTTGAAAATAAATTATTCATTCATTCATAATTGCTTGCTTGAACAAATAAATCCCAGAGAAGAGTTGATATCTGTAATAGAGGAACAGGCTGTAGGTATCGTAAAGTGGCAGCAGTTTTTAACAAATAGTATTTTACAGACAAGGAAAAAGTTATAGTCCAACATTTCTAAGGTTATTGGCCACACCAATAACCAACCACTTACCACCGGCCATCACACAGGACGAGTACTACTACCACAAATCCGAGTTAAACAAATGCACTTGTAACTAAACTTTGTATCCAAATTGAAAATGTATATTTAGATAAATTATGAAAAAAACAAATAACGCGACTAAGTAGGGCAAAATAACAAGAGGTTAAAAAGTCATGGACCTTTGAATGGATTACTACACAACACTCCTTGAATTTTTAAATATTCACATTCTACAGGATGTTTCTAAATGTCATTAATAAGGTAATTCATTTCTTTGGCATAGTTACAGAGTAAGTCAAAAAGATCTGCAAAAATACCAACACCCTGTACATTATTAATCAACTTTGATTACGCAGTATAGAAACTCCATAGCATAAAATGATTCTATCCAAATCCCACACTCTGCCTAAGCACACCTTGCATAAATGGTAACAGATCGTTTCCCTCTCCGGATCCGCCCCCGCCCAACATCTTCATCAAATCTTCTTCGTTAAAGGGATTATTGAGGCCTTCAGAGCCAGAGTTTAATCCCTGGATTGCTTGCGAGATGGTGGAGGCGAATTCAACAGATTGGTCGGAGATTTCGACGGGATTCGTCAGCACTTGTTGCGCGGCATCTGGAACGAAAACCAAGCGTCAATCCCGTTCTTGAAAAAATCCCACCTAATGCCACACCAGCCATTTCTTGGAGCTTTCGCTGGATCGCATCGGGCGTAGCCTGGGCGTCGGCATCGCCTGCGTTAAGAAACCGGGCGAAGTTTTCCTCGAATTGGCTTGCCGCTTGCTGAATAAACTCTACCGACCATTCTTGAGCGCTTACATCGGCCTCGGTACGTTCGCTTAGTTTTTTGCCGTCGCCAGTTGGTTTATCGCAATTTTTGCCCGGTTTCGATGCACCGAAGTCTTGCAGGGCACCTGCATCAAGCGAAAAATTTAATTCCTTTCGCTTGGCGGTCCGAAAAATTTTAAACTTACTGTCCAGAAGATCGGCCAATTCTTTGTCGTCTGCGCTCGACGACGGTTTTTCACTTTCGCTCATTTTAAAAAGTCGTCAACTGCAGATATGGAACTAAATATTTTTTATTTTTTTGGTAAAACTAGCAACAATTAAATATAATAACATTTAAATTAAAAAAAAGATTGATGTTACGTCACACATCGACCTCTCAGGTGACATGCATAGATCATGGTGCACGCCGAAATTGATCAGTTTACAGATTACATGGGGTCATTCGACCAGCTTACAACAACAGTTAACTTAGTCCAAATTTCCTAAAGAAGACCTTCATAAATGAAGTGTGTGGATATCTGCATAATTCTTCCAATTTTTCAGGATTTATGGGAAATCAGGATGTTAATAAGAAGTGTTATCAAAACAACACGCATTTCACTATTTTTATTACCTTATTCTCTATTTTTATTAATCGTTGCCGTATAAGTGAGCACAAACCTTAGCATTAGTTTGTCCCAAACTTATACGAAGTCCAACTAACCAAAACAACACGCATTTCACTATTTTTATTAATAGTTGCCGTATTAAGTGAGCACAAACCTTAGCATTGGTTTAATACCAAAACTTATACGAAATCCCTTTGAAAGAAGAAGAAAAGTGGAGAACATAACCCCATTTTTTTTTAAAATCATGTAATAAAAGTGTTTTAAGGAAATGCTATGGCCGAGAGCGCGGCGAATTTTACTCGAACGTTCCAATCGAAACCATCCGTGTTTGAAATCGCAGCGCAGAAATCCCTGAGCGAAACTTTGCACCCGGGTCTGCGACGCGTAGCGCTCTTCTTGTCTACCAATTTTCCGAGGAAATTCCGTTTTTTAAACGACTACTTCGACGAAACTTTTTTCGCGTTGCACGGACTCCTCGAACTATACTATCTAAGGTATTACGGTAAGTAGGAGCGATAACTTCGGGCGTAATCGAAGAATCCTGTTTTTTTGGGGGACAGATGCATCGTTTTCTGAAAATTTTTATGGACTGAAGCGGGTCGCATCGAACGGATCTGAACTGACTAAGCACGACCGCGAAATCTCGCTTATAGTCCTCGTCGCTTTACCATATTTCAAGAGGAAAATTGACGAGAAAATTCAGCTATACAAAATCGAGAACGCGGAAGGATCGCTTCGAAAAGTTACGCTGAGAACGACGCGACATATAGCCTGTAACACGTTTTTCTTTCAGGACTTAGAAGGTAGGCTCAAAAAAATAGCGCTCTATTCCTACTCAGCGTTAGAAGTCATACGAGGCTTCGCAACAGTAAATAACTATCTGAGGTACATGTCCAACAAAACAGAGTCGCAACTACTGATTCTGAAGGTTCTAAAGTTAAAGCTTGCGTATTCTTACGAACCCCCGTCACCCAGTTTTTGGGGCGCCTTCTTTCGGGGACAACTGTGGTATGCTTAAATTTAAAAAAATTAACACTATAACAGAGCTTGTTTTCTTAGGAGTTCCGATCTAAGCTGGAATGTGATACGTAATGGGGTGACGTCAGTGTTTGAGCTGGCCGCATTTTTCTTACAGTTCTTAAATACGTGGAATGCCCACCATCCAAATTACAACTGGACCGATTTGCCCAAAGTTGAAGCCCCGCCGGTAAACTGACAGATTTCTCCTCCGAGAAGTTCAACATTCGAGCAACATATTTGTTTGAAGAGCTTTCTATTTACGCTCACCAAATTTGCTGCTATGTAATGTCGCAGACCATAAGTTGTGTGTGCTTATGGCACGACCTTTAATTTTTTACCACTATACTCCCGGTAACGTCCAAAAAAGATCTAAAGATGAAGAGATTGAAGTCAAATCAAATTCTGCACATAATCATGATTCAACTTAGTAATTACATATTCCTTTTCATGTATTCGGCTTGCGGCCCAGCATTAAGCGTACGCCCCGTTAATCGTTTTAGTCCTCGAGATAGGCTTATGCAGTTTTTGTACCTTTAGTTCACATAATTTGCATCAAAATCCACTCGTTATGTAAATGGACAAGGGAGAGTATACTAGTAATAAGGATATGGATATACAATGACTCTACTCGGGTTTGTTTCAGGCGCACGTCAAGGCAGGAGCTTACAGGGATCGGTGCCCCATATGCCTGGGTAAGTGGCTCAACCCGACGGTGCTCCCGATTTCGGGCTATGTCTTCTGCTTCCGTTGCATAATCAGACATCTGAACGAAACACCCGAGTGTCCGGTGACACGATTCCCTGCCAGGCCCCTGGACGTCGCCAGGCTCTACCCTAACGATTGAAATAAAACTACGCGGCACCTCCATCAACTCGTTTTTATTATTTACCCACCATTTAGAAAAAGAAAACATGCAGAGGAAAGTAATCGGTCTGGGGTGGTGACGCGAAAAATAAAATTCAAACGAAAAAAAAAAACAGCGATTAATGATACAGTAGTCAAAAAAAGACACTAAAATACACCAAAAAAAAAAAAGGAAAATACCTGCCGGATTACATTCCTTGGACGTGTGATCCCTTGATTTTTTTTCCCCACCCTCCTAGGCAAAATTACGGACACTCTAGTCTCCTTTTCCCACGTCGGCGGCGCGACATACGAGACGCAAAATTCAAACGCGATGTGCGGGCGTGTGTCCGACAATTTTGTCCTAGGAAAATGCGTGATCGTCAGTCCCTTTTGTCTCGAATCGGCCGGCGGTTCCGAAGCGAGAGACCTGAGTAAAACCTTTGCGTTACTGCCGGAGCCGCGCCGGGCGTCGAGAACGAGAAAAATTGACGAGCGCGCGCGCCTCCGGCTGGTCCTTCGAGCCGGATGGTCGGCGGAGGTCGCGCGCCCTCGCCTATCACATTGCCCTTGAGAGGCGTAATTATTTACCGAATGGTCCAGAGATCCTAATCCTTTAATCCTTTCCTCCCGAATCCTATCCTTTTCGTTAACAAAATCCTCCCTCCGACGCGTTAAAGACCACAAGAGCTAAATCCCAACCCCGCCGCCCCGGCATAAAAAAAAACCCGACCCCGAAATCCTCCGTCCTTCCTCCTGCCCTCGATCTTCCGATCCTTTTTAATAGAAAATAAGATCCCGCTCGGGGGGAGGGTCCTCTTGCCTCTCTCTCTCGCAGGGCAAACTCACAACCATCCACTTATTATTTATTTTCCTTTTTTATTATTTACTATTATGTATTTGAGACCAATCTCCAACGCTGACACATTTCGCTTCGGCACTCGGTACCGACAATCCAGAACACAAAACATTACATTAGTTATACAAATATTATTAGTCCAAATGGGATGTGAATATATTTTTTTTCGGGCCAGCCATCTCGTTCGCTCCCGCCAGGAACCACCCATCCTTCGCGTCCAACTTAATCCCATAATCTGTGAATTGTAGCGAAAAACGTAACTGTGGATCATAATTAGTAAACTCTATGTAGTCTGAAACGAATCGCTGGGCACAACCCACAATTTGTGGTAACTAAGGTGGGCTTTGAAATCTAAATGAGTGAATTGTGACGCCCAAAACGCAAATTGCAAGGTTCCCAGTAAATTATATCCCATATGGAGTGAATTGACGCACTAACGAATTCTGGCGGAATTTAAACTTTAACGGCGAAGACGAATGACCCGAAAATTACAGTGACAGGCGACGGGACCCAACACTGAAGAGTAAAAACAAAACACCTATCGCTATTGTAAAAAAACATAACATCGAAGTATCGAATTAAACGCGGACGCGGTTAGGCGTCTAGGTCGCTCAAGGAATGTCGTTTTTTTTTCCCGAATAATAATTTCTGCGCGAATCACAATTAATGGAAGATTACAAAATGGGGAGGAGGCGTTTCATACAACGAGGAGATGTTCAAATGTTATGTATATACTAACGCCAAGAGTGGCCTGGAAACTGTGTAAAAAATACATACTTTGACAACTTAAGACCTAGATCGGCTACGAGAGTAGCTGCGCTTCACGGGGCTGTAAGTGGGAGAGCCCCGACGCCGCGGCGAGTACGAGCGAGATCGCGACCTCCCGCCGGACCTCCTCACGCTGTCCCCCCTGTCCTCTTTCACGCGAATGTAGGAGACTTCGCCCTATAGCGGGAGAGAAACGTGTTACTGACTTCCATCAACTCCCCCCCCCCCCCCCCATCCCTTCAAATCAGACAAATCCTTTATCCATCCTTATCCGATCCTTCCTTGGAGCCACTAAAAAATAGGCTATTTGACAGGTCTCAGGAAAATCCCACAAAAATGGGACTTTTAAAAAAGCCGCTGTCTCTTCGCTGATGTAATAAGGCGATAAATAAACACCAAGCCCATTTCTATTTGAAGGTTTTATGGAAAGCATTAAATCACATTTATGGGATTCATGACAACGACAAATTAAATGCAGCTTTTAAGGAAAAGTCGCCGAAAAGCTGATAGCAATAAGATAGTCAAAATCAAAAGCAGAAAATATACCTACTTGCATATGTTAAAATAAAAAGAAGGAACTGTTTGTTCCTAGTATTGTCAAAATAAGGCGCCATTATTTTAATAATTTCAATATAAAAACAACTCTAATGTTTTGTCTGCAAGATTCAGATTATCAAATAAATCAACCTTAAACGGAATTTGTTGAAATTGAGTATTTTCAAGAAAGGTGATCAGGGGTTAATTTATAGAAAAGTAACAAATATTTAACATAAAAAAGTTTGGCTTCTCCTCACTTTTTTTTTTAATCCTAAGCAGTTGATATTATTCAGCCATAGCGTTATTCAGTGTGACAGAGTTACACCAAGACTCTTGGAAGGTTAGAGAATGACAAAAAATGTAAGCTGTTCCAAATTCTTTAAAGGACATTTGTAATAAAATTTCAAATGGTATTAGCAATTTAACTCCTGAAACACTGGCCAACGCCCAACAACCAATTTATGATAGGTTGGTTTAGTTTACTTTAGTATTGCTCAGCAAAAAACTTTGTCGCACTAAGGATAACCCTATAACAGCATAATAATTTTCATGACCTGAAAGTCTGTTAATGTTTTTTTAATTAAAAAAACTTAATTGTGGTTTTACAAAGGAGTATTTGTTAATGGGTTGTAAATTTTTATCCCTGGAAAAGGGAAAGGAAAAAAAACATAACCTATTAATATTAAAAAAAAAAACTGCAAAAATACGCCCAGACAGAAGATAGCAAATAAACCACAATAACCAAGTACTTGTTAACTGGGGTGCGAGGTCATAAAGTTAACTTTTTTCCGAGTCCTTAGATTACAGGATTCATCATTTTACAGTCGCTTATAAAACCGCTACTCCTTACCGCACTGTCAAATAGCCCCGTTAGCCTACCTCATGAGACCGGAATCGCGAATCATCCAACTTCTTAATGGCATATTTCATGTCTTCATAACGTAAAAATTCGACGACCCCTGAACCATCTTTGAAAGCATCGGCGAAGCAAACATCACCCGCCTCTCTCATATGATCTTTCAAATCTTGCCAAGAGCCTGACGGCGGCAAACCTACAATAAACCCATAGCGATAATTGGCAGAAAGTCAACTTTTGTATACGCCCATACCTGTAACAAGCACCCGGAATTGAGACCTGCGAGCCGGAGGCCCGCGGTTGCCGCGTCCCCTATCACCTCCCCCGCGCCCACCACGAAAACCACCGCCACCGCCGCCACTGCTGCCGTGGCTACCACCTCCGCGGGGAAATTCAACCCTTAACCGATACCCGTCGTAATCATAGCCGTCGCGAGCGTGAACGGCGTCATCCGCGTCCCTGAAAGTGAATCGCGATTAGAGAAAAACGTCCGAAACGGCGAAAAAACTTTACCTCGGATCTTCGAACTCGACGAATGCAAATGGCGGCCCCCGCCTATTTTTCAAGTCCACAAAGGTTACTTTGCCGAACTTGTAAAACAAATCCTGTATGTCTTTGGTGCGGATGTCGGGTGGCAGATTGCCGACGTATATACGGCAGTCGTTTCGGCTGCTCGACATTATTTTTCGTGTTTTTTTATTCTGCAAGGAAACTTTGTTTTCTAACCCCACGCGAAACCGACAAGCTCAAACACTCAAATACACGCCTGGCAAACCGGAAATAAAGGCTTATGGCGCCCGAACGAAAATGAACAGCGTTTTAACTTGCGATGATAACCGACCGGTGGCGTCCTATGAGAATACCTTTGAACATAGCTTTTAAATCACAGAATACGGAACACGTAAAAAAAAGAGCTGTCAGAATGTAGAGTTAAGCTCAATTTGTTATTGAAAAATGTCTTAACAAAAGAAATAGAGGTCAAAGCACACGAATTTATATTTATTTATATATATTAAGGTTTGTTTCTTCGTCTGTGGCTTTTTTCATGGAGTCGCGGTACATTTAAGTCAATGAAAACCACGGACTACGGAATGTAGAAAAATTTTAAATCGTTACTTTTGTCGTAAAAACATTTCTTTAAATTACTCTTATGCAAATCGGTTGCATAGAAATTCACGCGCCCTAAATACATATCGAATAGGGAGAGAAAAAAAGTCGGGTCCAACATAACATGGATTAACCCGGGATTGACCCAAATTAATTCGGGGAATTTACTGCCAAGGTCAAAGGGGCTGGCTCGAGGATGACCAATCTTCGCGATGACGTCAGACTCTAAGATGGCTGTTTCCTAAATTTGTTAAGACACTTTTCTTTAATTTTGCAACCAATTTTTTATTGCCAGTTTCGATCGGTCGCAAACTACGCGACAATTAAATAAGGGTGAGTAGGAATTGAGTTTATTAATCGGCCGGTAAACTGCGTCGTTGCGGTCGCAACTATGCCTTAAAAAATGACCATTACCTATTTTTGCGCCTCGCTTAAAATACGCAAAACATATTAACGATTAACGTAAGGCCAAATACCGAGCGAATACGCATAGTTTCGAGCAATTTCCATGGCGGGCGCGATCACTTCGTCTAAAAATAAACCATTACTTTTATTTCTCATCTGTGTGTGCGACATATTTCGGTAAATAGCCGCAATTCGGCTATTTTTACCGTGTAGATGAGAGCATTTCGGCCACGTTTTTTTTTAAGTAGCTTCGCTTGCAGCACCCATTTTAAAAATATGAAACGGAATTGAAGAAAGAGCCGATATGCCTGTGTTAAGTCCCCATAGAAGTTCAGCGTCGGGCCTGTCAGGTTCCTACAGGTCCAGCGCCCCGTTGTACACACCCAGGATTTATACCGACCCGAGTGTGTACATGCCTAAGATTTATAGTGAGAGGTACACGTCCAGGACTTTTATCGACTCTAATGGTAAACGGGTGTTCTCAAGGTAATATTAGTTTTGTGAAGTATCAAACTTGCTGTGTTTAGAAGTAAAAATGGTTTTTTAGAAGTGCTTCCATAACGGAAGATGGGGTGACGACCCGCTTTAGAGAAGAATCGAGGGAGGGCAGTTTGAGGAGAGATTCAATGTCACGTGACAGCGGCATTAGTTCGATCAGAGAGAATTCGGTGCTAGATTATCCCAGAAGGGACTCCTCATTGGGGCGCAGCGACAGATTGTCGACGTCCAGTGTAATAGACTCTGTGGCGGAGTTGAGAAACAAATATTCACCAGCTAATTATGTGCCCGCCATCTACCGAAACAAATATGAAAATATATCGAGGTCGAAGTCCATCAACGATATCGGTGAGTGGTTTACTGGCGTTTCAAACAGGGCAATTCATTTTGTGTCCCCAGTGCTTAGGAATGTTGTTATGTTGTGTTAAAACTCTTATCATACAGTTGCTGAATGTATAGAGGCTTTGTCTATGTTGATAACACAGGAAGTCAATATCAACCGCGTCATTTCAAAACTTATTTACCGGTATTTCCGCCCCTGTGTTTTCTAATGGCTATATGATTGTTATTGAGTGAAATGTTAATACCGGTGATATATTCACCAATTTATTAAAAATTATAGGGTACAAAAAATAGACCTGTGTATATTTAGTTGTTCAATGTAACAAAAAATTTTAACTCCGAAGTGAATCACTACTAATTATGTGATTAATTAAATTCAGGAATAAACATTCTGGATTTAAGCCTTAATCCAGTTTGGATATGTTAGAAGAATCCTTCGAAGATATGGGATTATATTAAGAATTTAGAATTCCATGTGGGGCATATGCATTTAATCAGGATTTAGTAGCTATGGTGTCTCTACGATTAGTTACACTAAGTATGCTTTTATATGTAATATTTTGTACTAATACATTAGAGAAAAAAACTGTTGATCTTAAATTCAAAATTAAATATCATCATTAAAGTTCAATTTAGTTTAAATGTTAATTCTCTAATCTCAATTTAATCTGAAATAGGTCCATTAACTAAGAACAGAATATTAGGTTAAAATTCATAAAGTTCTGAAGATTTCAAAAAATCAACCATTCATGTATAAGAGATCATACCAAAATGTGTTTTTTTGAAAGTGGCTATAAGGTTGATGTAATATTTGCCACGTTATTGCTCCACCCTGTATATTAACTGACAAAATCGAATAAATGGGGTGAAACCTTCGAACATTTTCACCGTTTTTTCTTTTGCGTTAGGTCTGCCGCCTTTGGAAAAGTCGATGTCCCCGTCGGCGGCGTCGGCGCCGGCGTCGAGAAAAAAACAGGTAAATGGCGAACAATCGGTAAACGGCGATAATTCTAACAACCAGCAGTGTGTATCGGCTTGCTCTTCTAATACTAACCGCGACGGCGGCGGCGACGCCGACGCCGACGACGACGAAAACCAGCGTCGCACGTCAGTTGCCGACCTTCGCCGAAAATTCGACGATATGCGCGCCCAGCTCGCGGCGCCGCCGCCGAGCAAAAGACCGCCTGACGGAGGTGGCGACCTGAAAGGCGGCAAAGAGGTGAGCCCCGAGAACATAACAAGCTTTTGCGCCGCCTCCTAACCCTTTTTTTTGTCGTCGCCTATCGAAGGCGGTCGTTAACGGCGCCCTTGACGCCTCACGGATCGAAGACGCCGACGCCGACGTTACGAGACGCTGTTTGCAGCCGAAGACGGCGGATGCAGTCAACGGCGACGACAAAGCGGTTGATGGGGCGGAGCCGGGACGTCGGAGCGCCGCCAGGGTGAACCAGTGCGCATCCTACATACCTTCCAGCAACAATGACGGGGAGGCGGAGGCCGAGACCGGCGCCGCCGCCAAATCGACTAGGGTGAGTGTGGTTATAGTTTTTATAGATTTGACACAATACTTATGGGTGAGCCGTGGCAAATTATTAAATTATTTGTAAAAAAATATTAACTATACACTGTGACCCGTTTGACTTTGAACGCGCCTCGTTTCTACTGTTTTTAGAATTTTAATTTAATTTTTTACTTGTGATTCCCTGTATATAAAAAACGAAAGCACTCCCAAAATTTTGCAGAAGTATATATTTCCTTGTTACTTACTTCCGTTTGATTTATTTTGTTGATCGATTGATTTGATTTACGTAGTATTCATTGCTCTCGTTCTGTCTCTCTGACGACCGTCAAAGTGACGGCCGTAGCGGTCAAGATGGACGGCGGGCCGTCGAACAAAAATTTGTAAAAAGAAAGAGATCTGGCGCGCTTCCCATGCGTCACACTTGATTGGCATGATCCGAAAGAGATCCCTCGGGAACATTTTGGTGAGCGAGATAATGTGCCTAATAATCCCACCTACTATTGCAAGGGTCACATTTTATATTAGACTTTTTTAAATTATTTACACTCATTTTTTTATTGAGATTCAGCTATTGGTCTATAATTTTATTTAAGAATTATTCATTGCTTTTAGCGCAAAATTTTTACAATGCCAGGAATTTTGTTTGATAAAAATAATGTCATAATCAAAAAATCTGCTAATAAACATGATAACTAATAAGTAAATTTTTCGGGAAAGGCCAAAAATGAAATTTTTGTCGTGAAAACGTAAAATTTTATTCTGAATATGTATGTTTTTATTTGTGAAGAGTTAGAAAAAAGCTTAAAAATTTGCGAATTTTTCATCTAAAAAAAAAGTCAATTACTGAAAATAAATTTTAAATTATTTTAGTTTTATCAACGTTATTACATTTTTTTTTTTGTAGAATGTTGCCATCCCGTACCAAATTATGTATGTTTATGTGGATTTGTTCGCATCAGAAAAATGTTTATAAGCGGAGCTATTAGGAAAGGCGACTTCGGAGGCGGAGTTTATTGTTATCCCTATATGGAAATCGCCGCGTCACTAATGACGTTGCCAAGCATCTTCGTCGAGTTTGGTGGGTCGTCCGGTACATCGACACCGTCGTATATTTTTATAACGCAACATTTCGAAGTTATATTTATTTTTGGCCCACGCGTCGTCGTTGCGACGCCCGACGCCCGCCAGATTTTTATTCCCGTGCGTTTCGGTGCGCTCAAAAAATATCGGCGACCATTTTTTTTTTGCTCCGTTCGTCGTTACCATCGTCGGAGCGTCCGAGGGTTCGGCCATGGTCATCGGCAAAATTTTGGTGAATATACGAATTTTTCCGCCCGTGGGGTTAAAATATGGCACCCTCGACTCGTAATCCCTACTACTACTACTACTTCGACTACGGCCTGCTGCTCCTCGCCATCTGGGGTGCGCTGTTCGCCTACGGACTCGTCGCGACGCTTTGGTCGGGGGCGTGGCGCGTTCGTATTTACTGTAGTAGGGTACGTCGTGTGCGATTGACCCATTCGCCGCGCCTCCTCCAACTTTTGTCGGTGGGGGGCGTGGTTTGATTTATTTTGGGCGCCACCTATATGATTTTTGTTGAGACAGTGGCTCCCAACGCGACTTGGTACCTTTTCAATCATCGACGATTTAGTTTTAGAGACCTTTCCGCGTCGTTTCAGGACTTGACAGCGTCGTCGGGCGCGAGGGGCGGAGGCCGGGCCGCCCCCTCCCCCGGTTTGCCGCTGCGTTTCACAAGGGGCGCGACCGACGAGGACGGGGGCGTGTCACCTGACCCGCGCGGCGCTGCCGCCTCTATCGCCACCCTCGGTCTCGTGGGGTTGAAAAACATTGGCAACACGTGCTTCATGAATTCGGTGATCCAATGCCTGAGCAACACGAGGCCCCTGCTCGAATACGTGCGTCACGAAGACTACCTGCACGACGTCAACAGGACCACGTCGTCGATGAAAGGGGCCCTGATCCAGGCGTTCGCCGAGGTTATTCGGGGGCTGTGGTCCGGTGGCGGTCTGCCGGCCATCAATACCGCGGCCCTCAAGTCACAGATACAGCGGTTCGCGCCCAGGTTCATGGGATACGCCCAGCAGGACGCGCAGGAGTTTCTCAGATACCTGCTAGAAGGTGAGTCAAAATAAGCGTGTGCTTTAATATTCAATTATAAAAAAAAAAACTTTCCATCTTATACAGGATGCCCTAAAATTTATCAGTCTTAAACGACTTTAAGTGTTTTTAACATGATTAATTTAAAGGGAACGGAATATTTTTTAAAGTAATCTCTGAACGTATTTTTCAATTATCTAACGAATGGTGTTACAGATTTGGTTTTTGGAACAATAAATAAAAGTTTCATTGTATCTTGTTGTTTCTGGACCTTTTCGGTCAGTTTAAGAGTATTGTTTAACTATCGTAACGTTAATTTCTCTAAGACTTACGTCCAGTAGACTTCTTTTACGTCTACATACTAAGGCAGCGCCAAAATTTCCTGGCCTGAATATGAAAGAAACAAAGTAGGGTAACAATTTTTATTATTTTTCAATATAATCCCCCTTAACTTCAATACACTTATTACATCTCTTTATTAAAAACTCAATCCCTTTAAAAAAATATTCTTTTGGTTTGTCAGCAAAATGAGCTAAAACAAATAATAGTCGCTGGGGGCCATATCTGGACTATAGGGAGGATGATCTATCTGTTGGAACCCACACTCTAAAATGGCAGCTTGTGCAACACCAGCAGTATGGACAGGTGCATTATCGTGCAAAAGACGCACGCCTCTGGTCGATTTTCCTCGCAATTTATGTAATAATGTTGCGTAATATTTACCATTGACAGTGGTATTAGTTTGTTTAAAATCTATCAAAAGAATTCCTTCACAATCCCAAAAGATCGTGGCCATCACCTTTTTTGTTGACTGGCAGACTTTGAATTTTCTTGGAGGTGCCTCACCCTTACGACGCCACTTCATTGATTCTTTTTTCGATAGAAGGTCCTAATAGAGAACCATAGTTTCATCTCCCGTTACAATAGTTTCTATCACGGGCTTCGGTTCCGACCCACAGAGTTCCAAAAAAGGCCGAGCACACTCGACACGGCGTTGTTTTTCAATATCCGAATGGTGTTTAGAAACCCATCTTGCCCTAACCTTATGCTTACCTAAATGATCATGCAGGATTCGACGCCCACTTGTATCAGAAAGCTTAGTAATTTTTTAGATTTCCTTGACCTTTAAACTTCCACAATCGCAACAATATCTTCCGTTATGACATCCACTGGTCGAACTAGTTCTTGAATCATCTCATATAGAATACGAAGCAGAACTTTGGCCATACACACCTTTCCATACTGCTGGTGTTGCACACGCTGCCATTTTAGAGTGTGTGTTCCAACAGATAGATCATCCTTCCTGTAGTCTAGATATGGCTCCCAGCGACTATTATTTGTTTGGATATTTGAAAAAGGACTTACGTGGGCGGCGGTTTAACGACGAAGTTAAGTTTAAAGAGGCTGTTTTAGCTCATTTTGCAGACAAACCAAAAGAATATTTTTTTAAAGGGAGATCGAGTTATTAATAAAGAGATGTAATAAGTGTATTGAAGTTAAGGGGATTATATTGAAAAATAATAAAAAAATTTGGCGCTGCCCTCGTACAAGGCGCGGACGAAATGAATTTGAATGGAGTTTTATATCGATTTGTTATAATCTATCGCGATCCTGTCCTCGCAACCAGGACTGCACGAGGACGTCAACAAGGTGACTACGAAACCCAGGCCGCCGCAGAAGGACATCGACGACTCGCTGCCAGACGCGGAGAAGGCAGCCGAAGCGTGGAAACGGTACCTGCGCGTTGACAACTCGTTCATCGTCGACGTGTTCGTCGGCCAGCTGAAGTCGACGCTCAAGTGCACGCATTGCGGCCACTGCAGCGTTACCTTCGACCCGTTCTGGGACCTGTCGTTACCGCTTCCGTCGTCGCGGCCCGCGGGCAACACCATCCGCCTCTCGCACTGCCTCGACACCTTCGCCGAGGAGGAGACCCTCGACGGCGACGAGAAGCCTACGTGCGCGCGCTGCAAGGAGCGCCGCAAGTGCACGAAATCGTTTGCCATACAAAAATTCCCCCAGACCCTGGTGATACACCTCAAGGTGAGACTTTTTTCTTTTAAGTTCATAGCAGAAACAGTTCAAAGACTCCGCGTAACAAAAATTATTTAGAAACTGTAATTCTTTATACATAACTCATACTCTCCTGATTATTACATTTCAATGAGGCCTCTGGCGAGGAAAATATTAAGTCACATGAGTCTCATGTTTACGTTGTATGGTTTATACTAATATTGCTTAAAAAAATAAATTCGTTTGGTATCTTTCGGGACGCAGTGCCTTTAAAGAGTCACGGAAAGTGGTTTTAGTTTTGTTAATTTAAAGGCACACTGAAAACGTGCTTTAAGTTATTAGTTCCTTCGGTAGACTCAATGCCTTCTGCAATACTCGGGCTTCCACATTACACAGTAAATACGATAAAAGTGTTTTATCAAAAAGTATTTATCTATTCATCAAAATTAATGTTGCGCCCGTCAAAGTAATCCCCCCAGATATACTTGTGCGAACGTTTTTTCCAATCCTCGAAGCACTTTTGGTAAGCCCTTTCTGGTATAGCCTTGAGTTCCTTATCTTCTGAATCGGTAAAAATCTCCTGCCTTTCATTTGATGATAGTGATTTTGTTCTTGGCCAAAAAGTTATACGCAAGCAACGATGAGTGAGCAGATGCATTATCGTGATGCAAAATCCATATATTGGTTTCCAAAATTCAGGTCGTTTTCTGCGTATTGATTCTTGCAAACGACGGATAACTTGAAGGTAATTCACGGTACGACCTTGTAGTAAAAACTCTTGATCTACTAAGCCACGATAACTAAAAAAAAAGCAGTAAGCAAAACCTTGACATTTGATCGGTTTTGACGTGCTTTTTTCGGTCTTGGCGATTCTGGGTTCTTCCGTTGGGACGATTGAGCTTTGGTTACGACCTCATAACTATATACCCATGATTCGTCACCAATTATGACCTTTTTGAGCATATCAGGATCATCATTGGCAGTTCTTGGGCGATGCTCCTTCTACGGTCCTTTTGTTCAAAATTAAGCAGTTTTGGAACAAATTTTACTGCTGCTACACGTTTCATGCGTAAAACTTCGGAAAAAAATACATGGCACGAGTCAATGGAGATGCCGATTTCTTCAGCCAATTCTCTCATCAGTTATTGACGTGTCGGGGCATCCAGAGCGAGGTTCGTCATCCCCGTCTTCTCGGCCATCTTGGGACAGCTTATAAACATTTTTTTGCTCAATATGCCGTTGCCAACATTTCAAGTGTTTTGCAGCACTGGTTTCATTTTTTACACAAATTTTTTTTAATAAATTATTTAATTAATGTAATAAAGATATATCTAAATTTGGCGGTTTCAGAAGAAAAGCGATTACCCCACTAGATCCTTCGTAAGAAACCGTATATAAGTTTACAAATGGTTTTTTTTTTAAGAAATTTCGACAAGCTACTGTAATACTATTTACATTGCTTCTGGTCGGTGGTTGTTGGGTCGAACTTGCTAACGTTTCGCCAATCATCCGGTTGTTTCTTCAGAGTTTAACTGAAACTGTTTCAAGTTTGACTAAAGAAAAATAGTTCTACAAAAGGTCTTGAAAAATGCGAAATGTCACAAATCACCCTGTATTCAAGTGTGTTACGACAATTCTGTTGGTGCCGTCTTTCATTTCATAGCCTTGGGTCACGAAAATCGCAACACGGAAGCTATTAATAAGCGACATTCGTCGTAAAACCATCAAAAACCAAACCCACTGTACAGGGGCAGATTAAAAAATGTTGATGCGCATGGTGACTAAAAGGTGGAATGGAAAACGATTTTGTGACCCTTACGTGTTAACACTTCTCACACATTCAAGGCTATTGCGCGCCGAACGCCATATAGACTATCGGTTCCTCGGTTGCAGCGTTTTTCTCCGATGGAACGTTTTCGTGGCAAACTGAACACCCTCGTCGAGTTCCCGCTAGAAGGCCTCGACCTCTCGTCGTACGCGGCCGAACCTCACCACGCCCCGCCGCCGCGCTACACCCTCTACGCGGTGTCGAACCACTCGGGCACCTCGTGCTCAGGTCACTACACCGCCTACTGCCGCCACCCTTACGACCAACGGTGGCACGAGTACAACGATTCCCGGGTGACGGCCGCCTCCACGCGGTTCGTCGTCTCGCCCGAGGCCTACGTGCTCTTCTACGAGCGGGAAGGAGGCGGCGCGCCCCGCAGCCGCCTCTAGCGGCAGCGTCGCCCTACGCCGCGAAAAATTCCCCGTACTTAGATCGGGACGCCCGATCGCCTCAACCCACGTCTAGTCCTTTCTTTTGTCTTTTGATTGTTTGCTGTGAAGGGGGCGTGGTTACCTGTCGGTCTGTGTGCATATTATATATAAATATATATATATATATATACATATATATATATATATATATATATATATATATATATATATATATATATATATATATATATATATATATATATATATATATATATATATATATATATATATATATATATATATATATATATATATATATATATATATATATATATATATATATATATATATATATATATATATTTATATACGTGATGTTTGTGACGGCGAACCACGCCCCCCACCCCCTCATCGACCCGCACGCGGACCGTCGAATATGTAGGCGGGCCGGGGGGAGGGTCCAGGTATATCGGCACGGTTTTTCTTTCTAAACACACAGACACACACGCCCGCGTACACGAACGAAGAAAATCCCTCGCGGAACTTGAGAGGCATTTTCGTTTCGTTATGCTTTGCATCATCAGAGAATCGGTTAAAACAAGCACTAACTCAATAAAGATTGTTTGCAAAACGCGTGCGGTGTTTCATTTTTTGTCGGTCGGTGAAATCGAATTTTATCTACGTGCGTATAAAAATTTAATATTTCGGTAACGGTAGGTCCTAAGGGGTCCCCATTGGTACAGAAAGGATTAACGTTGGAAAAAAATATTTTTTTTTTGTTTGTCCGTTCTCTGTTCCTAGAGTTTTTCCACGATAACTTCCGAACGTTTTAAGCTGGACGGTTCAAATTATGATCCTTTTTGAGTCCACGGGCTACACAAAGTAGGTGAAAATGGCTGTCATTTTCGACTGTTTTTTCGCTATGAAACACAATACGTGTCCGAAATTTGAAGCTATCGAATTAAAATTTTGTGTATGTATAGAGTTTACCTCCCTAACGAAACCTATTGAAATTGGGGGGGCTGGGGATCGGGAAGTATTTTTAAAAAATTAAAAATCGTGTTTGCAAGGGCAATATCAATTCTCGAAAACCGTTTAAGCGATGAAAAAAAAAAGAACCAAGAGATCAAATTCTAGAAATATTTATTCTTCATAATTTTCGTATTCGCAAAATTTGTGTCGCATAATAATGGTAATTGATAATAACTAGAAGACTGTTTTTCAATTGTCAGTTTCTTTTGCATGATCGTATATCTCGTATGGACAACTAAAACTATTGTATTTAAGATTCGCAGCTATCGACTTCAAATTTAGAGGAAGTATAAGAGTCGGTACCCACACCTAAACTGGGCAAACTGGCCGCGATCTAATATCACCAAGTATTTTTAAAAAAATTTTGTACGTGATTTTGGCGTCCCGAAAAAAATATTTTCTCAAAAATTGATAACCCGATCGGCAAAATTCTTGAATCAAGAACTATGGAAGATCCGGGACTATAACTTGTATTTCAGGCATTTTTTCGATTATATACAGGGTGTTGTAGTTATCGACAAAAATCTAAAGCAACCTGAAAATTGTTCTTTTTCGTTCGGTTCAGTGTTATGGGCCGCACCCATAGATACTTTTTTTTTATTTACGATTTTCGTCTTCCATACACGCTGCTCCAGATATTTGAAAAAATTCATATGAAAATGGCTTTTTCGCGCACTCAGTCCTGTCGCGTTGTTGACTATTACGACTTGCTACATAATTTCAGAAAAAAATAGTTTCTCTAAAATCGTTTGCTCTATTGGAAAAACTTCTATTTCTGGAACTTATTCAAAATTGTTAAATTTCTTAACAGTATCGTAAATTGTGTGAAGAGTTTCCATCATACAGGGTGAGCGAGATATTTAAAAAAAATACCATTGGAAATCGTTACTTGTACAAGTTTTTATGTTTATCAAAGTTTGTCGTGACTTGAAGTTCGGCGATACATGAAAGATGCTTTATGCAGGGTGTATAGCAATAAAATTACGTCGATTTTACGAAAGTTCCATAGTGGTCCACAGTAGCACGATAGAAAAATAATGCGTCCCTCTAGGACAAGAAACCGCGAATCAGCTTTTTGAAATACAAAGCTACTACGCGCTACGAAGTCGCCCCGGCCAACTACGATTTTTCGAAAGTAATACTTGTTAAACTTTTGGACACCAATTTAAGGTTGTCTATTATGGGACTACAATTTAAGAACGCATGGGCACCAAAATACACATTTGCTTTAGACGCCAGGTTCTCTTGGAAATTAATCTTGTTGAACTTTGGACACCAATTTGGGTTGTTTCTCCTGGAGCCACAATTTGTATATAATATTGGGCGCCAGCTTCAGAAATAAAGGCCTCAATTAGGTTCATTCGTTGGAGGCCAATTTTCGCTTTGGAGCCAAGGTTTCACGTTCCAATTTAAGCTAGACTCTCACTTTGAACTCCAATTGAAAGTTTCGACGACACAACAAAGTTTAACAATAAAAGGAAACGCGGTATTAAAGGATTTATTCAAAAAACAGTTACATTTCGTTTTAAGTTCCACATGTAGAATTCACGTGCAGGGCAAAAATAAGTAAACCTCCGCCTAATATAGGTTATCTATAACTATATAATTCGTTAGACACGTAAAAAATGCGCGGCAACACCGCGCGATCACATTTAGCGATAAACTCTTGATAAAATAAAACAGACACACACCCAGACATATATAATAATAGGGAGATTGGGACATTTCGATGGCGGCCGGTCGACTAACACCACGCCCCCTCCCTTCCTGTCGAGCAAAAATTGACGTTTCGCCACCAACCTTCGGTTCAGTCTTTGCCACTAAATTATTTCTATTTTGGCGTAAATAAAATTCTCCTGTGTGTTTGTGCTTTTAAAAAATCATGTTATCACAGCGGGTTGCGTATCACAGAACGTTTCCGAGCGAAATTTCCCCGGTACAAACGAACTACCGGAGAAAAAAAAAACGCGAGACCCTAATGATGGCAAAAACCCAAACCTGCGACTCGAAAACGAACCGTCAATTTTCCAATGTATAACAAAATATGTTTTTTTTTTATTTACCATCCGCGAGAGGCGGGTCTTTGGCGAAGACGAACCGCAGTAGGGGCGCGTACACGATTGGCCACAGCCAGAACAGTAGGAAACCCGCGTAATTGCAGTTGGCGAACGCGATCCAGTAACGTTGCCACGTCAGCAGGGCGAATGGCAACAGCGACCAGCCCATGAATACGAATGTGTACAGGCGCAGGACGAGGTTCCTGACGAGTTTGACGTTCGGGTCGCGGAAGAATCGGGACAACCGCTCATTTGATTTCACTATCGACTTCACCTGAGAACAGAAGCATAACATTAAAATATCGCGAAAAATTGACGCTGGGCGTAACCAACCACGCTTGACGTCATCACAAGTATGTGGTACGTCGAGAGCGTCGCGCTTGCCGGAAATTTTTTGTGACAAAAATATTGGAAGTGTCGAAATGACAGCTAGAAAAACAGAGAAATAACATCATTTTCGATGCAAGTTGCACAGGTCTACAAAATTTGAGTTATTTTCAGCTTAGGGTTTATTCTAATTGATCTGTACCTATTTGCAGATTTTTAAATTTAGCCGTTTCAGTAAATCTCAAATTAATCCTAATAGTAGTTATGCGAACATCATGCAATTATGATCAACAATATTTGGGTAACTGAAACCAGTGTTAAACAAGGAAAAACTTTAAAATTAGTTTACGAAAATGATTTTTGCGGTCAAACTCCATTTGATTATTTTTATAAATTTTGTATACCTTGTATTATCTCTCGCAACCCTTTGTAGCTGTGTTCATTATCAATCTTTTTGGTTTGTATTTTGTTTATTAATTATATCTAGATGTAGGGGAGGTAAATCTAACTCATTCAGTAGCAGCGAAAGAAGGTTGTATGATATACGAGGAACACCAAATACACAAGGCTTATTTGAAGACAATGAATAGCGAATAAAATTGGCTCAGAGAAATTTAGTCCAGCAATACAGTAACACTTTTAAAACACAGCAAATGGACAAAAAACAGGAAGGAAACCGTAAAACAAATGGACCAGCAAATACAAGCAAAATAAGAGGTTGGTCAATTATTGTTACTTGAGTTGTTTATTAATTTGCCAATCTGTAATCACAACCTGTTAAAGTAGTTTTTTTGGATCATTACTTTAATTAAAAATGATTCGAAGTCGGTAGTTTACCAGTTTTCTATTCTACCGTTATAAACGTTATAAATCATAAAAAAAAGTAGCAACCAAATTAAACGTGGTTCAAGATGACATTCGGTTTAATCGAAAACAAGGGCCTAAATAGTCTAAGCGTATTTTCCGCACAGGAAATACTCTTTCTCATAACTTGCGCTCAAAAGTCAATATCAAAACACAGATCCGACCTTACCTCGCGTTCCATGTACATGACCACAAGCTCAAAGAGGAAGGTCAGGTAGTAGCCGCTGTGGACGCCGTGCCAAGCGGCTAAAAACAGTAGCGCAGCGAATTGAGACACATTCTTGTTGCCGAAAAACTTCAGCCTCTTGTATATGTAGCGGGCGATCCATTGGTTGGTGTTCGTATTGAACGACATGATGTAGTGGTTGAACTCGGTAGTGTTCTCGAATACCGACAGTTTCACGTTCTCGACACCGTCCCAGTGAGTCACGCCGTTCTTCTCGCCATTGTACGCGACGCCGAAAAGTATGCAGGCGCCTTCTGTAAGTAGCCAACACGATATGTACTTGTACAAGGTGAACCGGCCCCAGACTCCCAAGAGAATCATTTTTTTAATAAACCCCAAGTTCGCGTACTCCTCGGACAGTATGTAGTCGTCGGAAACGAAAAACGAGAGGCTCTGGAATATCGCCAAGTACGCCACCCCATATATAAATTTCCTCAGGGAAGCCGACACGGAGTCTGTTGGCGAAAGTTTACCATTGGCATCCTGAAATGTAGACGGACCGTTTTGACAGGGGAAATAGACCATATAGTTACTAGGTAGATTGACTCCTCTACATAGACTAAATTTTATAATCACTAACACGGTCTCTGACAATTCCTGAATTACTCAGTTTTCACTTTGGCTAGGACACTTTTTCCGCGATACTGCTTAAAAATAGTTTGGAAAATAAAATTATATACCCTGTACTTTTTAGAAGAATCGTGGAAAATTTAGAGTATGCCCTGTAGATCATTCAATCCTAGATAAAACTCTTATAACCTCAATATTGTCTAGTAACTATATGAAGTAGTTTATTGAGGATACCTTTGGGCAATATTTGCCGCCCACGAAATCCAGATAACGCCTCATGGGAAACTGAGGCCCCACGAGGAAGGCGGTCGGGAACATGCAGTGGCCAAACAGTTCCACAAGGCTAGGCACGGTTTTGAGTGCGTGGTACTTGCCGTCTGACGATAGATTTTCTGCCTGCTGCTGTCCGTCGTAGACGTCGAACGCTACCCCGATCAGTCTTAGACACAGAATACAGTAGGGCATTGTCCAGTTAATATCATACTGTTCCGTGCTTGCGTAATAATAACCTTGAAAAATGGTAAATGGGGGCCCTAGTTATTTTTTGTTGTTGCTTAAACACATACCCATCATTAAGTACACGAAGTTGAACACAAAAATTATGACCACACTTAAAGCGCTGCCATTCAGGAAGGTAATGGTACAGTAAGAAATCAAAATGGAAAGCGCACAGTGAAATATGTCGGCCCCGAAGTTCCAGTAGCCCACGCACACTCCCGTCACGGCGAAATAGAGGCTCTGAACTTCCGCGGGCTTGTTGTACAGGTACTTGCGGTATATCAGTGCTAATGGATATCCTAAGGAAAATTGGGATCCTCATTTAAAAAGAAATTCCAACCGATCCCTACTGACCTGAGAGAATTCCTAGTAATAGTCTAAAGCCGGCTTCCGGAACACCCACGAAGCCGCTGATTTGTGCCAAAACGCCCGCAACCTCTTCAGTCATAATGTTAAATTATCCTAACCGATTCTGTGTGCGATCTCAGCTGCTATAAATTGCTGTGCGACGCGCGTTTGCATCACTCACTCGTTGTGCAGCGACTGGAGAAGCAAGACTTATAATAACGTCGTAATCATCGCCTGTTATTTGATATCAAATTCCACTTGTGGCCATTGACATCGCCGCGCGGCCCATAGAACAATGACATTATAGATGTGTGTTTTTACATTCATTTACTTGGGTTAGTCGACTAATTTGCATATCCACCCGTTGTCCAGCGTCAGCCGAGGAAACATTTTTTAACCGATTACAATGTTCTCAATGCCCAATGCTCACGGTGGGAATCCACAACCTGCGGGAAGTTAAGTTGGCAGGTCTAACGCCTTGTCAACCCAGCCATCGTTGATACCAAAAATATAAAGCCCAGTTTGCATGCAATTGGGCAAGACCAATAGATCAGTTATCATTCGCCCACAACCGAAATGTGCCATAGATGTAAATTAAAGTACAGTTTTTTTGCATAAATGCTATTTCAACCCTTAATTAAACCACAAATTTTTACCTTAAAAAGCTTAAACCAAATACAATAATCTGGTAGTTGCTGCCATCAGAGGTCTCAGCCGGTTGACATTCATTAACTTTCCAAAAAAGTTAGGTTATACCTTAGTTTATGTTATTAAACACTTTATTAGTTGCTACCCGGGTGTTAGGACAAGGCAGTCTTGTATCAAAGTACCGTTTTTCGATATTTATTGACGATATCATTCATACATTCTAATCGCAGGCACTTCCTATTAATTCAGCAGCGTGCAGGTATGTCGAAGAAAGCCCTCGTTTTCCTCGCACCTGGTGCCGAAGAAATGGAATTCGTCATAGCCGTAGACGTTCTGCGCAGGGGAGGCGTAAGCGTAACGTCCCTTTCGAAATTACGAGTTACAAGAACTTCCGATTTTAGCTTGACGTAACGGTCGCGGGGTTACCGGATGTTTCTGCAGTCAAATGCAGTCGCGAAGTCGTCATCAAACCCGACGTTGCGGTTTCGGCCGCCTCTTCCAAAGGACCTTTCGATGTTATCGTTTTACCCGGCGGATTGGGTGGTTCCAAAGCGATGGCTGATTCAAAAATCGTCGGCGACTTGCTTAGAGATCAAGAAAAGTCAGGCGGGTATATCGCGGCCATTTGCGCAGGTAGGGACACGTATACGCGCCTATTTTCCACCATTGAAAGGATCGTTTTAGCCCCAACTGCGTTGAAGGCTCATGGAGTTGCGCGAGGCAAAAGTCTCACCTCATATCCAGCCATGAAAGGTCAAATGGAAGAAGACGGACTATACGAATACAAGGAAGAGGACGTTGTCGTCGACGGCAAGTTGATCACGAGTCGCGGTCCGGGTACAGCTTTTAAATTCGCGCTGACGGTGGTGGAGAACACGGTGGGCAAAGAAAAGGCTTCTGAAATCGCCAAAGCTATGCTGGTTTCATACTAGGCCCCCCGAAAGTGGATTACTCATATTGTATATTAAATTTCGATTGAATTAGTAACGCGTCGTTTTTTTCATGTTTCGAAGGACCAGAAGGTGCTAGAACCTAATTTTTACGTGCAAACTAGAGTTTTTGCTTTAATGGACGAAGCTCAAATTATGTCGTCAAAATTGAAGGCCTAAGAGAACTAACTATAGCGATTTCTCTCGCTTGTGATGAATTATCCAGTCCAAAAAGCAACAACACACAAAACAAGTTTATACTGTTTTGTATTATTACTTCTTTCGGATTGAAGAACCAAAAAATGCTGGAAGGCACCCGACAAAACGTTTACTTGCAAATGTGAGTTTTTGCTTTAATTTCGTCAAAATTGAAGGGCCAAGAAGGAATACCATTCTTTTGCACTTGACATGAATTATCTGGCTTGAGTGCCAATAAAACACGGAGCCAGTTTACACTGTCGTGAATTTTTATCTGTTTCCGTTGAAAGGATCAAAGAATGCTAAGATACCCGGTAAGATTAATTTTTAAGGGCATAATTAAGTTTTTGCTTTAATCGACGAAACTCGAATTATTTTGCCAAAAATCGGAGGCCTAAAAAAACTACCAATTTCTCTCTCTTGTGATGAATTCTCCCACTGGAACGATCAATAAAACACCAAGCCAGTTTACACTGTTGTGAATTTTTACCTGTTTATGTTCGAATGACTGAAAAATAGATAAAACTCGAATTATTATTTTTCATTACATATTATTAGTATTTCCTCAAAATTGAAAGCCCAAGAAAAAATAATATCGATGTCTGCATCTAGCGATGAACTACTCGGCAATTGACACAAAGCCAGTTTACACCGTCGTGAATTTTTACCTCTTCTGGTTTGAGAGATCAAAAACACGTGCTCGAGGCGCAACTTTTTACCTGAACAGCGAGTTTTTGGAAGGATCGAACAAATAAAAACCCCGGCAAAGATCAACATATTTATTCCCCGGCGAATCCCTATTCCGACGGGGGCCACAGCAGGACCACCTGGGAGTGCGCGGACTCGGGCAGCCATTTCAAGTACTCCGGAAGTAAGTCTGCAAATGGACGCGTTGCGACACTCAAAACCCGCGTTTAATCTACTCACATTTCGGGTTCGTCCGCCACACTTCGATTAGACGGTCTCTGCTGCAGCACCGTTCCGCGACGAGCGCTTTAAGTAGGGCTTCGGTACGGGGCTGCAGTCTCGCCCACGTTTTCACCATGACTCCAGGTTGGCTCAGCAATGCGTCCTTGTACTTGGCCAATGCTCCAAACACCTTGCCGTCGAGCAAAAAATTGCCGAACCATTTGAACGCGTCGACCGTCTCGGGATGCGCGACTTCGATATGGGGCAGCGGCCACGCCTGTTTCCCGAACGTCCCGGTCACGGTGCAACGCACCCGACCGGTCCGGGAGTCGTAAAAAGGAGGCGGGTCCGGCAACGGATCCGTCAGGTTGCATAGGTGCGGCACGTAGGTGGGCAACCATTCCGGCTCGACTGCGGTCACGCCCCTCATGTAGATCCGGTTCGTCTCGTAGATTTCCTGATAGACCTAGAGCGAACAGAGGTGATGGGTGCTTTCCCGCTCTTGCCTCTCCCGTGACTCACCACAAACTCCGGCAACGCTTTCCGAAGCACCGAACCCTGGTGGAGGAAAACCGGCTCCTCCATGTCGTTCGCTTTGTAAGCGTACTTGAACCTCGCTTTGTCCTCGCGGTCGGCGACCTCCTCGAGTGCCACCTTCCGCGCCACCTGATCCCCCATGCCGGACAGCAAGATCTGCCGCAGTAGCTTGGCTTGAAGTTCAGTGGGCGGCTCCAGCCGCGGATCGACCACCGCTTCCGCCCCCGGCACGTTCCGATTTATCTCGGACGTCAGTTGTAAACGGAGTTTTCTGATTTCCGCGACCGCCTTGTGCCGCAGGCCGTGCTCGTCGCAGAACTCGCGAAGCCGCCCTCGGGAGTGGGCGTGTTCGGCCGCGCCTACGGCCTTTAAGAGTACCATGTTGTCGCCGAGGAGGAGAGAGTGACCGTGGCCCGCCCACTTGGCCCTTGTCGCCGCCCAACGCTGACGCGTCTCCTTCGCATCTTCCTTGGGTGTCAGGGGTACCTCGAGGAGCACTTCTGGGACGGAGAGCGCGGCCACCAAACACACGGTGTATGGGCTGAGGTTGTGCTGGTGGCTGAGAGCGAGCATCTTGCCAAAACGGGGCAACACCGGAAATCGGGAAATGGCCTCGCCCAGGGGTGTCAGCTGTCCACCGCTCAGGGCGCCTACGCGACAAGACTAAATTCTAAACCGTCAAATGGAGTGACCGAGGGGCTAACCTAAGATCTCGAGACGGCGTTCGGCACCACGCAGCTGCATCAGATCTGGCGCGGTTAGAAACGGAAAATTGACGATTTTTTCGATGCGCATGCGCCGCATCAACAGATAAAGATCGTCGACGGGCTTGAGCTGGATCTCGGGCGTCGCGTAGTCTGGGAACGCGTCGTTGTAGACGGCGCTGGAATAGAGACGATAGCAGTGACCGGGGGCGGTCCGGCCCGCACGCCCCGCCCTCTGGTCGGCCGATGCTTTGCTCGTCCAATGGATAGCGTGGGCGGTCAGGCCGGTCACCTTGTCGTACAACTTGAGCTTCGTCTTGCCGCAGTCTATCACGTATTTGACGTTTGGGATCGTCAGCGACGTCTCGGCCACGTTGGTGCTGACAACGCACAAACGGCAACCAGCGGGCGGAACTTCGAATACCTGAAAACGCACCGGGCGTGCTCATTGTTCAACGTCTTTTTTTTAAACGCTTACCTTGGCCTGTTTATGGGGCGGTAGCATCGAGAAGAGCGGCAGCGTCCACAACGGCTGCGCGTTACGGAACACCGCTGCTCGTTGCTCCTCCGGCTCCTCCTCGTCGGAGAAGTCGACGTCATCCGCGTCGGAATCAGGCTCGGCATCGTTAGGGACGTCGTAGTCGTCGAGGTCGATGTCGGGCACGATTTTCACCTTTTTGCGTTTCTTACGACGCGACGGTTGGTCGTCTGCACCAAGACCGCAGAATAAAGGCCGCGCTGAAGCGACAGAAACGATTGCGAATCACAACAAATTTGGCGGAAACATCATTTTGGTTCCGCGGGGATAAGTAAATATTTTATTATCGCTCAATGGTTGTGCGATGTTTATTGTGTACACAAACAGGCTCCATTTAAAAGGACATTTAAAATAACATAAAAATAGGGATTCTTTGATTAACATCATTAGAGGACGGAACCTTACACAATGAAGAGACGGGGAAGTAAAAAAAGCAGGTATCTGACAATTTCAATATCCAAACAAATGTTTGACGATTTTTAAGTCAAACAAAAAAAAAAAGAGGAAACGACGAAAAAAAAAAGTAAATTGAAAATTTGCAAAGGAAAAAAGAAAAAGCGGTAACAGTTTCAAACAATACCTTCATCAAAATTGACATCCTGTTCGTGTGAATCCTTATCGCCGTCACCCACGCGCAAACACCCAGCTTTATGCTTCAGCGGGAACGCCCTCCTCAACTTCTTCACTAAACTGTTCACCTCGCGCTGACCTGTGACGAAAATCAAAACTCCACCCTCCGGGAGCTTTGTGTGTATTTTCACCGCCTTTCCGAATGCCTATACAAAAAAAAAAAAACACTCAGTCTAACCTCGAACCACGCGTCTTTCACACCGTACCTCTTTAACATAGTCGTCGTTGGTGCGCTTGTTAAAGTGTATTGTAACTGGAAACTGTCTAGTTTCCACAACTACCACCGGTGGCGCCACCTTAAACAGCCTCGCGTTCGCCGTGAAATCTTCTAACTTCAAAGTGGCAGACATAATGATAAGTTTTAATGGATCACCTTTCTTGTGGCGCAAAGGTACTACTCTTGATAAGAACCCGATCAATATATCAGTGTAAACTGACCGTTCATGGGCCTCATCTAAAATAATCACTGAGTACTTCTTAAGCAAAAAATCTGACTGCATTTCCTTCAGCAAAACGCCGTCTGTCATGAATTTGATTTTTGTGTCTTCTGTGGCATTGCCCTCGAACCGAATCAAATACGACACCTCCCGCGTGCTCAGGTTCATCTCTTCAGCTACACGTTTTGACATAGAAATGGCCGCCACCCTGCGAGGTTCGGTGACTCCAATCTGCTTGTTGATGGCGTAACCAGCTTCATATAAAAATTGTGGCACTTGCGTCGTCTTACCGCTGCCAGTCTCACCTGCTATTATTACGATCTGATTTTCATTAATCACCTCCATTATCTGCTGCTCCTCTGCCAAAATGGGTAATTTGAACCGGGCAGCCTGCACTTCAGCGCTCCGTATCACATCCACGTACACCGCCGGCTTCCGTTCAACTTTTCTCGACTCCGAGTCTTTTATTTCAATAACCTCTGCCCTTTTTTCGATCACTACAACCTCTTCTTTCACGTCCCCCATAACCTCCGCTTTAATTTCTTTAGTTTCGTTACCGCAGTCTTCATCTTGCACTTCAGAAGCGTCAGCTTCACTCGCACTGTCACTGTCACTTTCAAAGCCAAGTACGTTCGGGTCGTTTAACCGTAATTTCTTGGGCTCAGTCTCACCGAAATTGCGTAATAATTTTTTCCGATAAGCGCCGGACAAGCTGTTTAACTTCTTCACCTCTGGCACGATTTCGCGAGCGACGAATTTTCCCGGCTCCCGTTCCTCTCTAAACTGACGTTTCAGGCCTTTGGTCTGCACCGAAACAATCGAAGTCAACTGAGAGAGTTCCTCGGAGCTCGCCTGCACTTTTTGAAGCGATTCAAGCAAGCTGGCGCGCTGAAAACGTGGAAACTGAGCGAGGCGCTAGTTCTACTTGCCATACTTACATTCTCTTTCTTTTTTTTCTTATCAACTATTTTCTCTAGCCGTTTACGGTGCTTGCTAGACAATATCCTAGTCGATTTGGGTTTGTCGTCTTTGATTTTCGTTTTACGTTTGGCAGAAGGTAAAACAAGTTGATTACTTTGATCATAGTGGCCCCGGACGTCTAAATCGATGTGTATCTGCAAGTAAGGGAGATGAAAATTTTGTTTTTGTTGAGCCCTCGTGAACAAGCGTACATTTTTCATCGACGATTCATCTATGACAGTATTGACTATTCGGCGAGCCTTCCAATTAAATTTTTTCTTCTCCATTTTTACCATATTGGAGCTAAATTAAAGGGCTTTGGGTTTATGTTTACAAAATGTGGCATTTGTGAGGTTAACTCCACAGGTTATAAAAATGCTGAGCGTACTGATGAGAGTAGTTCAAATGCTAGTCACAGATCACACAGTTAGTGGTGCTGTGTTTAAGCTAGGCAATTAAATAAAAAAAATAAAGTACAGATTCTTTTACATCGTGTTTTCCATAAAAAAAATTGAATCGTTACGGAGAGAGTAGTACATTAAATGAATAATCGGATTAGCTTCCAGCACCAACCGAAGCTATCAACCGATAAATGGTCGAATTGCACCAATGTTGATTATTAATTTGAAAATCTATTTCACAAAACATTGGAATAAATAGTTATTGGCGAAAACGATATTAATATTAAAGCCACGAAGCTCGTCGTTAACATATATAAGAGGATATGTGCAATTAAAGTTGTAGGAGCTGAAAAAATTAGGAAATTGTCTAATGAATCTTACCAATGTTGCTTTATCGTGTTCAATCTAGGATTTGAAAGTATTCTAAAAAAAATCGGACATTAAGGATTTTTCTTAAATATAATAATAAAGTTTATAAGAATTAGCTTTGAAGGAATGTTAAAGTTAAATCAAATTTCTGATATAGTAAAGAAATTAAAAAATAAGTTTAGTTGTGATTGTGATGATGATTTTTCTGCCAACATCCTAAAGTTCTTGTTCCCACTTTTAAACCACTAGTATTTATAATAAAGATTGCACTGTTTTCACTATTTAGAAAAGACAATCAGAATAACACCCGACTGCTCCTATCGTAGCTTAAAATGGTCGAAAAATGGTATGCCATCGAGTTTTAAGCCCTTTGTACGCAATAAGAGGCATGTCTTAAAGGTGGATAGTAATGGTAGCCATCAATTAAAAAACAAAGGTATGGTAGAAATGGGTTCATATATCAGAAACCAAGAATATTGAATCAATCATACCACGAGGCAGTGTAACAGATGTATAATCTCTTTTATATTTTAATAACATTACAGAGTTGTATTAGTTAAATTTTAAAAATAAAATTACTAACTATATACACTAATGATACCAACATTATGAAGATAATTGGTTTACTAAGAATTAGTTAGTTAAGATGTTGAATCTTCACAACTCTCATATCGTTTTTCGCCATCTTTTGTATGTTTTTTTGTAGTACTTTATCATGGGAATGAATGTGCTAGATAACTGAAATAGGGCAATTTACAGTTTTAGTTTAGCTATAGAGTGATAGATGATATACGATATGATGTTGTTATGCACTAATTGCAGCGATATAGAAAGCAATGCCCATTATACTGTGGTTAAACTATCGAGAGACATGTAGGCAAAAATTTAAAGAAGGTAATATTTTTGCCCTTGCTACATATAATCTTTATACATACATGGTGAATCTTCAACAAGTGCACGACAACAACGAAAGAAGTATTTTTTATTTTTCTTTGTTTTTGCAATTATTACCGGTGTTTTACTTTCAAATAAATGAAATAAATAAAATGTCTCTTTATTATTATTATCATTGTTAACACCTTGGGATATTGACTTACTCACCACTGCTGTATATCAGCGACCAAGTCATCTAATTCACATGTTTGATGAGTTTGACGGGAAAAACGATTCTATCGAGCGTTGATCGAAAGTCGCTCATCGACAATCACGTCTTTTGGGTGTGTGCTGAATTATACATGGACATTTTTCCGTTCGCATCAAACCCTTCAATTTCCATTCATTGATATGATACGGAACAGACGCCCGACCCTTTGATTTAAATAATAACTGGGTGGGATCCTAGGAAAATATCATGCAAACCGCAAACCTGCTGCGGCGTGTATAAATATACAATATTCTCTACGCATTTTTAATAGAGACGTTCTGTTCGGCGAGGTGAAAAGTGTCAAAAGTACGGGAGACAATATGGCAGAGGTAGGTGGTCCACGTATTAATCTCACCTTACCGAAGATGAGATCAGGAGACGTTGGTGATGATAAATAACTTGGATATAATAAACACAAATAAAAGAAGCAAAATTATTTAAAAAATTTAGAAATTGACAAGGGGGTCCCTCAAGGCTCATTATTAGGACCTCTTTTCTTCATTATTTATACAGCAGATATGTCGGGTGGCTTTGGTGAGTTCAATAGTCGCAGGTATGCTGATGACACGCAAATACATATTTCTTTTCCCGGTCTGATGCAGTGGAAGCAACCAGGAGAAATAAATGCTCGGAATCGATCATTAAATACTCAAATGATCATTGCTTGAAATTAAATCCGAATAAGTGTGCATTAATATATTTCTTATATACAGCTTATACAGATTTCTTATACAGCTTTCTAAAATTCTCCAAAACGCTTATATTAATCTCCACAACATCTATAAAAGTAAAGTTATTCTAAACTTTGAATTGAGAGAAAATCTCTGTGAAGCACTGGTCTACGGACCTGCTCGGATGTTTTGACAAAATATAAATTACAAAACGTACGGAATTCCTGTATTCATTTATTTATAACCTTAAACGAAGAGATCACGTAAGTTATAAACTTCACAATCTAAAATAGTTAAATATATCGTGTAGAGAAGAATTGCTTGTTTTCTTCTTAAACACACTACAACCACTTAAAACTGGATGCCCCTCATATTTGTTGGAAAAACTGACTTGTAGAAATCGCATTCATTTTCGTGGAACCCGCTTCGATTGTCATGTCCATGACTAAATGCTGAACTACTAACTACTAAAGCTAGGCTACTTAATAAATATCCTCAGATTAGCCAATAACAGAATTAAACTACCTAAATTGTTAATCAGTTCTCTTTACTTAATATTGTTTTTGTATCGTTTTTATTTTTTGATTTATTGCTTGATTCATGTCTTTGTATGTAAAGTTGGTATACTAAATTAAGTTTCCATTGTCTTGTTAAATATTCAGCTGATCTTCGCCCAGCTTAAACAAAAGGCGGTTTTATTTTATTATTTATTTATTTATTAAATATAAGTGTCAAAAGAGAATTCAAATTGATCGCTTGCATATATTCAATAATGGCCTACGAGAATATTTACTTTACTTGAAGGAAATATATGTAAATGAAATATAATCAGGGCCTCCTTATTACACCCGCAGCTTCTTTTTGTTTCGTCTTGATTCTAGACTTGCTATGTTGAAAGATTTTAATAGGTATATCAGAGTTTAGAATCGTTGCTATTTTTATTTATTAAAAATTCATACGATAAAAAGCTGCAAGCTCCGTCCCTGAACAGGAACCAAAGTATCGGAAAAGTGGTGATGTGCAAGTTCTTGCAGGGACGGGAGATTCTGAAACTCTCCAGATACAGCATGCTTCTGGCCGGTATATGGCGTCTTCCGTGGACCAAGAGCTCCTCGTTAAACAAAGTCTACCGTTTTTATTCGGCTGCCATTCAGATATATTTCCCGCTGTTTCTCACCTCGATGACCGTCAACTGCGCCCAGATGCTCCGGAACAATGACCATTCCGGCACCGTATTCCGATCCTTCGCCATGATGATCACCCTGTTCATCGTTGAGGTGAAGGCGATCCTCTTCCAGACGGCAAGCGTGAAGAGGATCATCGCGCAGGTGATGGACGAGGAAAAGTCAATTCTGGATTATGACGACCGCGAAATTACCCGGAACCACTCGAATCGGGTCCGGTTTTGCCGGAAATCCAACTTCGCGATATTCGGTTTCAACTTTTTCTCCGGTGTCGCCATGATTGCGGGCAATATCATCGCGAGATTTCAAATAGACAGACGCAACGAAATGTTGAACGCAACTACAGCCAAGCCGTTCATCTACGATCTGTACTACGCGACGCTGGACCCCGAGGAACACCCGACGTTTCTAATATTTGTAAACTACGTGTCCTTATCGGTAGCCGGGTTCATGATATCGACCCAAGTGGTCTTCGTTTCTTGCATCGTCTTCGCCGCCTCGATGCTCGAAACGTTGCAGGTTAAGTTCAAGAAACCAGCAGGGTTTAAAGACGACGCGAGCTTGAGGCGTCTGATTTCCGAACACCAGCATGCGATTCGGTAAGCGATTGTTCGTTCAGACGAGCGACGCGGTTCGAACATTCGGTTCCAGGTTCGTCGAAATGTTGAACGATTCGACGAAGCACCTCATGCTGCTAGAGTATCTGCTCAATTCGCTTAACGTGGCGTCGGTTTCAATCCAGTTTCTCGTGGTATAATTTGAAGTTTAACAAAAATTTTGAAAACTAAATATTGGTGTATTAAAACATTACCCAAAGTGAATGCTACACGTTCAACACGTTTACATACTTTTGTTTTACAGTCGGAACGCAACGCATCCCTCGCCTTTCCGATATTTCACTTCGGTCTGCTGCTGGTCCAGATATTCGTCCTCGCTTGGAGCTCGAACGAAATCAAAGTACAGGTAACGACCCGGAAGCACATTACTCCGCAGACGTTTGCCCTGTTGTTGTTACAGAGTTCGGGGCTGGCGGACGCCATCTATGAATGTCTGTGGTTCGAGCGAACCGAGTACTCAAAAAAGCTTCTACTGATCGCGATAATAAGATCACAGAGACCTCTGGTCTTAACCATCGGACCTCTTGGTGCTATGACAAACGAGTCAGCACTTACGGTAAGTCTAGTAGCTGCCGGGAATCGTTCACCGAATTACCTGGTAGGAGTTTGAAGATTGAGGAGTGTAAATTTTATGCTGTTTTGTAGATTATGAAGGCGTCCTATTCTTATGTCACTCTCATGGCTAATAGCTACCGCTGAAGTTTGAAATTAAATTAATGCAATAAACAGACGATATTTTGTTTGTTGGAATGGAGTTTTATTTTTGGTTAGAGAATGTGGTGGCCACGAGTGAGGAATGCAAACAGACACTTTTTCCTGTTAAGTGGTTGATGAGAGAGTTATACATGGCTCTCTAGCTCTCCAGTTTCATTTGGTTTTCGCATTTGTTGGCACCAGAATTAATTTAAAGATTGGATTTGTGCGTCAAGAAGTGAGATGAAATAGCCACGAAACGGTACCTTGGAAAACTTCATTTTCCGATTATTCCTCGCGTCCTCCATCAGGTTCTGATCCCTTTGCATCGATTATTGAAACGTTTTCCCAGGAACATAGACACGCAGCGAACCTACACGTCATTTGCGTTTGGGGCTTGTTTCTCGCGCGCTTGCGCTATTCTCGAGATTTTTTATTCATGGCCTGCAATTTTCCCGCCCCACAACGGCAACATGGAACAATGTTGCGCCCTCTGATTTAAATAATTAGAGAGTAGATCTGTGGTAAAATACAGCCTAAGCCGCACGCAGCGAGCATGCCACTAGTATATAAAGGACTTTACTTAGATTTGGGCGAGCAAACGAACAAGTTATACTGACAGGGTGCTAAGGTGTGCTAAGTATAGAAAAAAATGCGAGAGGTACGAAAGTTGTACTGTGGAAGACCCCTTCTGAGACCCCAATTAAATTGTGAAGGTTCAAAATACCATTTTTATTAGTAAGCAGTTTTGTTTCATCCCCGCGCTCTCTGCCGGTTAGTTTCCACGTCCTGGATGTACCGCAGGGTACTGTAGTAGTTCCGGTATTCCATATGCGATACGAAAACTTATTTTTCGCTGGAAGTTTTTAAAAAATAACCGCTGGGGTTGTATGACTGGCGACGAAAAACATTTAATTTATTCCTCAGCAGCTTTTGCTCAAATTTAGTATTTTCCTGTCATAATTTGTAAATAACATATTCCCTTTGGTAAGACTAAGTAAACTGTTCAGTAGGTAAGTCTTTACAGCTAGTTTTTGAAATACAATTTTTGCAATGCAAGATCCCCAAAAGAGTAATTGTTCGCCGAGCTGGGCTTCGTTTATTTGCTGTCGTCGTGGTAGCAGTGTCGACTACAATCAGTGTGGACGCTTTTAGGATCAGCAAATTTTGAAATTACCGAGGAACACCATGCTGCTGGCCGGCATCTGGCGTTTTCCGTGGACTAGCAACGTCTTGCTGGCCAAAGTTTACCAATTCTACTCCGCGTTGATCCAAATTTATTACCCGGTATTTCTCACGTCGATGAGCGTCGGCTTCGCGAAGATGTTGGGCGAGCAAGTTTACTCAGTGAGCGTGTTCCGTTCATTCGGAATGATGATCACCCTCTTCGTCGTCCAGGTCAAAGTGATCCTCTTCCAGACCCGCGGCGTAAAGCGGATCATATCGCAGGTAATGGAGGAGGAAAGGCCGATTCTGGACTCGGATGACGGGCAAATAATCCGAAACCATTCGAAGCGGGTTCGATTTTGCCGCATATCAAGCATGGCGATATTCGGATTCAACTTTCTCTCCGGCGTCGCGATGACCTCGGCTAATATCATTGCCAGATTTCAAATAGGCAGACGCAACGAAATGTTGAACGAAACTACAGCCAAGCCGTTCATCTACGATCTGTACTACCCGGCGTTGGATCCTCAGGAACACCCAACTTTTCCGATGGTGGTAAATTACATCTCTATGCCAGTGGCCGCGTTCATGGTGTCCACACAGGTGGTGTTCGTTTCCTGCGTCGTGTTCGCCGCTTCCATGCTCGAAACGCTGCAGGTTAAGTTCAAGAAATCGGCAGGGTTTGAGGACGACGCGACCTTGAGGCGTCTGATTTCCGAACACCAGCATGCGATTCGGTAAGCGATTGTTGATTGGGAGCCACGCGGTTCGAACATTCGGTTACAGGTTCGTCGAGAAGTTGAACGATTCGACGAAGCACCTCATGTTGCTAGAGTATCTGCTGAACTCGCTGAATGTGGCGTCGGTTTCGATCCAGTTTCTAGTGGTAAATAATGAGAATCTTTATTTTTTGCATCTATAAACGATATTTGTACAAAAATAAATGAAAAAAAAAATGGTGACTGAAAGAAAATTAATGGGCCAGGAAATTTTAAATTTGTTTAATTACTTAATTTTATAAAAAAGTTAACCGACTTAATTTAGACGTACTTAAATTATCCTTATAAATATACAATTCTAACAGCAAAATACCAGCATCAGTCCAAGCAAGGAACACTGACTAATAACTCAAGGTGTGACGAAAAAAACATGGCTGACCTGTAGTAAACATAATTAATCTTTCTGAATAATACATATTTGAAATTGCATACAATCTTTAAATTGTGAAGAACCAAAGAATCTGAAAGAAGAAGTATTTGTTTTTGCAGTGTTTGCGTGTGCTTTTCGTATGTTTCAATTATTATGCTCTCTAAATCTCAAATCAACATCCATCATAGGCTTTATGCGAAGTGGCTGTATTTGAAATGATCAAAATTAAATGCATGCCTATCCAGAAGATACCTAGTTTTTTTGCAGTATTTACCTTTAAGTTTTAGTTAATCAACATTATAACTAAATCGTTGCACGTTACAGTTATTTTTATTTGATCTTCTACGAATTGTGAACTCTGTCTAAGGTAATTCCGGATCAGTACCCAAGAAATTCTACATACTTTCGAATAGCAACAGCAATAACAAGCAGATATAATCTGGCCTAAATTGAAAACAGATTTTTTTACCAGATTTTTGTAAAAAAATACGCAATAACGCAATAGGAACGAACAGGTTTGGGACATATGCCCCTTTGAGTGTTGATATTGGTTTGGTTGGTTTGGTTACTTGTTATTTTTTCTCTGACCGCGGGCACTAAATCACATAATATAACACTTTTTGGGTCATCTTAAGAATATTCAAAGGTTGAAAAAAAATCTCACAAACAAACCTTATTTTAAAATTTAGTAACTCGTACCTCGTACCTTCATTTTGCAGTCCGAACGAAACGTATCCTTGGCATTTCCGATATTTCACTTCGGTCTTCTGCTGGTCCAGATATTCGTTCTAGCTTGGAGCTCGAACGAAATCAAAGTGCAGGTAACAACCCTCAAGCACTCGACCTCCCAGATATTTGTCCTGTTGTTGGTTCCAGAGTTTAGAGCTGGCGGACGCCATCTACGAGTGTCCGTGGTTCGAGCGAAGCGAGTACTCCAAAAAGCTTCTACTGGTCGCGATAATGCGATCGCAGAGACCTCTGGTGTTAACCATCGGACCTCTTGGTGCTATGTCAAACGAGTCAGCACTTACGGTAAGTCTAACTACTACTAGACACCGTTCATCAAGTAGCCTGGCGGGAAATTGGAGGTTCAGGGGCGTAAATTTGATAATTTTCGTGTTTGCAGATTATGAAGGCATCCTACTCGTACGTCACTCTCATGGCAAACAGTTACGGCTAGTAAACCGCGAACATAGCCTTTTCAATTCGAATTTTATTTTCAGGTTTAATTGAAATAAACTGATGATATTATCGTTGCTGTATCGGACTTTTATTTTCGTTAATTCCATTGTATTCTCAGATTTTCGTCTCTCCTTTTTCTGAGGAAATTAAGTTTTTGGAGTCCTCGAGATTCTAGTAAAATGAATTTTGAGTTGGTTTCTACGTTTGTTTGCATTAGAATTAATTTCATAATTATTAATACTTTTTCTTAGCAACACAACGCGAATCTACAACCTAGACATTTCTTCTCATTTGTGATGTGTCGCATTCATTGTGTCCAAGTGCGCGTGCGTTAGCCTCTCGATTTTTTTATTCATACTGTGTAATTTTCGAGCTCCACAAAGCCAACACGGGCCTCGCCCACTGATTCAAATAATTAGAGGGTAGAACTGCGGAAAAACACCGCGTCGGCCGCGATATTGCACGCATATGACTCTCATATAAAGAATTTTCCTTGCACTTAAGGGCAGTAGGAAAAGTCTGATGTTCACGGGGCGTTACTTGATCGAATTCCACATCAAAGGTGTAAAAAAATATGCGAGAGGTACGAAAATTGTATAGTAGAAGTGTATTATTTCTGACCTCCTAAATATTTAAATTTTGCAAATCGCTTTTTATTAGTAGACAGTATTATTTCATGTGCACGATCTTCCCATCATAGTGTCTACGCTTTTTTTTACTAAGCGTACTCCGATAGTGAAAACAGTGTGAAGTCAATAAGGTTACATTTTTTTAGTAGTAACCTGGAACCCCTGTCGTTAGCTTTGCAGGAAATTAGCAGCAATAAAAAAATATTTTTATCGTATTTTCGAAAGAGCGGCTTGTGAATGGTTTTGAAAATGAATTGGTATTGCTAAAGACCACAGAATAATTTAAATCGACCTCTGCTTATAAATCGGTATTGGACTTCATTCATTCATTCATGAATTTGTCTCATTCAGGATACCGAAATATCCGTGCTTCCGAGGAATGCTATGCTGCTCGCCGGCATATGGCGTTTACCGTGGACCAGCAGCGTCCTGCTGGCTAAAATTTACCAATTCTACTCTGCGGCGATCCAGATTTATTACCCGGTATTCCTCACGTCTATGAGCGTCAGCTTCGCGAAGATGTTGGGCGAGCAAATTTATTCAATCAGTGTGTTCCGTTTATTCGGAGTGTTGATCACTATGTTCGTCGTCGAGATCAAAGTGGTCCTCTTCCAGATCGGTAGCGTGAGGCAGGTTATCGCGCAGGTGATACAGGAAGAAAAGTTGATTTTCGACTCAGGCGACGCGAGAATAATCCGGAAATACTCGAAGCGGGTTCAATTTTGCCGCATATACAGCATGGCAATATTCAGCTTCATATTTTTCTCCAGCGTCGCCATGATATGGACCAATATCATGGCGAGGCAACGAACAGAGAGACACAACTTGATGTTCAACGAAAGTACAGTCAAACCGTTCATGTACGATCTGTACTTCCCGTCGCTCGACACGGATAAATATCCGACGTTTCCCATGGTGGTAAATTACCTCTCCATTCCAGTGGCTGGGTTCATGATATCCACTCAGGTGGTCTTTGTTTCTTGCGTCGTCTTCGCCGCTTCAATGCTGGAAACATTGCAGGTTAAGTTCAAGAAAAGTGCAGCGTTTGAGGACGACGCGACGTTGAAAATTTTAATTTCTGAACACCAGCATGCCATTAGGTAAGTTTATCAGTTTTTAGCGACGTTCGCTTCCACATTCCACAAACTAGTAGCATTTTTTCCAACACCCTGTATATTTTTTACTTTAACGTTCGTAAATCACCAACAGAACAAAAATGGACCTATGCAATATTAGCCTAAAATTAAAGATAACCGAATCAATAACAGGTTTCTTTTTTAGACTCTAAGTGGTTGCGAAATAAAACTCCATTTTCCTTTTCTTGCTTTATCTGAGCGCAAGAAACGATAATAACATCAAGTTTTGGCTTAAAAAAGGAGATGAAAAAATTCCTTTTCATTTTTATGTAAACTTTTTCCACCAAAACGTAAAGAATTTTCGGTATATTTTGTGGACTGGCGAATAAAAATTTCCAAATTCTGGAATTGGTCAAGAGAAAATTTATTGCTAGTACATCCCCGTACATTCTAATTATTACTAAAATTGCCCATAAGGCAGAATCTCCGTTTTCCAGGAGATGGAGCACCAGGTCATAGCTTCCGAGGCATATATCAATTTTTGAGAACCATTTTCAACAATAAACAACAAATGGACATATTCCTTGGCCTAGTAGGTCACCAGATATAACCCCAATTGATGTCTACTTGTGGGTATATGTAAAGGATGAAATTTATAAGGAAGGATACTAATACCTTGACGTTTTAGGGGCCGCACTAAGACAAAAAATAAACCAGATAGATGGCAATAACTTTATTAGTCAATAATAAATGAATTAGTTATATTAATTTTTTTTTGTATTTTCTTATTTCCATGTTTTTTAAGCTCAAATGAAACAAGAAAGGAAAAATGGAGTTTTATTTCGCAACCACTCGTAGCCATCTAGTCTAAAAGACAAATGTGCTGATAATATTACTCATTTTTTCCTAAACCATAAATTGTTGTGTATCTCTACTCATAACAAAGTTATCAATTATGAACACTAGTGCGAATAATACGATTTTGACCAACGTGTAGAAAACAACTATGCCAAACTAAAGGAAGTGAGGAGCTGAACAACAACAGACATATTGTTAGTAGTCACATCATCTCCCAATAAAAAATGATTCTATGTAATCATGCGTTTTATAATAGAACTGAAAGCCATGTTAATTCGTAGATTCGTTAAAAACCTGAACAACTCGACCAAGTACTTAATTTTGCTGGAGTTCCTGCTTAATTCGGTCAACGTTGCATTCGTATCCGTCCAGTTTCTAGTGGTAAAACATTGTGCTTATGCATTCACCGCTCTTCTAGAGCTATATTCCAGACCAAACCAGGCGCACCCTTGGCGATTCCCGCGATCCACTTCGCTTTTCTACTGGTCCAGGTATTCTGCTTGGCCTGGAGCGCAAACGAGATCAAAACGCAGGTGCGTCACATTGCTCCAAAACTGATACCCGCCAGCTCTTACCTTTTGCAGAGTTTAGAGCTAGCAGACGCGTTCTACGAAGGTCTTTGGTTTGAGCGGAGCAACACCATTAAGAAGCTGGTTCTCATCATGATCACAAGAGCGCAGAGGCCGTTGGTATTGACGATCGGACCTTTTGGTTTTATGACAAATGAATCAGCACTGACGGTGAACGATCGAGGTCAACGGTTTTCGAATGAAGCAAATAACATATTTTTGCTTACAGATTATGAAAGCTGCCTACTCCTATGTCACTCTCATGGCGAACACCTACCGCTAAGCTCACCCGGTGCGCCCATTTGTAACTGTTAGGGGAATAAATCATGCCAAATGTATGTAAGTTGTTTCATTCGAATCCTTCCTCTTTCTCGAAACGTGGGTTGCATCGGATGATATACCGCTACCGGTCCCAACCATTATGGTCCATTGTTTTTATATTCCATTAATCTTCAAAAGTTGGTTAAACATATTTGTATATTTGGTGCGGGTTTTGGCTTGCAGTTGCTTTATAATGTTAAAATCCGTTATCGAACTCCTCACGATTATATGAGCCTTTATAAATAGACATGTATGGGTTGCAGAGATCTGTGCTAGGAACCCCCACGTCTGATTACGCTTGTTGTTCTCAATTTTAATTAAAATCCATTTCAAGGATCTTTCTAGGTATTGCAACGTTCCTCGAACCTTAAGTTTCGTCATATCTCTTTGCGTGTATACGTCATAAATTATTCGCTTTCCGCTTTGAAGCGTACCCTGCAATTTTCCACCTCCCCCAAAGGCGGTCGGGAAAAACTGCGAACCCTTTGATTTAAATAATGACAGGGTCGAGGTGAGCTTGCGCACTCGTCGTCACGCGTATATAATAATGCCCGAACGATTTGGCAGGAATACTTCGTGCTGTCTCTCGCGGTGTGTTGCTTCGAACAAACTCATTAAGAACGAAAAGGTAAGGCAACTAAACCTAATTTCAGATCTTAGTGTCAAAAAGAAAACTGCTAAGATTTACATCCACTTCAATAATTACATGGTACGCAGAAGGAGTTCCTTTCGATAAATATAAAATAGGCACTCTTAGCAATGACTCAAGTGAACGTTTAGCTATATATCAACTATACTACTATATGTTGGCAATGGTATTCTAAAATTTCAGACATTCCTCCTTGGTGACAGATAAACTATGACGATCTCCCACAGACGAAGTGAAATACTGAAACTCTCCAAATACAGCCTCGTAGTGGCCGGCGTCTGGCGTTTTTCATGGACCAAGAGCCCATCGCTTCAAATATTCTACCGATTTTACTCGGTGCTCATCCAGATTTACTATCCGGCGTGTTTGACTTCTTTGGCGACGCGATTCGCGATCTCCTCAGTCCGCGAAACACCTTCAGACATTTCGACCTTCTTCCGCACGTTCGCGATGACGATTACGCTGACCATCGTTCAGATCAAGGTCGTTCTATTCCAAACTCGCGCGGTCAAGCAAATCATACGGCAAATCATGGACGAGGAAAAGTCGATTCTCGGTTCGAACGACGAGGAAATACTGCAACGGTACTCCGCGCAAGTTGCTTTGTGTCGGATATGGAACTTGGCCATATTCTGGCTCATCTTCGGTTCAGGAACTGGTATGATTTTGGGCAATGTCCTGCAGAGACTCCAAACGAAAGAAGAAAGTCGAGAGTCGAATCGGACTATTCCCAAACCCTACTTGTACGATTTCTACTACGCTTCGTTCGACGTGGAGGAGCACTCAACGATCTTGACGCTGGTCAACTACGCCTATATGGTAGTTTCAGGGTGCATGATTTCCACACAGGTGATCCTCGTCTCTTGCATGATGTTCGCCTCATCGATGCTCAAGACGTTGCAAGTGAGGTTCAAAAAGGCGTCCTGTTATGATGCAGACATTTTGCTTACCCTTAAACGTCTCGTTATGGAACACCAGCATGTTATAAGGTAAAAGTTGAAAGGATTATTTAACCCGAACCACTTGGCTGTGTACAACATTAAAACAGATAATTTGATCGGTACTGGAATTGCATACAAGAGTGAGCAAATTTTACAATAGAAAAAGACTGCTAGTAATGGGCATTGTCCTTTTTCTCTTGCTCAGATTGGAGAATCGGTCGTACAAATTGATATGTCTTTAAAATATGTCTTTGTAACGTGTTTAAAAATATACATAATTTAGAATTTATTGGTGAGAAAATAGATTTATTTATGGAAAATGAAGGACTTCTCAATTTTTGGAAAAACTAAAGCAATAGAACGAATGCCAAACTACTGATTTGTGTGTCATACAAATATAAATACTTTTAACATTATATTTATAAATTTTATTATTAATATATATTTATTTATTTATATTTATATTTATAATTATTTATAAATTTTAAGTTTCTAATTGCAAATAATCGCATTAGTATTAAAGTTTGTGAAAAAGAAAGACAAACCCATAACTATCCGTCTCATTCTAATAAAAAAATTGCCGCATATTTTGCATCAAACCATTGCTTGACTACAAAAAAGAACAACTTTGCATAATTAAGGAGTTTGTAAAGTAGGCATTTTATTAGTTGGAGTTGCAGATTCGTGAAAAAACTGAACAACTCGACCAAGCACTTGATGCTGTTGGAGTACCTACTCAACTCTGTGAACGTGGCTTCAGTATCCATCCAGTTTCTAGTGGTAAAACGTCGCATTTAGCACATGACCGATTTCACCAAGTGCTGTGTTTCAGACCAAACCAGGCGCATCTTTGGCCTTTCCAGCTTGTCACTTCGGACTCCTGCTCGTGCAAATCTTCTCCTTGGGCTGGAGCGCCGACGAGATTAGAATGCAGGTGCGTCATTTTGCTTCAAAATTCTCACGAGTCAGCCTTAATCTTTCGAAGAGTTTGGGACTAGCCGACGCTCTCTATGAAAGTAGTTGGTTTGAGCAGAGCGAGAACGCCAAAAGGCTGGTTCTGGTCATGATAACGAGAGCCCAGAGGCCACTGGCTCTGACAATCGGGCCTCTGAGCGCGATGACAAACCAATCGGCACTCACGGTGATGGAGCGGGCTCCAAAGGAGTAGCGCCGCGTCAGTAACGTCATTTTACTTCCAGATTATGAAAGCCTCGTATTCCTACGTCACTCTCATGGCGAACAGCTACGGTTAAGCTTAGGTGGTACGTCGGATTGTAGCAACTGGGGCATTAAGCGTGTTTTATTGGAGTCTGGCGGGCAACCTCGCATGAGAATCTGAAACGGCTTAGTGCGACCCTGGGTGTCAGTAATCTCCCTCTCTCTCACGTCGGCTGCATAGTACGGTAGACTGTTACCGGGCCCCACCATCCAACCCATGGGTCGCCGGGGCATTGACATATCCACTTACGTGAGAAAAAATATTTACCGCGTGGCGTATAACGCATAATTTTGATTGGTACTAACTTTAAACGATATTATTGGTTTGTTTTTCCCAAAGACGGTGTTGACTTCGAACATTTTTGAATAATTGATTTCATTTAAAAGAAATATATATAAGACAGGAGGAAAAAAATCTGAAAATCTTTACTGAGGCAACGGAAAACTTTAATTTACAGTACTGCACTAGTGTTCAAAATCAAAGCACTACATTTTCTGTCTTATTTGTTATCATTTAAAGACATATTCCCCAAATATTACCATTTACTATGAAGTTGTTTTTGCAAGTTTTGTATGTACTGTTTTTATAACTGTCATTTATTTGAGTTAAAAAAGTTAAGTAATTGGTTGTGTTATGTGTTATGTGTTATGTGGCCACTATTAGGTGTTAATTATTCAACAATCAGTCGAATGCACACTGGACTGTGGATGACTGGAAGAGAGTTTTGATCACAAATGCAACTCGAGTCAGTGAAGATCGGTTGGTTCTATATCATGTGCGGCTCATCAATTGTTACCGGAGTAGGGTCACTGTATTTTCTAATAGCTATATGGTTTTAGTATCTAGATTAAAATAAAATGTAATCAATTCTTTTGTGAATTTTTAGGTATAGTGTATAGAAACAACTAAATAAAGACATCGCTTAAAGTCGCTGGTCGTTTTACATTATCTATATATATTTAAATAAGGAACTTGAACAAAATTATAATTTCACAAAAAAAAATAATTTCGTAGTTCTATGCCATAAATAAAAACAATTAAAAATTGTATAATTTAAATTCTCTTTGAAACGTGCTGAGATCGGCTGTGATCGGTTGTGACGTCAATTCACTGGTAAGGCTACGCTAGAGAAGCCATTAGAGAACGACCACGCGTAAGTTTTCTAGTTTTTAAAATTCAAATGGTATATCAAATAAAATGTAAATTGGTCAACAATAAAAAAACAAAAAGATTTTTTCAAAAAACTAGTGGAAACCTAAATACTAATTTTAAAGTATATTGGCATTGATAACTTAAAGTGTTCTTCATTTTATATAAAATGTTTGCAAAGTTAAGGCTAAAGTAACACCTGAACATAACGTAACACAAAAAACGAACCCTGGTAGATGAATAAAAAGTTTATCTGGCGTTTTACGCTACGTTTTACAAACTGGTGTAGATTAAATGCAAATGCACCTTTACAAGAGCCAAAAATAAACGCAAATAATATAGTAAATATCGAAAATCGGCTGTATGACGTCGCGTTTAGTGACATTTAAAAGGAATAGCCGGGTGTCACAACTTGAATTATTTATTGCAACTTAAATATTGGGTTTTGAGTTTTGATATTTGGTATGCGTTATTTCTATACATAAACAAATGGTTTAAAAAAATAAAATACTTTGCCGATAATACGTCCACACCTCTTGCTGGCCTGCGTGATCGCGATCACTAAAGACAAATGCCTCAGGTAACGAGCAGACGGTCGGAAAGCCAGACGCCCATGAGTAAATAGAAAGTACCCGCGGTCGTTACGTTTAAAAACGCGCGTAGTCCTGACCTGCAGTGGTTGTTGTTGTCGGGCGTCTCAGCATCGGCCATTCTTCGCGTTGCCTCGTCGGTCTGTGACTAGTTGGTTCGCGTTTTTCGTATCAAAACAAACTCGAGCTGGAGGTTATCGTTGTCTGGACGACGACTTTGATTGCAAAATGGTTTTCTCGATGTTGAGGAACGGATTGAGGTGCGTGAGGACGGCGCAGAAATACGGAGGAACGCTCAAAAGTGTAACGGACAAGGTGAAAACGGATCCTCGAGGAGGAATTTTGGTAAGTCGAGGAGACAAATTGTGTATTATCTTCGTCTGACCATTGCGGTGTTGCGTAGTTAACGTATTTCAAAGCATTATTTATTCGCGGCCCGTGGTTTGAAATTTGGCTCCTTTCATACTGACTGCCGACCATTTGCTCCTATCGAAAATGGCCGTGTTACGACAACGCCTGCTATGTTTTTCGATCGATTTTTCGTAATTTAATAAGAAACGCGCCTAGCACCACAAATTTGCCATTACTGGCTTGAGATTTGCTATAGAGGTGGCCATCCCCCGCCTGAAAATTATTTTTTTTCTAACGATTTTAATATCTTCCAAAAATCAAAAAACAATTTTTTACCAGGACACTTGTAAAGTCCGAGAAAAGGAGCGCTACTCCAATCAATTTTTGCGATAATGTGTGACAGAATAAGGGAAATGGGGCGCAACTTAAAGTTTCAACTGACTTGGGAGTTTGTTGCGAAGGCAGTACGGATGGTGCCGTGAATTGCTTTTTTTTTACTCGGCGCCGACGCGTATGATACAGGGTGCGCGAGATATTTGGCAAAATACTTTATACGAGGGGTCGTTATGCTCGAGAACGTTGTTTCTATCGTCGACTGCGAGGCAGCCGTTGACTCCTTATTGGTTTTATTTTTACTTTGAAGTTGAAGGTTATTTTCAGGTCGTTCGGCCGCAGGGGCAGTGGCGTCGGTAAAATATATAAATAAGCCACATTAACCTGTGTCTCTTATTACTGTTTATTGTAGGAGTCGTAAATAAGATATAGAGAAATTAAAGAAGGGTACTCTGTATATTTAGGTAGAACGACGGCGGTAAGAACTTGGTAATGAAGTGATTGCGGGCTTTTTATTAGGGAAAATCCTCTTCAATACAGCAGAGAAAGGTTTGCAAAAGTTTACAATAGGCAGGGTACATTCAGGTAGATTTGCGTACTACCCAAGAGCGTTGAAGTTTTCTAAGACTGTGACCCTAAATGTATTTTTTTCAATTTTTTCTGGACCTTTGTGAGCAAAATGTTAATAGTAAATTATGCAACAATTGTGGTAAACGGCATTTGAATCACGAGTTTATTTGGTACGAGCGAAAAAGTTGTTCCTTTCCCAGTATTCTAAAAACAAGCCAATTTTCATAAACATCGGAAAAACTGTTTTTTTTTTAACTTTTTTTTCAAGGTTGCAGAAAGTGGGCTATGGAAGTCTCAATTTTACCATAGAATGTCATAACACCAATATGAAATGTACTGTGTGGCACAATTAAACATTGGTCGCTTCTTTTTTAGAAGAAACTTAACTCCTGAAGAATACTTGAACTATATAAATGAAATTCTTTTCGCATTTTTGGACAATTACCTGGATAATTTTCTATGAGTATATTTTAAGCAAAAGGTATTTAAGCGAAGGCATTTTTTTAAAATATCAACAATTTCGAAACAATAGAAATTTTTTTATATCATTTCTTATTATTATTTCATTCTTTCTTTATTATTAATATTGTCTTATTATTTCTGATTAAGTTGTATTCCAAAACCAGAGAATAAAATTCTTTTCCTGGCAGAAATTTTCTTAGCTTTTTTCTATCATTTTGGTTCCCCAATTTTCCTCAGCTGTGGGTCAACATGACTATAAATTTTGATGCCATTGTACTTAAATGAATTGTCGTCACCTAGACCGCTATAAGGAATTGGTAATGGGATGTTTGTTCCGTGAATGAGGCACACTTGCCGGTGACTATGTTAAAATGTTAATTTGAAGGCAAATGCTTAAAAATTTTCGTAAATTGATTTGGGTGTTATTTTGGATACTATCGCCAGATTCCGAATTTGTCAAAACTAACAAATAAAAAATATTCCTATATGTCTTCAAGTGTATTTTCGACTGCTTCATTTCTTTTTGTTTTCTCTTCTATTACGACTGCCTGCGAATGTTTGTATTTCATTCCATGAGGAGGAAAGTTAAACGGTCTATTGTATTTATCGATAATTTATTTGAAACGTAACGATATCCAAGTATTCGTATAAGTACGTATGGGGACAATTCTGCGGGTACGCGCGATTTCATTTACATATCGTTAAGTATTCTAACATGCCTCGCTTTCAGATGTAAAATTATTCTTCAAACGACATTAGCACGTGTTTTTTTTTGGCGAAAACGACGTTCCTAGTCGAAGATTTAAAATGTTTCGGTTGTAAAATATGGAATATTTTCTCAAATTAGTTCATAAGTCGATACGCAGTACTTGATGTTTCGAGCTTAGACAAGCGTTACATAAAAAACGAAAGTTGTCCACCTTCGTTTCCAACGTTCGTAATAGGTCAATCTTAGTACTGGGACGTGGCGAACACGCACGTCGATTGATCAAACACCCATTAGGACTAAAAAGGCAGGCAGATAAGTGCTTTTGGGTACGTGAAGTTGTCAACGTATGTAGCAACGTTACGTGCGCTTATGGTTCGCGTCTCTCCGGATGCGTTGACCCATATTTTCGGCTGTTAAGTAAAGGACCGGTTCGAAAATTTCGTATCGATAAATGTCAACGATCTGTCAAATAAGGCTAAATGAAAAACTAATTATTGTTTTATACCTTGGCCAATTGGTTACGATTTATAGGAGCAAATCTTGCGTGACATTGTGCTCGAAAAAATGACATTCGGATAAATACGAGGCACCTGAGCGTCAGTTTTGTTTGTGGGCGGGCGTCAGGGACGTTCACTTATCCGAAGAAGCAGATTTTGTTTTATGTACGTTGTTTTTTTGGAAAAAAAAAGAAATGTCACCGCATTTTCTCCTCTCTTTCTCTAAATGCCTCCTTCGATTGTTGATGAATCGCAGACGTTTCGCCAATAGTAAATAGTAACAAAAAAGGAAATAAACGAAATTGTACTGGGAACTGGGGGTACATGTTTGTATACCCTACAATTTGCGGATGATCAGATTACCATGGCCAATGAGAAAGAAAATTGCAAGAAGAATATGAACAATGGGGTTTGACGTTTTAACCGACAATATTCGGGACGACGTGGACCAACCGTTATTATCCGTTATTAGCAGTGCTGCTTCACCAGACTACTATAGCATAAAACAGTCCTAAACGAAAAAGAGCAAATGAATACATGGTTAAAGCTGACCAACGAGTTAAGCCCTGTACGGGGAAACGTGCAGTTAGGAAGCTCATAACAGAGCTGATCTACGTGGGCCGACCACTTGAAGTTGTATCTATCAATGGTCAAGTTATTTCACACGTCTTCGGACAGGACGTTATGTTGGGTTTTCTGTTATATTCGAAACATAAACGTACGTATGCGAGATGTAGATATAACCCCGCAACTATTCTTTGGTTTTTGGGCCTTCCTAATATTCCAGGGATTAACAACTTGATGGGTAATCACCTATTTAACTCTCATTCTTCGTATGACGTTTATATAAGCGTTATGCATAAAAGAGCTTTTAATACTTGTCAGTTTTCGACTTCGAAAAAAATCCGCGGAGAGTACGAAAAAATTAAAAATTTTGCAATACTGAGTCAACAAAGACATTTTTTTTAATAAAACAGCTTTATGACGATAAAAAATAATTTTAAAAAAATACGTTTTTCGTTGTGATTCTGGTGGATCGTATTATACACAGTATCTACTTAAATGATAATTATATCAAGAACCTTGTTATTGTAGGTTTTGAGGAAAGGTATAAAACGTTCTCTCAGTTTTAAACCAAATTGAAATAATCTGATATCAACTTTTGCAGTTGTATATTAAATTTATTAATTCTCTGATCTAACTATGTTTTTAATATTAAAATAACAAGAACAATATGTCGCAATTTAAATAGACTCAATGAATATTTTTTATTGTTGTTTTTGTAGCCATTACTGTTTAAAATATATATTTTTTAAAAATTATCATTTATGTTTCACTTAAACGTTGCTGTCTTCGTGCAAAGGTACCGTCTAGAGGTACTGCTCCAAGCACGGAACCACTCCGCTGTCGGATGACGTCACATCCGCAACGCAATGTGCATCGGCAGCCGCAAGGCAGCGCTTATTTTTATGGCCGCCTTTATTATTATTTTCATTTTTTTAATGGCATATTATATTTCGTTTCCAGTGGAGTTATCGTACGACATGGCCTCCAATATAATTTATTCGCCAATCGCGACAAATTCGATTCAGATAAAAAAAAAAATAATCGCGTTGACCCCATTAATACTTACATCGTTTATACTCGTTAAAAGATCGGCAAATAAATATTCGAAAATCCGATCGCCTCCAAAAATTAAAATGTCGCGTCGATAACGGTTAAGCGTTCTCTTTATCGTTCAACGATCTCTTGTTTTGTTTTTCGAATTTTTCAAATATTTGCTCTCCGTATTACGTGGTTTTTATATATATCTCTGTTTCGACTTTTGTTTGTTCGTCAAATTGGTGACGAAAGCCTGTCGTAGAGAGTTTCTATTTAATCTTTATTCCGTCGATTAGTTCCTATACTACTTATACAGGGTTTTATGCAATTGATTGAAGAAAATTTAAGGGTAGATTATCCATCTGAAGATATGAATGAAACCTAGCGTTCTTTTTCCTGGTGCCCAATTTTTTGTTTACTTTTAGAACTTCCCAATCTTGAAAATAGTGTTTGCATTTTTAAGTCGGCGAAATTCGGCAAAGCTCGAGCATACAAAATATTTAAATTATCATGAGAGTGCTTCAAATAAACAAACGTCATCAAAACAATGGAAGTAATGAAATCAATTTACAATATGTATCCAGCCAAACAATAAACATCCTTGTGTCAATAATTAATTATTATTAATAATTATTAATTCATTAGCTATTTATTATTGAAAATGTTAGATCAACAATAGCTCCATAAAACGTAGCTTGAATTTTAAACTTTTTTAAAATTAATTTTCACATTCCTTACAATTTGGTGGTCACTATATATTAGCTTCAGAAATCGACGGTACTTAACAGAAGCAAATTTTTCCTTATGGACCCATTCAAGCCGATATACTTGTTTATTTTCTGCTATCCTTTGTGATTTTATCATCACTTGTTGTGAATGTTAACGATAATTGCAAAAGAATTAGTTTAGAGGGTCGAGTGCTTTCTTTGTCCCAGTCATATATTTATATGAGAGATGTTGTAATATGTTATGCTAAAATAGGAGTAGGAGGTGGTGTACTTTAGAGTTCTATATCTGGCCTTCTCTTATACTTGTTATAAGAGTTTCATTTGGGAAGGGTTGCTACAAAGTTTTATATTTGGGTTTCTTATGTTTGTGAGGTTATTATATTGTCAAAAACCGTTTTGCGGGCATACGAGTTAGCTAAACTTCACCTTTTAACCACATACTTTTGCTTAATAAAGATAATTATTTTTATTGTTATTATTACTTGCAGGCAGTTTTGTGTAACAAGTGCGTAACCACCCCAAACTTCGCGCTCATATCCAGGGAGTACAATAAACCCGCCAAACCCCACGCTGATAGGAAGTACCAGTCCACTTCTGAGTCTGACAGCGATCTGGAATGGATTGGCAAAAGAGTGAGTATCCCGTCACGCTTAGGTCTAAAGTACAGAGGGTACCAGGTGTGCACTAACTAGTGATCAAATTTTGCTACCCTTGGTGATCAGTAGACTAAAAACGCAAATGACAACGTTGTCACTGCACTACAAATGTTAATTATCCCTTAACCTCTCCCCCAATGGTTTTGTATTTTAGGGAGAGTCGGAATTTTGGAGGCGCAAAATGAGGACGTTCCACTCCCTGTTAGACCTGAACAAGGACGGAGTGATATCTTTCGATGACTTCAAACTGTTGGCCGACAGGTTCGTCAATTTGGGACACTTGAGTGAGAAGGAAACTCAGGAATTCTACGCTCTGATACAGGTAAAAAATAAACTAATCTTAAAAAACGGGCATTTTCAACGGGACTGGTTTGTCTTCATCCCTCGCAGCATTTGTGGGAGAGGCAATGGGGCGAAATTTCACCCTACAACTTGGTGACCGTAGAGAAGTTTTTGGATAATATGCACCACACACTGAACGACAAAAAGTTAGTGCGGAGGGCTCACTCGTTTCTGACGTACTTTTTCAAGGTAAAGTCAAAATGGAAAGGTTATTTCCGAATTTTAATCACGGGTAAACGTAACAAAATGAAATACAACGTGAAATATGTCCCAGGATGATTTTTGGGCAAAAATTGACAGTGTCTTTGAGACCTTTAATAATTTGTCCAAATTCTACATTTTGTCAAAACCAAAACTAATCAAAAATGTCTTAAAAGAATCCAGAAGCATAAAAAATATTATGGCAGCATGGGATATATTTATCCCATCCAAGTTATATCATAGTAATATTATTTTTTTGCATTCGCTTCAAGGGCAACTAACTTACGAGCAAAATGTGTTTTTGAACAAGAAATTGTAAGACAACTCTAATCAATTTTTGCTTAAAAATATTCAAAAGATGCCATCACCGGGAAAAATTCAACTTGAAACGCGGGATATGTCAACAGTCGATCAGAGAAAGAACCCTCTATTCATTTAAACTGGTCATTGTTCGTTCTGTGGTTTCCGATCGTGTCACGTGATCTAGAAAATTATTATTAAAATTAGTTTTTGTGTGTTTTTTAATTTCTGGAAAAATCAGTATACTATTTTTTTCTTTTTAAAAGTGATGGTTTGATTCTTTTTTTTGTTCTATAGAAAACTCCTAACCAAAAATAACCTTTATAAAATCCCTACACTTTGCACTAAAAAACAAAGATTTTTTATGACCTTTAACACAATTTGAGTCACCATTTGTGACTGTTTTGGTTAATTTTTCCCAAACCTACTGTCAGTTTTCAATCGGTTGGTTCCGTCCTCAAAGGTAATCAACAACAGCAACGTTGCTTAGGGAACAAGCCGACATGGATTTATTTGAAAGTTCTCGCGTGGAATTTCAGGCAGTTGACAAGGACAAGTCCGGAGAGATAACAGTCGAAGAGTTTAAGCTCTTCTTTGATGTGTTGGGCTTGAAGGAGGTCGACGCAGTTCTCGCCTTCTCCGCCATCGATTCAAACGGAGACGGTAAAATAAGCAGCAAGGAATTCGTCAAACATGGCCGAGAATTCTTCCTGACCGAAGACGAGGAGAACATCTCCAAGTACTTTTGGGGACCGCTAGTTAATCACTGACCTGGTGAGGGAGAAACTTGAAGGGTTGAACGTAGGGTTAATATTAGTATAGTTTGATGATGATTGGTTTCGCATCGCACTGTCGATATTTTCATTTTTCTTGCAATAAGTTAGGAGCAGTGCCGACTCATTTCCTACTAACGCAAATCATTAGTGAGTTTGGATTTCGTCAAATCAACAATTAATTCGGGGCTCAGGGTCAAAACTGTGACTCCCAGATTCTACCATAGAGTTCCATGTTAAATTCAACTCGGTCGATGTAAAGATAAGGGTGTATATAGTTCATTTTGTAGTAGGAGGTTCTGTAGAGGCGACGAGCGCTGCCAGATATTTTTTAATCAGTGTACAGGTTTTATATAAAAAACGTTTTCTAATGGAGAGGAAAAGAACTACACACAATTTTATATAACTTTATTTGTGTACACTAGCAGGTTAAGTTAGGTTAGGTTTTCAATTTAGGTTAAGTGATTGTGATAAGGCGCCAATGCCAACTGAGAGGATTCTTAGGTTTAAGGTACTTTTGTAATAAAGCTACTTTTAGCACTGGTATAACCGTGTTTTATTTGGAACCTCAACGGCGGAAATATGGACAAAAAATATTTATTTCTCTACCTACTTCTCGCGACAAAAATAATAAAAAATAAAAAAAAAACACTAATACAACAAACGGTGTCATTTAATCTTCATAAATTTCTTGTGCTCCTTGATCTCGTCTATCATCTGGTTGATTTTTTTTGTCCTGCAAAAATAATACACAAGTCGCGTTCCACTATATGTGAGGGAGGAGGAGCTTGCAAAAAATAGAAATAAAGCATCAACTCACGAGTCCTGCAAACTGCTCTTGATGGTATTGGCTTGCATCTCGCTTATGGCTGATGCCTTTTTGATTTCCCGAGCTCTCCAATTCTCGATCTGCACGTCCTGGTATTTGGACTTATTCCTCAATTTGTCGATAGCGACCTTGTAGTCCGCGCACTTCTCGCTGAACGCGTTGAGGTCGGCTATAAACTTCGTCTCGGCGTCTGAAGCCTGGTCCCTCTTCCTGGACGCCAGCATCAACAGCTGCTCGCATCTCTTCAGCAATTCGTCCTGCTTATCCTTGATATCCTCGTACTTTTCTGCCAAATCGCCGGCTGATTTCTGCAACTCGTCGCGTTGAACCACCATCCTTTCAATCTCCTTTTTCTGCGCCTCCCTCAGCATTTTCAACGTGTGGATCCTTTTCTCCATTTCCTCCCGCGCCTTGGAATGCTGTTTGAACAGCTGCTCTCTAAACACTTGGGATGCCCTCTGCAACAACTACACAGACGCCGGGACTAATATAGTACTAGCCAACACCACCCAATATTCCCTGAATACCTCGTAGCATTCCTCAGGTGTATTCTCCGTAGCGGCAGGTAATTTGAGCACGGGTTGGCTGGAAGACTTCTTCAAAACCTTCTGGATGTACTGGTCGAACGGCTCGTTCAACATCTGCAACCTCCACGTGCAAAAGGAAGCATGAAACGTAAAGCCACTGCTTACCTTCTTCAGCGGCGACGTCGCTTCCACGACGTTGCCGGGCGCGATTTCATCCTTGGGCATCAGGGGGGCGGCCAAAATGGCCAACGTGACCACACTCCCGTCCGCCAATAGGGTTATGACCGAGGTCGGTTCGTAATACAAAGCGAATCCGATGACAGGGTTGGACTTCGTCGAATTGACGGTTTTCGTGCATACCATGTATTCGGAGAAACTAGACTGAGCGAATATATCCGCCGAAGGCTCCGCATCTGAAGACGAAAACCCGAAGCAACTAATTATATCATTACCAACGAAGCATTCTCCACAAGAAGAAACGTAGGGAGAAAAATACTATCTGAAATGTAGAAGGGGAGAAAGATATGGGAGGATTGAGGCAGAAAACAGCAACAGTCTGCAGGCGAAAAGGCAGAGACGTTCCGATAGGAGCACAGGGAGGAAAACTTTCCGGGAATACCACGGTGTTCTAGGTATACTGAGAATGGTACCTTCGGGTCCGAAAACGAAACTATGTAGTTCTCCTACGCACGACAAATTCACGGAATGGACTCCGGCGCTGTGGGTCGCGAAGAACCGCGAAACCTTGGACTCATCTTTGTGCAAATGTATCGGACACTTGTACTTTTCGTAGTCGTCGTCCAGGGACGTCGCCAAGCCCAACTCCAAGACCACCGTCTCGAACACCAGCAACTCTTTGTCGGCGGCTTCGGTGACTATCGCTTTGCCTTGCACTCTCGACTAGAATCGAAAACGATAGGGAACGCGTTTCCGCTAAACCCACTTATTACCTCCTCGAAAATATCTGCCTCTTCTAGGTCCAGGAGTATAGCGTGGACCAACGTGCCGGTTGAAGAAGCGAAACAGAATATTTGGGGAGTGGCGTTTAGGCAGATCATAGCGCAGGCATCTTCGTCCAGATCCGGAAGACTCCAGGTAGGATAAGGACCTTTTAACCTGGCTTTGGAGCTGGAACCGTGGGGTTAGCGTAGGATGAAGTTCTCGATCGTAGAAACTTACCCCTTGTGAAGATCCACGTTGATGGAGTATACGGAGTAGTCCCCTCTCAAAACGTATACGGGCCACGTCAGCTGCTTACCGTCCCGTTGGACGTCGTTGTCTATCGTTTCCGCCTTCTTCGGGGTTATCTTTCGGTCTGGAGTGTCTAGGATGACGCGGACGTTTGCTGAAACAGCAAAATAGCTTTCCGAGGATATCCTCAACGCGGGCAAGTGCCTACTTTTATCCCTCTCGGCTATTTTCATTTCTCGAAAGTTCTCCCAGAGCGGTTTGCTGACGACTTCCGGCGACCCGAAGTCGAAATCGACGGCCACCTCGCCGTAGATGTCCAGGAAGGTGGTCTTGGTGGAGGGGAACATCGAAGAAGGCCTATCGCCTACTGAGTATTGAGCCACGCTGAGCGCCTGCTCTCCGTCGAGTTCGTACAACCTAGAAGCAAGCGTTCGCAGCAAAACGCAAACTCCACGTACCGTAGGCCGTACCTCAGCACGTTGTCGGAGGTCAGCACCAGCACGTGGGAATCGGTCACGCTGCCCGGATGAAATCTGACCTGCCTGACGGTGATGACATCGTTGCAGGCTAGTAGCCGCTCGTCGAGGCTAAAGCTCCTGCAATAGCAGACAGAGCAACTCATCGGCCAAAACGACTTGAAAAGTTTGGGCCGAATTGGACACATTTAACATGAAACTTCCATACATAATTTGTATTTTGAAATCATAGAAAAGTACTTGAGATTACCATATTAATAATAAGGCATACTTGTAGTTTTGGTTAGTTGTCAAATAAATGGGATAATATAGTTTTTATTATGAAAGCCGAGAAGAATGCAGAGACAGCAAGCTATTTGTATTACGACCAATATCCTGAAAGACTTTTTCCGAAGATTGCAACATAAATTAAATGATAGTTCAATCAGTTCCAAAAGAAGATCGGTCAAGGCCATACTAGTCATCAAGTATTGCGGTTTCGTAATACCGGTACAGGTAAGCAAAGGGATATTTTTGAACGCGCAAGAATCCTACCGACTGCTCCGTTAAAACTAATAGCGCCCTTTTGTCACGCGTAAGGGTGGCGGGGGCGGGGTGGGTTTCGGTTGAAATCCTTTTAGCGCCGGTAGCCATTAGCCATTCGGCTCATAACACGTTCCGCGTGACACATGCCGCGAAAGGTGCTAAATAATCATTTCCGGTGTCTTCATCGTGCCCCCTTCCAGAAAACTTTTTAATGCTCTTCGGGTCGCGAATTAACCGCAATTAGGCCATTCCGTGGGGGGGGGGTCGGGAGGCATGGGGCGGTAGATCCGCGTCAAGGCGCGGGCGGCTTATTGAAAAATATGCGAGTACGCTAACGAAGGGATCTCGCGATGGGTTAGATTTAGATGCGACGGGGCTAGGAATACAAGGGGGAAAATCTTTTACATAACAAATATGGATGATAAGAAGGTGTGTGCAAAATTTTTAAAAAAGATGTATACCCACGTTTGTTTGAACTTTTTTTTCTTAAAATCACCTGAGGATGGGCTCTTGATTCCGAAACATCCGGTGTTTTAGCCAGTCAATGTAAATTGCAAAGATACAAGTAAAAAAGTCTCTCTCATACTGATGAAAAATTGTCTAGAATGAGACGAACGTTGCAATTAATTTGAAAATTCCATGGAAACAAAAATTCGTTAACGATAAGGTTACAGTAATTGTCAGAATTTTGTAAAGACACGTGTCAAATTTGGAACATGAACCTGAACATTACTATACCATCGCTATTGAAAAGAGCCCAGGATAAATTCTCCAGTAGTGCCTATCTACAAATATCCAAGACCATAGAATAATTACCAGTGTAGATGGGTCACATCCTACTTATAAAGTGTACATAGTGTGTCAAATTAATTTTTTTTTTACAAGATTTTGAAAAAAGTTTGTAAAATTCACCATTTTTATGGAAAAAAGTGTGAATTTCGTAAGAAAAATGTGAAATCATACTTTTTTCCCAGAAAAATTAATATTTATCTCTTTTTTTGGTTAATTCTTTAAAAAGCTTTATTGTTTTTCAATTGAGTTTAAAGCAACAAGAGTCTCAGCTTGTCAGGATAAAAGAGATCATCAATATTCTAGTTTAGGAGTACTGTGTGTGCGTTCCATTTTTATGGTTTTACTGCGTATCTCGCTCATTAATGTGTTGCGGCTTTTGTGAGTCACGACTACTTTTTCATTAAATGAAAGGCACAAATAATAATGAAACCATTAAAAGACGTACGAGTGGTCCATTAAAAAAAAACACAAGTGTAGTGTTTATAACAAAATTTGTCTAAAACTATCGATTTCGGGACTACTTGTCCGTTGTCTTATGAGTTATTGATAAATTTAAAAAACTTTCCTTTAAACTTTTCAAAAAAATTTTTTTTCATTTTTTACTTTATTTGTAGCAGTAGGCTATAGTAAATTAACTAAATGGACTAAGATACGTCTAAGCAGTTACTACTATATAAGAGACCCTTTACTTAATTTCAAAAAACCAGTATGAAAATATATTTTTTACTAATAATGTCTTATTAATAATATAAATATTTTGTTATTATAATGTGAAGTAGATAATTGGCTATGACTCATCTATTACAAACAAAAAATCAAATGTGTCAAAAACTTACGAGACTGTCAGTTTATAATTAAATTTTTATTACCTATCTATTTTTTCTTTCTGTGTTTATTTCATTTCAATTAATTTTCTATAATAATGTACGAAACTTCTGAAAAATATGATATGCTGGTATGTTTTATACAATGCAATGAAAATGCCCAAGAAGCTTCCGAATTATATTACCACAGGTAAAGTTATTCAAGATATATTTGCTTGTCTGAAAATAAATCTAAATCTTAATTATTTAAAGTAGAATAGGGAGCAAAGAGAAACAAATGTATTAGGTTACATAAATGATGATAATTGTACAGTAAAGTTGGCATACATATCAGGCAACTGTGCCCATATGACGCCTATGTATTTATATTTTTGATAAGTCTCTAGTCTCGGAGATTCCGCATAAAAAAAATCTATGCGCCGGAATGCGGTGTTGCCAAGCGAACTTTTCCCGAAAGTTTATGAAATTATTTTTTCTTAGATTTCGCTGGGTCGGTCAGCGGCGGGGGGGGGGGGGGGGGCATCAATTAATTACACAAAACCATTCGCTTCGTGCGCGCCGTAAATCCCCGACCGCTCCGAAATTAGTCGACGGCCATATTGGCAGTAAAAACACCTGAGAAATTCATTCGCCTCGACGCCCCTCGCCCCGCCCGTTCGGACGGCGGACCGTAAAAACCGGCGCTTTAATGAAAAAAATTCGGTCGTCACGACGGACGTATTAAAAAAAGCCGGGGCCGTGCCACCTGCACGACGTACCTCGACTTGGTCGGGGCCGAGACCGTCCGCCCCGTTGGTTTTTTGTTATTCTGAAAATTTGATTTTCGAGATTTATACGGGATGACGTTTCGGTGGATACACGTTGGGGGCGTCAATGGCGGGTCGCCGCGCCGCGCGATTCGGGGTCGGGGCCATCGCCGCGGCACTAAAACTTTTTAATGAGTCGCGCGAGGTCGCTATAAGGGTCCCAGATATCGCGTTCCGAGTTACCGTCGTGAAACAAAAACGGTGTCGTCCCGTTAAAAGGGGACCGGAGTTTTACGCGACCTCGGCGTCCCCGGACGCTTATTAGGGAAAAAATTGACCCCCCCGCTCATGCTCGCCAAAAACGCAACGGCAAAATATTATTTTGTAACGAAACTTCGGGGTCTTATTCAAACCGAAATCATTATTTATTATATATTATATTATTTATAATATATTATATTCTTAGTCTTAGTTGTCTAGTCGAGTATATAAGAATCCTAATAATTAACACGTATGTATTAGCGTGCTTCATTTTTAGGCTATTTTTTTTCTCTGTGCTACCTGAAAATCTGATACTTTATAGAAAATAAATAATTATGCAGCCGGGTAAAAGGCTTTAAGTGCAATAGCGGCTTAGATCAACAATGATATGTAGAAGTGTAATTTTTTATGTTATTTTGGAGTTTCTGTTGAGTCAACAGGTGGACTAAATCAACAATAATGCATCGATGGACTTAATTCGACTTTTGCAGTTAAAGCACCACCAGGACTACTGTTTATCGCTGGTTTTTGGACTTCAGTCGTGGTCATAGTTTTCTTAAGGATGAATTTCGTCGTCCAAAATCGGTGGTTGTCCAAGAAAACATTGCTGAAACTGATTTTGCAGGATTGTCATATGACTTACCATGAGATGTGTGGGCTGTGGCACTTGTTTGCCGAAATTAGAAAAACCAACTCCCGAAGACTCTCCACGACGACAATGCTATCTTTCACCGATCAGTGCAAACAAAGAACTATTCGAGCATTAGAAACGTTGATTTGATGAGCCATCCACCATATAGTCCTGATTTAGCACCTAATGACTTCTTTTTATTCCTATAAGTTAAGAATAAATTAAGTGGGCAATGATTTTTGACACCAGAAGAAGCGATTGATGCGTTTACAAAGCATGTTTTGGAGGTGCCCGACTCGATGTGGGAAAAGTGCTTTGATGATTGGTTTTGTTGAATGCAAAAGTGTATTGATCATCAAGGTCACTGTTTTGAGAAACCATAAAGTCATATTTGTTGGTAGCTTATATTTTTTCATTACAAATCCAGAAATATAAAAGTTAAAACGTCCAGTCTTGAATACTGAGCTGACTATCAACCAACAGCAAAAGCCAAAGCCGCATTTATAAAAATCAGCACCGTCTACGACCTACCGCTGAAAACCAAAATCTTCATACCACAGTGCTATATTTTTTCAGTTGTATTATACGCAGCGGAGGCTTGGACGCTCTCGTTGGTTGCTACGCATTCTAAGAATCCTCTGGATCGATCGACCAGAATAAGAAAGGGATGCGAAGTTATTGCAACAATTAAAAAACGTAAATTGGAATACCTAGGCCATATTATGAGGAACCAACAACGATAGATATAGCCTCCTCCAATTACTTTTACAAGGAAAATTGTATGGTAAGAGAGGACCAAGACGAAGACCTAAACCTAAGAAAATGGTTTCAAATAACCATGACTGGACTATTCGGCAGAGCAGCCAACCACAAGAAGAACAAGAAGTTGTCTAGTTTTTTAAGCGACTGAATATTCAGGTCGGCTTTTTTAATTTCAACACTGCAAACACAAATCGGTTATCGTCGAATGTATTATTGTTTACCCACCATAGCGCCTTTACTTACCATTCGTGAAACGTTTTTGGCTGACAGAGTTCGTCGACGCTGCTCGGAGCACCTCGCAGACGGTCTAACAGCCGTACACCTCCAAAAATGGCGTCTAAGAACCCGCCGCGATGATAAGCCCCGCAGTGTACCCCGCCCGCACACGCGTTCGGGATTAATCTCCAAGTCGCGTTAATTTTATCACTTTTTAATGCAAATATGGCGGCGGCGGCGGCCAAATCTACGCCGCGAGGCTAAGTGCCGGATTACGCAACCTATGCTTTCTTAATTGCCACCCCCAGTGACGTTACGCGAAAAGAACGATCGCGCGGCGATCCTACCGACTGCGCCGGTTAA